AGAAATTAGGCCATTCGGCCAATCAAGTCTGCTCCGCCATTCAACCATGGTTGATAAGTTCCTCAACCCCATTCTCCTGCTTTCTCCCCGTAACCCTTGATAATCAATCTATCTATCTCAGTCTTAAATGTACTCAATGACCTGGCTTCCACAGCCTTCTGTGGCAGTGAATTCCATAGATTTACCACTCTCTGGCTGAAGAAGTTTCTCCTTATCTCCGTTCTAAAGAGTCTTCCCTTTACTCTAAGGCTGTGCCCTTGGGTCCTAGACTCTCCTATCAATGGAAGCATCTTCCCAACATCCATTTTGTCCAGGGATTCAGTGTTCTGAAAGTTTCAATTAGATCCCCGCTCATCCTTCTAAACTCCAATGAATATAGTCCCAGATTCCTCAAAAGTTCCTCATATGTTAAGCTTTCCATTCCTGGGACCATTCTCGTGAACCTCCTCTGAACCCGCTCCAGGGCCAGTACATCCTTCCTGAGATATGGGGCCCACACCTGCACACAATACTCCAAATGTGGCCTGACCAGAGCCTTATAAAGTCTCAGTAGTACATTCCTGCTTTTATATTCAAGTCTTCTCAAAATAAATGCCAACATTGCGTTTGCCTTCCTGACTACTGACTCAACCTGCAAGTTTACCTTGAGAGAATCCTGGACTAGAACTCCCAAGTCTCTTTGCACTTCAGACTTCTGAATTTTCTCCCCATTTAGAAAAAAGCCCATGCTTTTATTCTTCTTACCAAAGTGCATGACCTCACACTTTCCCACGTTGTACTCCATCGGCCACTTCTTTGCCCACTCTCCTAACCTGTCCAAATCCTTCTGAAGCCTCGCCACCTCCTCAATACTACCTGCCCCTCCACCTATCTTTGTATCGTCTGCAAACTTAGCCAGAATGCCCACAGTTCCTTCATCGAGATCATTAATGTACAAAGTGAAAAGTTGTGGTCCCAACACTGACCCTTGCAGAACACCACTTGTCACCGACTGCCATCCTGAGAAAGACCCTTTTATCCCCACTCTCTGCTTTCTGCCAGACAGCCAATCTTCTATCCATGCTAGCACCTTGCCTGTAATACCATGGGCCCTTACTTTACTCAACAGCCTCCTGTGTGGCACCTTATCAAAGGCCTTCTTGAAGTCCAGGTAGATAACATCCATTGGCTCTCCTTGGTCCACCCTGCTCGTTACTTCCTCAAAGAATTCCAGCAGATTTGTCAGGCATGACCTCCCCTTGATGAAACCATGCCGACTTTGCCGTATTTTACTATACATTTCCAAATATTCGGAAATCTCATCCTTTACAATGGACTCCAAAAATCTTACCCACGACCGAGGTTGGGCTAATCGGCCTGTAATTTTCCATCTTTTTGCCTTACTCCATTTTTAAACAGGGGTGTTATGTTAATTATTTTCCAGTCCTCTGGAACCCTCCCTGACTCTAGTGATTCCTGAAAGATCACCACTAACACTTCCACTATCTCTTCAGCTATCTCCTTTAGAAATCTGGGGTGTAGTCCATCTAGTCCAGGTGATTTATCCACCCTCAGGCCAATCAGTTCTTCTAGCACCTTTTCCTTGGTGATGGCCACCATACTCAGCTCTGCCCCCTGACTCTCTTGAATTTTTGGGATTTTACTTGTGTCTTTGACCGTGAAGACTGACGCGAAGTAATTATTCAGTTCCTCAGTCATTTCCTTGTTCCCCACTACTATTTGAAAAACAGCAAAGTTTTTAGGGAGAAAACTTTGCCAAAAGGATAGAAGACGTGAGAGCTTTTCAACTTTTGTCACCTTGGATCAAGGAATAAATAGGATAAGGTTGTTGACACTGGTTGGTGAATCGGTGCCATGGGTTATAGATTGAGGATTATCACCAGAAGAGTTGCAATGCGAACCTGTATGAGGAGAGGGCTGTTCCAACAGGGAATGCTGTACTACAGATGACCATCAAGTCAGGGACTAACACCTGCAAGAGAAGTGAAAATTTTGGTAGGGAAATGTAGAATTTATTTCAACAAAGTGAGGAGGAGTTACCGCTTTTTATTTAACCCCTCAGTCAGTTGCAACAAATCTGTTTCTGTTTTTGGCATGAAGCTATCATACTTGAATTTAGCCAGGACAATCGGATCAAAAATGAAGGACAGCCGATTCAAAGGTGTTTTTTTAGTGATGGAGAGTAGAGTTTTATTACCTACAGCCTCCCAAAAATAGTAGAACACAACATTAAACACACACATACACACACCGACAGGGAATGAGTGCTTAAAGAAGGTAGGGTAAGGGTGTCAAGAACAGACAGGAAGGCAAATACAGTGACAGATCTTGGGAGTCCCTTGGTTGCATGAATGAAACGACCTGAGTCAGTGTTCAGTTGCTACCTTGTTTCTTTATTACTCAAGGCCACAAGTGTTCTCCAATTATCAGTGAATTGTTATTGTTCAAGTTGCTTTTTATTGCTAGTTTCTGAGATTGAGAGGGACTGACAGAGAGAAAAGATTCCAGTATCCTTACTGTTATTGTCAATATTGCTTTTCTCGTGCTTTATTGCTCAAAGCATACTGCTGAAATACGGTTCATTTGTAAATTTCAAGTCTAGCTCCATTGTCTTTATAAACTGAATGCTCTGCAGGTTATTGGTTATCTCTAATAGCGAAGTAATCATGCAAATGTGAGGAAAACACGATGCAGATTTCTTGATAGCTTCCTGAGTTTGTTTAAAGATGGTAATTCTGAGACAGCCAGTTTCATGCATTCTATGTGAGTTGCCTGGGCTTCAGTTGACCAGCCATTTTAGATCAGCAGAGTTCTTTTCAAAGCTGTTTTCAGTTCATGAAAGCTTCAGGTATTAAAATCCAAATGATGACATTTGAACAAGGTTATGTTCATATTTAAAATGGTCTATCACAATATACTGAAAGACACGTCAATTGTCTCAGTCCCAGTACATCACTGCAGGAATTCCTCAGGATTGTGTCTGAGGCCCAACAAGCATGATTTTGCTTCATCCATGACCATCCCTCCATTATAAGGTCAGATGTGGGGATGTTTGCTGCTTACTGCACAATGTTCAGGACCACTCCGCAGATACTGAAACAATCTGTGTGCCTAACTGCAAAAAGATTGAGCAAGTCTAGGCTTTGGCTGATATGTGACAAGAATGCGATTTACTAGTTAATTGTTCAGCAATAATCATCTCAAATAAGGGCAAATTTAACCATTGTCCATTAGTTTCAAATGACATTGAATCGATATTTCAATTCTAATCTGTACCATCATGTTGAACTGTGTGCTGCATGGAAGCAAATGGAGTCCTGTTACGCTCAAAATAGCAAAATGAGAGCAACTGAACTCTGGGAGTTGCCAATTGTCTGAATACATCAGGGTAAAACAATTCATGACATTTCTCTAATCCCTAGATGGCCCAAAGTGTTTTGCAGCTAATAAAGGGGTTCTGAAGTAATCTTGTCTGTAATGTAGAGAAACCCATCCACCAGTTTGCGTGCAGTAAGATCTCTGAAACATCAAGGCGATAATGACAAGTTGATGATGTTTGGTGACGTTGGTAGGAGGGCTGGTGTTGACTGTATGATGTAGTTGTTCTTAATAGGGCCATGGTCTCTGGTGCCCAGCTGGAAGGACAAAGAGGAGCCTTGAGTTCACATATCATCTGAAAGGCGTCACTTCCAATTTTACAGAACTCGGCGCAGTGCTTGGATGTCTGCTGAAATTATGTGCTCAGGTCTTTGAAGTGGGACTTTAACCAAAAACCAATGAGTCATTCATGTCTCACTGAAGAATGGTACCATCTTGCTAAAAAAGTAGCACTGCTGCTTTTGGGTGTGTTTGCTCTGAGAATCAAGAGAGGCACCAAAGGTCATGCATCATTCTGAATGTGTGACATATTGGTGTGATGCATAAATGCCTGACTGATGCCATATTAGAGTTTAGAAAACAAATTATTTACAAAGCTGCTGTCCCTTCAACAGGAAACTAACTCTAGATTTTAAAAAAGGGAATATTAGGATGTGCTAAAAGACAACAAGTAATATTGATATATAAATAGTGGAGCAGGCTTTTGTGATGCCACAAGTAAAGATCTACTTTAGCATCACATTTTCCACCTTTCTTGCTCCAAGGCAGGAGCAGCACCCAGCCAATGAGTTTATTCGAAGCAGCATTTACTTGTCCAGTGACTGCAATGTGACATTCTGCAACTCGGATGCTGCTGTTCGGTTTGGTTTCTGTAGCTCTGGCTGATTGAGGATTGAAAAAGGCGGACTAAACGTGCGTATACAGCTTAAATGTCACTGTAATTTCACCTTTAGCTTAACATTTGTGGTTTTAACAAGGGTCACAGAGGTAACTTTTTGTAAATGTAAGCCCATTGAGAGAAGGTGATTGTCAGTTTTGGAGTAGTTTCGCATTGTTGTTCAGAGAATTAACTTCAAAGTCAAAGTCAGCAGATCAGGTTGGCATCTTGATTTGCAGTACCGTATTCCAATAGAGATCAGAAAAATGCAGAAGCAGGTAATGGAAATGGTCAAAGCTTACTGGGTGGAAATATTATTGTGGAAGGGAAGCTAGGACAGGATTGAGCATGGTGATCGCAATCACATCAGTCATGTTTCAAATTAAACGTATTTCGAGGTAATTGTCACTTATGTTAAATCCTGAGAAAATCAGAGACTAGGAAATGAAGGAAACATCCAGGATGGACCGGTGGTTCTATTTAATTTCTTCAATTTAAAAAAGTATATTTCACTTAATTTTTGAATCAGCCTCTTTAGAGATGTTATTACACGCTTCTGGAGAGGATGGGTCATGAACCCTGGCCTCCTGGCTCAGAGGTACGGATGCTACCACCGCATCATAAGAGGGCTATAATTGCCATAAAAGCAAAAACTCCTGCTCTTCATTGTGTTTCTAACAGTATTACCCAAGGTAACCAGAGGTGATGGCATTGTGGTGAAAATGCTGTGTTTGTGACACTACAGGTTTGACAGTGGCACGTCCCTGGTGAGTTCAGTTCCGGCCTTGGGTGCTGTCTATTGAAGATAAGCTGCTGAACTAAAACCAAAATGCACCAGTGGTGAGTAGCCATTTTTGGGAGATCATGGCCTGGTCTTATTATCGCGAGTCTATCAATCCAGTCACTTGGGTAATCTTCTTGGGACCTGAGTTTGAATCCTAGCATCATCCACAAGGGAGAGTGATGAGTTGGTTGGTTTATGACTTTATAAAGTGTCCTACCCAAGGTAAAGGGCTCCTGTAGTGCAGTGGTGGTGTCCCCTAGTCTGAGCCAGGTAAGTTTCTGGGTTCAAGACTCACCTGTCCGGAGGTGTGGACGTAACATCTCCGAATGGGTTGATTTAAAAATGTCTACAACTTGTGGGTGGCTCAGCCCATCAGGATATTGAGGATAAAGTAAAACCAGATTTTCAGACAAGGAATTCTGCTGTTGGCTAGCAAACCTCTTTAAGAGTTTTTGTGGTACAGTGTTAGTGTTCTTGCCTCTGAGCCAGAGGTCTATGTTCAGATCCCGCCTGCTTATGGTGGGCCTAAAGAAGCATGGATACCCAAGAGGGTGCAGTATGTCATATTTATTGGACAGAAACAGGGTAGTGCTGATGTTTATGCTTGGTGCAAATCTCTCTCGACTTGGTTCATTTCCCCCTATCAGAATATTTTTCCTATTCTTTCTTCCTAACTTCTTCAATCCAGCTACTTACTTTCCAAGTTCCATGTGCCTGACTTGTCAACAAAATCCACCTGGACAACTTGCCTCTCTGTGCATGTTATGCCTCTCTGTGCACTGACCCTATTATTGCTGCTCACCTACACTTTAACTCTCCCTGATGTACAACAGAGCCAGTCATAGTGCCACTGATCTGGCTGCTACTGCTGTTTTCCACTGAGAGGCCATACTCCCGAGCAGTATCCCAGTTTGTATCCCCTCAATGGATATCTGCTTCTGATGACTCTCAGTATGTGCTGATTTTTGATCATATTACTTCAGAGAGCTGATGAAACAGTGTCATTAGTTTTAGCTGGCGAATAGAATATTGTTACTGACCAGAGCATTCACATGCTAGCATGCATAGACTACCCATGTTTGCACTTGCTTTACAGCACTGAGGATGTTCATGTTGCTTTGGTTTTGTAGATAAAGAAACTGTGGAGTAATTTTGAGGAATTTGCTGAACTTTATTTCAATCCCTGTAGTAACTGTTGATAACGTCATCTTTCTCCTAAATGCAGAAGGAATGCTCGGGAACTCCGTTTTTTTGCAGGTATGAATTTCGCAGTGAGCACATTATTCCGACAAGACGAATGATTCCCGATTATTGCTTTAGCATTTTGGGTTGAATTGTACTGATTCATCTACATCCTCTATGAGCAAATGTATTTTGTCAAAACTGAGCCAAAAAGATAAAGGCTTTTACCTGCATCAGTCCAGTATCTGTGGTGAGGCCACTGACTTTTGTCAGGACATCGGGTGTTAAAATGGACCTCTATAGCCCTGTTACTAATTAACAGAAAGGAAGCATTCCTGCTGCTCTTGTTGGATGTACTGTTACAGCAGGACTGGGAACCACGGACAGAGAGCCCTCGTGTGAAGCTGCTGCAGTGTCAAGGCTGAAGGCTTGGCTCCTGTGCCAGTGTGTTCCAGGAGGAGAGGAGTGAAGGAAGAAGGAAGGAAAGTTCGATTTTAGGTGGGGGTGGGGAAGTGAGTTTGTCAGGGGAACTGACTGTGGGAGCTTGGTGAAGGAGAACTTGTATGGACCTAAATTCAAGTGCAGCTAAAATCTGAAGTTCTGTGGGTTCATCACTTCCCCTTCCACTCTATTCCTTCCTGTCCCAAAATGGAGACTTCCTCTTCCATGTTTACAAGTTACCTTGATGTTAAGATACCTTAGAATTTGAAGTAATAGCATTTGATACAGGCATTTGGCTGCTCATGCCTCATTATAAAATTCTTATGCTGGTTTTTAAGGCCCTCCAAGTCATCTCTCCTTTGAATCTCTCTCTCCACCTCCAGCCGTATAACACTTGGAAGTCTGATGCTCCTCTGATTCTGCATCTTGCATGTGCCTGATGTTAATTACTCCACAACTGTGATTTCAGCTGGCGAGGCCTTTATTGCAGTAATTGCCTCCCTAAATCTCAGCTTTCTCTACCTCTGTCTATTTCCAGAACCCTGTTCAAAATCTACCTCTTTTGTTCAGCTGCCCTAAAATCGCTGTCAGTGTCTAAAGTTGTTTGATATTACTCCTGTGTCGAAATTTGGGGCATTTGCTGTTCTAGGCACTATATTAATGCAAATCTTTGTATAGCTGTGCTGTCCAATACTTGAAGCAATTGTAACAAGTAACAGTGTGGTGTGATAAAGCAAAAACATTTTTACTTGTTGTATTGGCATAAAAGTGCTGCTTTACCTTGTGCACAGGACCAAGGATGGCCGACAGATCATACAAGGCTTTGAAAGTCAGTGCTGGAAATGCAAAGCAGGTCAGGCAGCATCTTTGGAGAGAGGCAGAGCTCATCTTACAGGTTGAGGCATCCTTTTATCAGTCATTCCTGACTTTAATCCAATTCCCAAGGGAAGTCATATGTAACTCTGTTACATTTGCTTCTCCTTCCACAAAGGCTGCCAGACTCTGTCCAGCATTTTTTGTTGTTATTTTAATTTTGCAGCATCAACGGGTCTTTTCCCTTTGTAGACAAGGCTCCATTTACTTTGTGAATTTTGAGAATTCAAGCTCTGGAAAGTGTGTGCGACCCCTCCTGTGCTCAGCTATCATTTTGAGATTTTGGGTGTGACAGATTGTTGGTCACTGCTTTGGATGTTTTTCACTTTTTAAGCTCATTTGGATGCACAAGTCTTGCCTTCCACATGCGCCGTTTCCCTCATTAGTTTTCTTCAAAACCACTGATTAGTGAGAATTTGCTGGATAATGGCTAGTTTTCATTGCAGTTAGTTACCTTCTATTGTGTTATTTATATGTTCAGTTGACGTACTGCCCACTTTGACATTTACAAAAGCCATTACAGCTGCTGGTTTTCATCTCATGTCAAAAAATCTCGGAATCTTGACGAAACTCAGTGATACAACACCTTTGTGTGGAAATCAATCAGCAGTGCTTTCCAGGGGTTGATGAGAAGCAGATGCTGAGCCACATTGTTCAGGGTAGGGATGATCAGAGAAATGATCTTTTTTGCGTAGGGTTTAAAAGGAGAGAAAACTGACGAGGAATTCCAGAGAGTCCTGTTGACTGAAGGCTCAACTACAGAGTGAATGAACAAATATTGAAGCAGAAATAACTTGCCTTTATATCGTGCCTGGGACAGTCAATACCTCCCATTGTTCTGTTTGGTTTGTCATTGTTGTATGTGAACAGGAACTCTGCTTTTGCAGGCAAAATGAATATCTGGAACGCTTCTGGAAGGAAAACAAAGCTTTGGATTTCTGTAAGGTTGCACGTGGAGCTGGGTGGAATGTGGGAAATGATTGACTTTTCCCTGGGAGTTATGCATTCTGCAATGGAGCAATTTCATGCTCCTCAATTGTAATTGCTCCCATTCACTGCATTTTGCCAGGTGCACAATCCTGCTTTAATTAAGAGACTTTCCGTTTTGTGTTGTGTTTGCTGTAGTTTATAGAGACAGAGTTCAAACTGGTTTTGTTTACTGTAGTGTATTGAGTCATTGATGTTAAATAAACACTGTTTGATGCAAGTTATTGGTCCACAAATAGTGGTATTGGACTCTATGGTGACCTGCACCATTTAATGAACTGGTGAATCCCCTGATCCTTCAAAACCAATGACAGTGCTGATCCCAAAGTGCTCCAGTGCTGGGCACCCTCAAACTTGCCCCTTCAGGCAGTGCAGCACCTCGTCCGGGATCTCCACCCACCCACCTGCTGTCAGCGTGGCACTTCTTCAGGCTGCCTCCTCCCTCCATCCTCCCTGCCACCCTCCATCCTCTTTCCCTCCCATTCTGTCAGCTCCCTCCTTCCCTTTCTCTCTCCCCTCCCCTTCTCTCCTCCCTCCTCCACCACCTCCTCTCCTCCTTCCACATGATATGACAGCATTCCCTTGCAATCCCCCGCTGGCAGTATATTTGTCTGCCCTGAACCATTTGTCCATCACACGCTCAAGTGCTTGGGTAAAAATTGAATTCAGAATCTCTGCAAAGCAGTGTCCATGTGACGCACTGAGCCAGAGCTGTCAATTAATTATCTGGAAAATCCTGTCTGTGGTGATGTTGTTAACTCTGGTGTGGTCCCTTTCTGTTCCAGACTACATTTTGAATCAGAAACATGGCGCTGTGCCCCTGCACCGTGACGAACTCTGACACCAAGCTGGATGGATGCCACTCTTCAGCGCCAGGCTTGAGGGTGCACCTGTACTGGTCAAGCGAAGGCCCACAGGACCTTGTTTTTACCGAGGGGGAGATGGTTGCAGAAGACATATGTGTTCTGGCTGCACAGAAATGCTGTAAGGAAGATTTGAATTCTCTCATCAATGTTGTTGGCATATCTATAGTTTTTATCTTTACCGAGCTGGAGTTCAGGTTGTTTGTTTCAGTACAATGGGATATGAGTGCACCCCTAGAGTGTACGTTCAGAACAGGAAGTCCTGGGCTGGCTAATGATAGTTGGGGCAGCAATAGGGTGTCTACCCCTGCCGTGGAAAGTCGAAGGCCAGAGATGAGGCATTCCCACATCTGTGTGGGGAGGGTGCTGCTGGAGTTTGATCAGGTAGAATGTCAATGTGTTCACCATGGAACCCCTGCAATGGTACATACCTTGGCACCTGTGCAGGCAGAATTGGCAGGCTCACTGGATCGCTTCCTTGCGGGTTAGACAATAGTGAATGGAAACTGCACAGTTGCAGTTTCTGGTCCCTCCTGTGAAATGCATGTGTGTGGACAGTGGTTGAGAACAGGATAGTGCTACACTGCCATACTTACCCATCAGTACTAAGAGAGCAGGCTCTCGCACGCCTGGGAGCAGCTAAGCAGCTGGGGCCAGTGGAATTGTCTCGTCAGGAAGGCTGGAATATCAAAAGATGAAGAGAACATCCAACATAGCAAAGGGACGAAAAAAATCAGAGCAATATCTATTCCTCACCAGCAGCAGAGCCCATCGGTCTGCCCAGTGCTCCCAGTTCTATTTAGGAGCTGGTCACTGACCCTCAGTCCCATGGCGTTGCATGGATTAACCCTGCTACAAAAAGTAAATTCTGTACCAGGTGCAAAAACAGAAGCTGCTGGAAAAGCTCAGCAGGTCTGGCAGCATCTGTGAAGAAAAAAATCAGATAATGTTTTGGGTCCAGTGACCCTTCCTGAGAATCAGGTGTGCTGCTACTTCAACTCCACAGTAATACTGATTACCCTGAGAGAAACTGAAAGCATGAACCTCGTAGTTTAATTTGTGCTTTTTTTCCCCCAAGCCATTTCCCCGCTGTGCCACAACTTGTATGCACTTTGTGACTTAAAAGAAAATCTTTGGTTTCCTCCGAATCATATCTTCAAGATTGACAAGGACCTGTGTTTGACTCTGCACTATCGTATGAGGTATGTGGACAGCTCACATATTCACCATCAGTGCAGCTCATTGCTACATCCTGGTGGAAATAAAATAAGGGCTTTCTGAAAGCTTGGAATCCACTGTTGAGACTCAGCACTGTGATTTCAAAACCAGCTGCATTTTTGTCAAAATCTCACCCCTGGATTTCATGGGGAGTGGAACAACTTTAAGTTAATGGGGGAATACACCCTGTAATACCCTCCTGACCAAGACATGATAAAGAATCATCTCTTAAGGGGAAATGATGACCTAGTAAGAGAGTCATACATCATGGAAACAGACTCTCTGGTCCAACCAGTCCACGTCAACCATAATCCCAGAGTAAACGAGTGCCATCTGCCTGCGCTTGCCCTGTACCCCTCCAAACATTTCTCATTCATGCACTTATCCAAATGTCTTTTAAACATTGTAACTGTACCTGCATCCACTACTTCCTCAGGAAGGTCATGCCACACACAAACCAGTCTCTGTTTTAAAAAAAAAATCCCCTCATATCTTTTTTAATTCTTTCTCCTCTCACCTTAAAAATACATCCCCTAGTCTTGAAATCCCATACCCTAGGGAAAAGACATCTGCCATTCACAGTGTCTATACCCCTCGTGATTTTATAAACCTCTAAGGTCACCCCTCAACCTCCTATGCTCCAGTGGAAAAAAAGTCCCAGCCTATCCAGTCTGCTGTTATTGGCTCAAATCTTCCGTTCCTGTCAACATCCTCATAAATCTTTTCTGAACCCACTCTTAACTTATGATATCCTTCTCTAGCAGGGCGATCAGAACAGGACACAGTACTCCAGAAAAGACCTCACCAACCTCAAAGTAGCATTCCAACTCTTATACGCAAAAGTGAGCAATGATGGCAAACATGCTAAACACCTTCTTAACAACCCTATCTATAAATGATGTAAACTTCACAGAGTTATGTACCTGAACCTCTAGGTCTCTTTGTTCTACAACACTGTCCAAGGCCCTACTTTTAATTGTATAAGTCCTGCCCTTTTTGACCAAAATGCAAAACCTCGCATTTATCCAAATTAAACTCCAACTGCCACTCTTCACCCCATTGAACCAATTGATCCAGACCTCTTTGTAATCTTAGATAACGTTCTTCACTGTCCACTATAGCATCAATGTTGGGGTCATCCGCAAACCTACAAGCCATGCTTTTTATATTCTCATCTAAATCATTTGGCAATGTGGTATTACCGCTAGACTGCTAATCCAGAGACCCAGGCAATGTTCGGGGAACCTGGATTCAAATCCTGCCACAGCTGATGGTGGAGTTTGAATTCAAAAAAAAAATCAGAAGTTTAAGAATCTAATGTTCACCATGAATCCATTGTTGATTGTTGGATAAACCCGTCTGGTTCACCAATGTCCTTTAGGGAAGGAAACTGCCATCCTTACGTGGTCTGGCCTACATGTGAATCCAGACCCACAGCAATGTGGTTGACTCTTGACTTCTTTCTGGGCAATTAGCGATGGGCAATAAATGCTGACCCAGCCAGTGCTGCCCTCACCTTGTGAATGAATAAATAAAATGCTGGAAGGTTATTTAGGAATTGTGTTCAGGACATTTAAACAGAACCTCACAGTATCCCATCTTTTCCTGACAGATTTGCTGAATGGTTTACTATTTTTGACTTTAATTCTTGATGAGCTCTGCCTGTCACCTATGACTGAAGCTAATCACAGGGAGCTAGGCAGTAAGACTGTATCAACTCACTGTCAAGGCTGCAGTAAATCTCGTGCTTTCTTAATCACTGTGCCTTCTGCCTGTAGGTTTTATTTTAAGAACTGGCATGGTATGTCTGAAAAGGAGCCTAGGGTATACCGATGGACACCGAAGAGGAATGACCATGAGAAATTCGACCAAGGCAGCCCTCTGTTTGACCACATGTCGCTCAACTACATCTTCTCACAGGTGGGAAGAGACTCTATCAAGGTCTTTGCAATCCAAGATTTGGGTGTAGGTGCACGGAGAGGGAGCGCTATGCAGATAGGGTTTCCCTGTGGCACATTGTTTGCTTTGTGCCACGTATTGGCTCTGGCCCAGACTGTAACTCCTCCCATCTGTGCTTCCTCAATCCTGTCTTATCTCTGTGTGTGCAGTGCATTGTTGAGAAGGTTACAAGACACACCTTATTCTGGAAGCTTTTCTTGACTGTTTGGTAATTTTGTTTTATTCCAGAAAGGCTTTTTTTAACCTGAATATAATGTATATTTAGGGCGTGGTAAGAAACCAACCCTGAAAAATATCACAACTTGAATAAAAGTAATTCTTGCCTTGCAGAGAGTGGTGCATTTGAGTTAGAAAAATGCTCCCTGTGAGCTTGTACAGTAAAGACAATCAGATTTGATGCTATGGTTACTTAAAAAGTCACCCATTTTATTGAAACCCAACGCATGTGCAGGTGTAGTATTTATTTTCAGAAGAATGCTGACTCTTGCCAGGCATGTGGTTGGCACAGATTGCACTGTGGCCCTCCAGGACTTTGCGCCAATGGTCACTATAAGTGTAAATTCTATTTGTCCCATTAACGCTGCATCACCCCATTGTGACTCACTGAAGCTTGTCATAAAAATTGTTCCTGATTTGTTGCCCTTTTCCCAAATCTCTCTTAACTCCCTGCAACCCACATCAGTAACTATCCCACTTTTAAATTCAATTGATTGTCCATTTATGCTCTCCTGGCCTGTCTTATTCCTTTAATGTGCAGGTATTTTCGATGGTCAGGCTCATCACTACAGTCGGATAGTCCACAGGCATATTTTCCCTGTGTGACCTTTGACTGTGGAAGTCATCACAGCCAGTTCTCCTGTTCTTACCCAGTGCACTCATTTGCTCTTTTCCAGTAAGGAGAATCACCGGGAAACATTTAGGCTAAACAGTCTTTGCTTTTTGCCAAACAGTGTTTGCTTTTTATTAAACAAAATGAAATACTGACGATCTGAAATAGAAACAGAAAGTGCTAGAGAGCACTGGCCTGTTAACAGCGGTAGAATGAGAAATAGTTGATCTTTTGGGTCCAGTGAGACTTTTCGTTGGAACTGGTGATCAGAAGATGAGCCATGTCGGACTTGCACTGAAATGGGAAATAAAAAGTCGGAAGTTTAAGATTCTTTCTCCATTTCCCCCACCTCCCCACCCCCACCCCACTCCTCCATCCACTGCTGTCCAGCTGTGGGAGAGTATCCAGGCCTGCTGCTTGTTTCTTACACATTATGCTTTGATTGGATTGACAAGATTGCTTTGCAGTTTGCCCAGGCAGTTCTACTGAGTACAGTATCATTGCAGACCCTCCAGTGCCAGAGGTGTAGTGCTTTTTGATTGAGATGTGGCTGTGGTTCAACGCTGTTCACAAAAAGCTGGGGATTCTGCAGCCAATTGAACCCAAATTTACCCCTCAAACAAATATCACCAAAAATAGCTGAACCAATCATTCATAATTGTTTGTGGGATCTTGCTGTGTTAAAACTGGCTGCTACTGACAAAATTATGGTTGGTTGGCTTCAAAATAATTTCTGGCTGAACCTCTCTGATAATTAAGCCAAAACACCATCCTCAAACTGCTATGATGGGATCAGAGGTTCCCCTCTAATAACTACCCCCAAAACACCCAGAGAAGCTCACCTTTCGCCTCATAATCTATTAGAAGAGTGGCTAAAAGAAAGAAAATCCCTGATCTCCACCTTATAAATAACAAGAAACAATTTATTTATTTAATCCTAACAATGAACAAATTAACAGAATTACTAACAAGCCAGACAACACCCCCCTAGACTACTAACTCCTTCCTAACTGGTCTAATTCTAAACCCAATTAATAAGACAACAGTAAATGAAAACTTGATCTCTCCAAGTAGGTTCAGAATGTGTCTTTTGGAAAGTTCCGACTTCTCCGTTGATCAACTATCAAGAACATCTTCTCTTTCTGCAGTTATATCTGTAATTTCCACTGTGAGGACTTGCAACTAAAGATGCTGTGGTACCTTTGGGGCTCTTTAGAGAGCCCAATTTTTTGTGAAAATCAGGTTTATGTCTCAGATGGCAGACTTGCTTTCACTGTAGCTGAAGGTTGGTCTCCCCTCAGATGGCAGTTGGCTCTCTGCCAATTTTCAAAAGTGTCCTCATCTTTAAACCCATAATGACATAATAGTATTTCTTAAATAGGATTGGTTTGATGTTGTCAACACCATCAGATTTAAATTCGATTGGCTTTCTGTATCTCGATGCTTGGTTTAAATTAATTAGCCACATTCAAACTTCTTATCTTGGTAAAAATACCACTTGGCAGTTCAATATAAAATGTTTCCATTCTGGCACTCTCTGTGCACAGTAATTGTAAACTTCCAAGCACAGGCTCTTAAAGAGACCACAGTACTGCGTTTCCCCACAATCATTTTTGCCAACAAATTCTAACTTCCTGCCTTCCAAATCATAAATACTTTGTAACTTCGCAGCGTAATTGTTCCAGTTACTTGAGAGCTGTGATTAAGAATTTTTTTAAAAAACATTGGCAATCCATTGATAAAATCTCTCTCGTGTTATTGGAGGTTGGTTGATCACTGATGTTTTGATGTATTGATGTATTTCTAGGGTAAACACGATTTTGTTAACGGCATCGCTCCTCTCAAAGAACCGCAGAATGAGCAGGAATTACACGTCTTCCAAAACGAGAGCCTGGGAATGGCCGTGCTGCATCTTTCATACATTGCAGTCCTGAGTGGACGCTCACTTAGCGAAGTGGCCAAGGAAATAAGGTGTGTGAGTCAGCAGGTGTAAGTCTGTCAGAATCTATGACATGGTCACTTCGCAATGGCAGAATGCTTCCCTTAAATCCATGGGTGCGTTTGTAAGAGCCCAGATGCTGGAGAATCGACTGAGTTATTTATAAGTGATGTAGATATCGACATGAGGAAGTCGTATGTTTTCCATTTCTGGGGAGATGTTGTTGCAGTGCTGGGGGACGGAGAGCAAAGGAAACAACAGTTGGGAAGCTTTTCCCCATGGAGATTTGAAGTGGATGGTGAAAGGTTCCTATACAGAATGAGCACAGAAGGAGGAGCTTGGAGCTTGAAATCAGAAAATCAGTTCGGACATTGAACATTTGTATATTATGTGCTGGGATAATAAATAGCTTACAATGTGCTTGCGCATGTTCTTTTCATGAGTTTGCATTCTCTCTTCATTTCTGTTTCTGCTCCCTGCCTGCACAGATGGGGCAAGGTGGGGCAAGAAATAACAAGAAATTTTAAGACATCTGCCATGCTTGCCAGTTTGTGAAAGCCAGCTGGAGGATGCAGCACCTGTAGTAGTTGTGAGGATTTGGTGGTAATGCCTTTACTTGCTTATCATCATTTTAAATCTCCCATGAGATGTTGACATTCATCATTCCTCTCTCCTTCTCTTTGCCAGTTTTAAGGGGTGCATCCCAAAGACATTCCGTGCTAAAATAGAGAGGTGTAATGCCCTGACCAAGATCCGGCTGAAACGTGGCTTCCGAAAGTTTGTAAGGAGCTTCCACCTGCCTGTGGTTGGTTCGGGGAAGGTGATCCAGCATGACATTATATTCAAATACCTGTCTACCTTGGAGAACCTTTGCACCAACTTTGGAGGCGAGGTCTTTCGTGTTTCATATCTGGAAGTGCTTCCAGAAAGTAGTAGGACCCCCTACATAAACAATCGGAATTACCTGCAGACCACAGAGGATATCATCTGCCCCACACTACCTACCCAGGAATATGAAGTGCTGGTGACTGGGACAGAGGGAATTCAGTGGAGAATACTTAAGAAGGAGGTGATCATGGATACTGTATTTGACCACTTCATCCTCTTTCTTCTGTCTCTCTCTCTCTCTCTCTCTCTCTCTCTCTCTGTGCACTGCTCTTTCTCTTCCCCTCTGTCCTCTGTCTCATCTACCCCTCTCTCTCCTGTCTTTGCCCCCCTTCTCCTGTGTCCTGTTTCCCTCCCTCTCCCATCTGCTCCCGTCTTCCCCCTCCTTTTCCTCTCTCGCGTCTTACCCCCCTTCTCCCGTCTTTCCCCCTCCCCCCTCCCCCCACTTCTCCCCGCACCCTCCAAACCTATGTCTCTGCGCCCAGGGTCCCTGCAAATAATGATGATGTCCTTCAGATCTTCTGTACGGACAGGTCAACAATGTCATTGATATGAAATAAATCTGATAGCATGTGCCTCTAAGCTGTAGGTCACAGAATAACTATGGTGTCTGCTGTAGTGAACTCCAGACAAACTGAAATCTGATGACTTGTCTGTCCCTTCGACCTGCACTGTATAGACGCTCGGTCAATGGGGCATTGGTGTCCAAGCATTGGAATAGACCTGCCTTTATCTTGTATTCACATAGCACCTATAAGAAGTTTCCCCATTGCCCTTGGTAGATTCCTCCAACCTCATTTGTTGACTTGTGTATTTATGAGTATGAGGGCTGTTGGGGATGAATGGTGTGACATTGCTGTGATTTTCTATTCCCTCTCCTGTGGATGTTATGTTGTCCTTTGATCCTCTGATATTTCAGCCTTTCTGATGAGAACGTCTAAGTTCAGATAAAACAATTCAAGAATTGTATAGTAATAATTGTGATGGTCTTTTATTTTAAATAGCCTGCACCCCTCAAAAGGACAGGCTGGAAGAGCAAACCAGCAGACAGTGGCAGCTGCAAATCCACTGAAATAGTTGAGTTCACTGAGAAGCCATGGTCGCACTTTTGTGATTTCAAGGAGATTACACACATCGTCATCTCTGACTGCAGGGTCAGTGTTCACAGACAGGATAACAAATGTCTGGTGAGTAACCTTCTCTACTCCCTGTTCCTCCTCCTCCTTGCTGTTGTCCGTTTTCATGTGTTGGTCACCCTCTGGGTCCTCGGCTCGCAGCCCTGAGGCACGTGTGAGACTTTATGGCGTGAGCTCAGCCCTGCCCTCACATTACATACCCACAGTGCTTGCCGGCATCACTGGATTGCCATGAGATCTGGGAACTTTCCCTGATCCTCAGACTTCCCCATTAAAATGATTGACTATATTGTCAACTTGTGGAATGAAAGCTTGCTGTGATTTTCCATTCCTCTCCTGTGGATGTTATCTTGCCCTTTGATCCTCTGATCAAACTTGTTGGTCTGCTTGGCTTAACATGTCAAATCTGTTCATCTGTCTTGATTACTACCACTCAATGATAAGGGTGATAGTGATTGTTGGTCTGTTGGATCTGTCTGATTCTGTGCTTCCCAGATTGGAGAGTGGGGGAGTGTCAAGGAGGGAGACAACTCTGAGACTGGTTGGGAAGGAAGCTATTGAGTGAGGTTCGTTGACCTTGTTATTTGAAATAAAAGGAAAAGAATGAAAAAGTAATGTTTATTCCCCCGTTTGAAAAATTTCCATTCATTCTGAAATGAAAGCTGTTGTTGATAAAAGTTTACTTTTGTGAACATTTCGAAGTAGACGTGAGGCTAAGCCCTGTAGGGTTTGTTTGAAATCAGTGCCTCTCTTTGTTTTACAAACTGGAGCCGTTGTCACTTCTCTCTGTGATTGGATATGTTGTGGGTAAATGATCACAGGGCAACAGGAGCCCCATTTCAGTCAATCGCAGAAAGAATGTGGGAAGGAGAGACGAACCAGCTTTTGTTGTTTTAATTTGTTTGCCTGAATTTGTGCTCCTTTAGAACTACAATCACAGATTTCTGTTCACAACAAAGCTTTCTGGCTCTGCAGTATTTTTGTGCTGCCTCTCAGTTTGCTGGTTTCAAGATCACTTCTGTTGCAAAAACCATTTAGTCCAATTAGACTTGCCCTTGCACAATATGAAGCCCTCAGTTTTCCCCTTTCGACATCAAGCATTTTTTTAAACAAGTGAGAATGTACCTGAGGAATGCACGCAACAAATAAAGATGGCAATCTGAAGGTTGCAAGCTCAGTCCTGTACTGTCTTGGGTTGGTCTTTCTCACTGGGGCTTGTCAGGATTTTGAGGTAGTCTAAAATTATCCCGAGGTGGGGAAAGATCAACCCTAGTTCCTATTTTTTGATTCCAGTTGGTGACTTCCTAGGAAGTATACATAGAAACAAAGCTGAGATGTGGCTGCTACTTCACAGCAGAGCCACAGGTGTCCAGAAAATCAAATCTAATCAGAGTCCATGCTTTAGAGCGTGAGAATAACCATTAGAAATTAGGGCTCATGATTGCATTTCTCCGATTGGAGTATCCCTGATTTTCTTTGCTGTTGGTGAGAGTGCCGTCAGCCTAAGTTCCAGAACTGCCTTAAAATATGCCAACATCTCTCTGCTCTTTGTCCCTCCATGAAAACCTTTACCAAATGTTTGGCCATCAGACTTCATATGTCTTTGTGGGAGGATGCCAGATTTGTTTCATAATGCTCTTATAGAGCATCTTGAGATGGTCTTCTCCATTAAACGGGCTATATAAATGCTATTTGTTGTTGTTTAGCTGTTTTATTACTGTTCTGTCTCTAGCTAACTTGGTAAGTTTGGTAAACAAAAACATTAAGGATATTTGAACATAGGAACAAAAGTTGGCCATTCAGCCCCTTGAGCCTGTTCCATCATTCAAGGAGATCATGGTTGATCTGTTTGACTCCCTATTCATTAATACCTTTGCTTGACAAAAAAATCTGTTAGATCCATTTTTGGAAGAGAGTTCCAAACATGAAAAATAAGCTGGATTGCTGGGACATATTTCCCTGGAGTGTAGGAGGTTGAGGGGTGACCTGACAGAAGTTTATAAAATCCTGAGGGACATAAATAAGATCAATGACAAGGGTCTTTTTTCAGGGTGGGGGAATTCAAAACTAGGGGGTGTATTTTTAAGGTGAGAGGAAAAAGTTTTTATAGAGGACATGAAAGGTAACTTTTTCAGTGGTTTGAGTGTGGAATATACTTCCATGGATGCAGGTACAGTTACAACATTTAAACGATATTTGGACAAGTGCATGAATAGACAAGGTTTGAAGGGATATGGGTCAAACGCAGGCAAGTGGGACCAGATTAGTTTAGGACTGTGGTCAGTGTGAATGAGTTGGGCCAAAGAGTCTGTTTCCATGGTGTATGACTCTGGCTCTGTCTCCCATCCGTGATGTGTACAAGTGTTTCCTAACATCTCTCCTGAACAGTCTGGCCTTAATTCTCAGACTATGCCCCCTAGTTCCAGAATCCCAAACCAGTGTGAATTGTTTATTTTACGTGCCCTGTCTTTTCTTGTTAGTATCTTGAAGATTTTGTTCCGATCACCCCTTAAACCTCTAAATTCTCGAGAAAACAGACCTAATTTGTAAAATCTCTTCTCATAACTTAATCCCTGGTCAAAGTTCATGATTCCTTCAAGCATCTTTCCATTGTGTCCTTTGAAAATTAGATATTTGCAAAAGCCCAAATATATCATCAGATGTGATGGAGTCTGAATCAAGTTGTCAGATGTAACTGTGTGGGGAAGCTGTTACCAACATGTTTTCAAGGGACCCCAGTCTATACTGATATGGATCTGGGAGTCCCTTATAAATGCTGAGACTGGAGATCTTGGTCATCAATTTCCAGAAGATACCTACCTGCTTCAAGGCCAGCAGAAATACCATTTCAGGATATATTGCATGTTGGCAAGCTGGAAAATCTCGTTGGTAATAGAACTAAAACCGAGAATAAGACTGGAAGAAAAGAACGGAATTGTGGAGGTGGTGAACTGAAAGGTTGACCTCAGGACAAATTTGATACCTTTATGGGTTGTATTCAGCTGTCCAAACTTCAGACAGTGTGCACCAAAGCTAATTGTTTTCTTGTTTTAATTTGAAGGACCTTGTACTGCCCTCACACAAACAAGCACTGTCCTTTTCAGCGCTGATAGATGGCTACTCTCGCCTGACCACTGACTCTCACCACTATCTGTGTCATGAGGTTGCTTCTCCGCGGGTTGTGCTGAGCATCACCAGTGGCATTCATGGACCAATGCAGTAAGTTCCACGTAGACCGATTTCGCCCTGCTCTGTTCTTTTTGTTTCTACGTATTTGTTGGTGTTGGATAACCGAAACCTTTTGATACGCTACACAGTAAAGCAGCCTTGACACTGTCTCTTTAAAACGCTCCCAGGGCATGTACAACATGGGGTTATATACAGGGTTAAGTTCCTTTTCAATTGTCTCCGTCAAACAGTGTTAGTTACAGAATAGACCTCGCTCTGTCCCTTCCCTGTCAAATACTTCAAGGCACGTACGGTGTAAAGTTCCATCTACTTTGTCCTAAAAATACACCTTGTAACTAACCACAGAAGAGCATCTCTGCTGCACCACTGTCGTTTTTGATTGATCAGGATAGATGACTCTGTAGAATCCTTTGAAGTGATTTTTCGGGACGTGGACAGTGCCCTCATGAATTACACAGTTGTTTGTTTGACAATCCACCGACAGCTCTGGTGCTAAACCATCTATTATCAGGGTTACTGCTCTGCTGGCATATGAACTCCAGCACATTGAGATGAATAACCAGTGTGAATCAGTACTCACAGAAACAGATAGAGACTTTATAAGCTTTGGTGATTTCCACCAACCGCTCCTTCTGGATTTGACTGAAACCTGAAATGAAAAGGTGTGTTTCTGATCTCAGCATCTCCAAGACCCAGCCCCTTAGTCCCACTTCAGTTTATAGCTCTGTCCACTGTACCACCTACTCTAAACACAACCCTATAACACCACCTCTTGTAACTCGTGTTCCAGTTACTCCCTAACCTTATTTATAACCCACGTCAATATTAGACAAAGAAATTCAAGGCTAGAGGTTGCCAGTGTCAATCATACCCCAAATCTACCGTACTCTGTCTTCAGTTTGTAAATGCTAGTCAAGATTCAAGGAGTAGGAAAAACAAATTCCATCAGCTTTGGACCTAACGTTTGTTCTGGAGAGAATTATCTTCACTTTTTACAGAAAGTTATGGCCACCACGTCAATCACAGAGACTCTAAGAAATAAGACGAAAAGAAGTAGTAATCTCTGGTGTGCATAACTACATGTACTGCTTGTTAGAAAGCAGTGTTTATCTTGGATAACACAGTGTGGAGCTGGAAGAACACAGCAGGCTAGGCAGCATCAGAGGAGCAGGAAAGTTGACGTTTTGGGTTGGGACCCTTTGGTTTTCTCCCATTTTATCTTTCCTGTCATATCCTTGGTAAGGATACAGTGTGATCGGGCGCTGGGTGCCATTGTGTGATTGGATACATTGTGATACATGGTGTGATATTGTACAATATACCACAGAATGTTACACAGGTGAACCTCCATAGTCACTCCACATGCGTCAAAGGGTGTTTGTCTGTGGACAACCACACGGTAAAGTCAAACACTCGCTCTGCCTCAACATTGACAGGCAGGAACGTCCCATCAGGGTCACTGGATAACCATCCAAACTGATTTTCCTTCTCCCTCTCAGCCAATCACAGTGTCGAGTCACTCAGCTCACAGGAGGATCCCTGGATCATTGCAATGCTCTCCGCTGAGGGAGAGTGAGGTTTTTAACATTGCAAACAATTGGCAATCTGTTTATAGTTTAATTCCTTGATGAGAGATATAAAGGAATAACAGTGGGGAGACATTGAACTTTTCCTTCATGGTTTCCCCACAGACCGCACTATGTCACAACTAAGCTCCGACGAGAGGAGAACAAGGAAGGACTCTATGTGCTGCGATGGAGTGCTTTAGACTTCAATAAGATTATCATGACGGTTGTCAGTAAGGAAAAGCCTGAGGTACGTAAGCATTTTGTGCAGGTCCTATTTATAAACTGGAGGGTAATGAGGTGTTTGGGATTGTGGCGGCATGACAGTGTGGGGCTCTCTGTGTGGAGTGTAAATGTTGAAAGTGTGTCTTTTCCCCAGTGTACTCTTTTTGGGTGTAATTATACCTGGGTTCATTGTGACTGACTGACTGACTGGCAGGAGGGCAAGCAATCCTTGTGTTGGGAGGAGCACGGGGGTATTGTGACTTATTTTCCCACGTGTTGTCCAGTTGGGGAAACAATAGGCACGATGGTCACAGAGCAGCAAATCTGGGAAGGTGAGGGTAGCAACCACTGACAACCCACCTGCTGCTTCTTCAGGCTGCTCAGGCCATGGATATCAAAGAGTGACCACCTTGAGCTCCTTGTTAGACAGGGGATTTCAGGATCACCGGAGTTGGGTGGGAATATGGAATTTGAAACATGATCATGATCTTATTGAATGGCAGGACAGGCACAAGGGGTTGAATGGTTGTCATCTCCTGTTCTGTTTCTGTGCTCATTGTGTGTGACTCAGCTAGGTTGAACAAGTAAGATTGGTCAACAACTGCCATGTTCTCTCATTCGCTCAGGATTTGAGGATGATGGTTCTTGGCTGTCCACATGTGACAGATACAGGATCCCACACAATTTACCCCATCCTAATTTCTTGTCCACATCAAGAGTACACACTGCTTTAAGTGCATGTACTTCTAAGTACAGGCTAAAATAATAAATTCACTTAGCTTTATGTCAGTCCTTATTAAAAAGGGCTTTGTTCTCAAAAGGAAATGTCCCCATAATGGTGTAATCACATAATAATGTGGCAGTGCAGTGTTGAAGACAGCACAGCTGAAGAGTGCTTATTAAACAGTAATGCTAGATGGTGGGAGCAGGGCCAGAAAGCACTAATGGTTTTGCTTTTAAACATTAATGTGAATGGGGCCTCTTCCAAATTGTTCCATGAAGCTTTTCTTGTACAATAAAATCACAGCATTAACGGAGACTGGGATTGGAAGGCAGGATGTTAAAAGGCCAAAGGTTTCCCTCCGTTGCATTAAGATCACTAACGAATGTCATATTAAAAAAAGTACTGTTATCAGTTGGCCTCATTAATGTTTCGCAGTGCACCCCTTCACTCCTGTCCCCCACCCACCCCTGAGAAGCTGTGTTTCTCAGTTGCTTATATTTGGAAATGTCAGAAACCTCAAAAAGCATGAAAACCTGAATGTCATTTAGCAGTAAGGAGTTTGTCACATTAACAAGTGAACAGGAAGAATTGCTTTCTAATAAAAACAGAATCTCCTGGAAATAGTTGTGGTGTGAGAAGCGGTGTTAATGTTTGAGGTTGAAGATCTAGAAGAGTTGATATTGTGTTCAGTACAGATCTCAGGCCTGCCAGGGGCCATCAGTGAACCAGTAATTTTGGTTAAATTTGTATAATTGTCTTGCATGCTTTATAATGAAATGATTGAGAGGAGCTCATTTTTCAGGTAATAAAGATTTTGGATAACATGTTAGGGTTATTTTTCATTTGGGTAAATGATTAGAGCATGATAGGATCAGGCTGCACAATGCAGGCTTTTGTAAGCACAGTAAATACTGCCATGCTTCAATGCCCTTGGGCTCTATGTAAACCGAAAACACTGAAAATAAACAATGCTTCTGGTGTGCGCACGAGGATGGATTTGCATTTCAGTTACCATGCTGGGAGGAGCATATGTTCAATGTAAATCTCCAAACTCATGCTGAGAAAAGCTATGCATTTTTGAGCTCAGAAGTGTTCTAACAGGTATCCATTGGAGATCAGTGATTGGTGCTGTGTGGGAATGCTCCATGCCTGCTCTTGGTCCGTGGCATCGCTGACATAGTGAATAAATACTGCCTTTCCTTTCTGGTGGTGTTGACTGAGGAATGTCCGTTGGAACTTTCAGTGGTGCCTTTGGATTGTTCATGACCAGCAGCACACTGAGCTCCCCAAGAATATAACTTGCTCTCCGTTACCACACAGTGTCTGCTGCTGGACTCAGACCCGGAGGAACTTGTCACACTTGCTGGTTCTCTCCTTCCAAAACAAAGCTGAACCTGCAAGGTCGCTTTAGCGCTCCCTGTGCTCCAAGACTTGACTCAAATTAGCTTGCTCTTATCCACAAGTAGCATTTCATTTAGCAGTGAGAAACCAGTTGTGTAAATAATTGGGTTAATAATTATTCTGTTCAGTTGAGATGATATTGGACTGATGTCTGAGTGGGCCAGTAATCTGTGATGGTCACTTGAGTTCCCATGAAAATACACGTGCAAAATGATGTTGACACCACATTCTATTAGCTATTTCTGTTCCCTCAAGCACCAGCCCAACCCATGACCTTGCTTTCCCTATTGTAGGAGTGTGAACCTTACTGCCCATTCATTACAGTAATGGCTGAATATAACCTCAGCTCCAGCTTTCCACACCAGTCTCACATCCCTTCATTGCTGTACTATCCTAATATCACTTGTGAATCTTTCCTGCTTAGAGAATGGTTTGCCAGACTGTAGCAGCTCAGAAGAGGGGAATACCAGTTTCCGTTTTAAAAGGAGACAGATGTTTTACAGTACTAAATGCAACTTTTCTTGTCGAGCACTGACCCTATTGTTATGTTTTACTTTCAGTTTGAATTATTGAAAGGTTCTGGGAGTTTTCAAGACATGAAGCAGTTTCAGATTGAGAGGAAGACCCCAGACGCGTATGTGCTGCAGGGCTGGGAGCGGTCATTTCCCAGTGTGAAAGAGCTCCTCGAGAGTCTTAAGGGCTGCATGCTGAAATCGGGGAATGAGAGCTACATGGTCAAAAAGTGTTGTCCGCCTGTTCCACATGGTAAAGAGCTTTGTCAGACATGGCGAGAGTATTTGGCAATGTTTTTATACTTTTCCTTCCTGTGGCCTTAATGTGGTCTTTGCATGTTTTACACCCCCGTAGCTGGGAGGGCACTGCCAGAGCTGATGTGTTATTGCAGTTACAGTGACTCTCCTGCATTCCCTTTTTGATCAGCTGCAAGAGTTTGACATCGCACAGTCTTCCAAAGCCATGTCTGTCATTTCTTTCATATCACACCACTTCAATGACCACTTCTAACTCGGAGTTCCTCAAGTCACTAACTCCTCCCCTCTTCCCCTGTCAGGCAGTTCCCTTCTGCTTCCGTCACCTTCCTTTAGATTGCATTCGGCGCGGTTAACACACGCCAGTGCTGACGTTGCATTACCATCAGTTCAGCACGCACACAGCCTCAGCGGATATGTGCAAATTCTCCATTCCCTCTTGCATTCCCTCCGGTTTCAAACACTGCCACACAGTCCCAACTCCCCGTCAGGTTACAGACCCCGTCACACAGTCCCAACTCCCCGACAGGTTATAGACCCCGTCACACAGTCCCAACTCCCCGTCAGGTTATAGACGCTGTCACACAGTCCCAACTCCCCGTCAGGTTACAGACCCCGTCACACAGTCCCAACTCCCCGTCAGGTTATAGACCCCGTCACACAGTCCCAACTCCCCGTTAGGTTATAGACCCCGTCACACAGTCCCAACTCCCCGTCAGGTTATTGACGCTGTCACACAGTCCCAACTCCCCGACAGGTTATAGACCCCGTCACACAGTCCCAACTCCCCGACAGGTTACAGACCCTGTCACACAGTCCCAACTCCTTGACAGGTTACAAACACTGTCACACAGTCCCAACTCCCTGACAGGTTACAGACGCTGTCACACACATGGCTGCCCCTCAGTCCCTCAACTCCCCTGTTTGTTTAAAAACTGTAAAAACAATATTGTAGTTTTCTTGACAACCTGTGATCTGCTTTGGCTCTCAGAATTCTCCAATTTACTCATAACGAAGAATGTGAAAGATAGTGATGTGCGACCACTCACAGCGCAGTTAAATCTGAGCCAGCTCAGCTTCCATCAAATAAGGAAGGAGGAAATCATTCAGGTGAGTTTATGATGCGGTATATTATCCAAACCTCTTTTCCTTGCCCGTTTTCTCCTCTGAATCTGTGCTATTGTGACCAGCCTGGCTGGATGTGGGAAATTGCCTCCATGATTTATGAAGACTGGCTCTCTTGTGCATCACAGACCTGTAAGAGAACAGGCAGGACCCACATAGCATTGACTTCAAAAGCTGCAAATGACTGGTGGCTGCTGAAGACCATTCAACCCATCTTGTTTGATCCAACCACATTGCCCCTAATCCTTCCCAGTGCAATTCTTTCACCCATGCCAGGGAGGTTTATTCACTGCAAACAGGAGATGCCTGGCCTGGCTCCAATGTAATCTCATAATATTGTAGGACAGGCTAACTTTGACTCTGCATTTACAGTCACTTATATCTTAAGTTCTGAAGAAGGCTCACTGGATCTGAAACATTAACTCTGCTTTCTGTCCACAAATGCCAGACCTCCTGAGATTTTCCATCTATTTGTGTTTTTCTTATTTAAATCTTGAGCTCTGCTCAGATGCTTCATTTAGAAATTGAGAATCCTGTCTGTCCTGTTTTCCCTTCTCACATATAGCTCTCAGTGAGACAAAAGTATAATAGAAACCTTTCTTTGAATTGTTTGTTTAAAGATTCTCACACTGGGGTTTACTTCTTTATTTGTGCTGACTGGTGTTTGTGTGAATTTGTTTTGATGTTTCAATAAATAGAGACAAGATTTTTGAGGTAAAGACACTAGCTTTGTACACTGGCTTCCCTCGGATGAATGCAGGGCGAGAATGCTGTTTGAGGTGCTGTCATGTTTGTGGCTTAGCTGCTCTAGTTTAGCATAATCAGTGACAAAAACAATCTGGTTGATTATTGTACACATGCTAGAATAGAATGCTTTTGTTTCGTGACCCAAGATATTTTCCTTGGCAGTGGGTCATGTTTACTGTCGTCTCCAAAATGGGTTCTGTTTTTCTTCATTCTCTCTCTGGTTTTCTGCCATCTTCCCAAATTGCTGCTATTGAGTTCTTGCTGTGCCGAGCCAGCCAGACAGCCTGCCTCTCACCACTGCCCATTTGGTCATGTTGTCCACGTGTAAGCCAGAGTGTGGAATATCAGCAGGCTGTTTGACTGCATCACAGCTGAATTCAATCCTGTTCTCTCATAACGTACTGTCAGAATGAAAGGATATTGTACTCTTGGTGTGCTGCTGTTCCCTAATCTGTCAGAGCTCAAGCTTGTTTTACTCTTCCTTTATGGTTGACACTAACACAGTTGTGAGATTGTATTGGCTTTCCTCATTGCCTTATATTTTAATTTTATTGTACACTTTTTAAAATCATTCATAGAATGTAGACGTTGCTGACGAGGTCGATTATTTGTTGCTCATCCCCCTAATGGCTACTGTTCCAATCCCAGACTGAAATCCGACTTGATAGATTTTTTAATTTAGTAAGGTAGTCTTTCTCTAACACCAGCAGACAATTCTGCAGATTTTGGCTTTAAGAATTAAACTGAAGCTTATTATGCAAAAGAAATGAAGATAAAATTGAATTAATCAAACTAGTTACTAAAAATACATTGAAAGATTTCAAAACATATGATAAAATACAATATTCCATCTATCCAAACAGCATCCCTTCACAGTACTGGAAAAGAGAATTCTCTCCTTTATCGCAACTATTAGTTGACTTAACTTTTCAATTCCAGGACTTGAGAGTTTGATTGCCTCTTCCTCAAATATTCACACAATTGAGCTTAGACTTTCTCAGCTCCAAAATAACCCCTTCAGGATTCTAACCAAATGTTTCCGGTCTGAAACTTTCAAAACTAGACACTTTACACTGAGGGAACCAGTTTTCTAATGGTTCAAAACTTCTCCTTTCTTTAGGAGAAGCTGTTGTACACATCTAAATGTTACACAATGTCTGCGAGCTGGAAACCAAACTCTTTCCTAAGCCTTTGGGTTATTTTTCCAAAGAGGTGTTTCTCCTAAGCAAAAGAAACCCTCTGATCTTTCTAACTGAAAGCAGCCTAATAGTCTCTAATGTTTACTCCATCTATTCCTGAAGCTCTGCCAATCTAACATAACCTCATTACACCTTCTAAAGGGTCTCTCTAAAACTGACTTTAAAAGAAAAAAACTTGGCTGCAGAAATGCTGACCACTTCATCATTAAATCCCTTCATACACACGGACCAAAGCTGCCATGCCACTAGGTCAAAATCCAAGCTGCAAAATCAATTATGTTGCAATTTGGATAAATTGCATTGGTTAGATCACACCTGCTTGTAAGGTACTAGTTAATTGTCAGCCACATTGCTGTGGGTCTGGAGTCACATTTAGTCCTGAGCTGGTAAGGGCAGCAGATTTCCTTCCCTAAAAGACATTGGTGACCCAGATAGGTTTTATCACTGGTAAAAGCTGATAATAGTCTCCACAGGCTGGCTCTTAATTCCAGAGATTTTATAAGTTGAATTTCAATTTCACTATCTGCCATGGTGTGACTGAAACCCACATCCCCAGGACATTAGCCTGGGGTTCTGGATTACTAGTCTGGTGATATTATCACCATGCCACTGTACCAGGACACTAAAGGTGAGAAAATAGACTCACCTGGGAAGAAACTGGCTTTTGTAATGCAGTTTACACCAGCGACAGTAGGAGTTGACCATCTAAAGGAAGAGGGCATGGAGCCAGAACATTGTTTACTTGCAGAGGCTATAGAAATATGCCTTGGGGCCGTATCACCAAAACATGTTCACGTCAGGAATGTGGCCGTGTTAGGTGTTTTTAATTAATTAGTTCAGGAGCATGTATCCTGTTCAAGTAGTCTTGACATCAAGCTGTTTTAATGAGTAACAAAAACAGAAGTTGCTGGAAAAGCTCAGGAGGTCTGGCAGCATCTGTGAAGAAAAGAAATCAGAGTTAATGTTTTGGGTCCAGTGACCCCTCCTCAGTTTTAATGAGTGATGCGGTGGAGGCCCTTCTTTGAGGGATATTTTCTTTTCCTCTTTGAGCTCTGCCACAACTCCAACGATTTCCCTTCCTTGAAGGTTCGTGTGCTTCTTTAGCCTTGAATGTGTCTGCATGTTGTCGTTAACTTGGGTCCAGTTGGTTTCCTGCTCTGAGTAGAATGCTCTATTGTCCTCTTTAGTGTCACATCTCAACAGTAGCCATCTGGGTTGCTTCAGCTGATTTGCTGATTCCCCTGAAACAAAACCATGTGATCCATCCAGGAAGTCAGAGTTGAACGTGTTTATCCCATTGGGATCACTGTTGACTGTTTGGAATCTGGGGAGAGGTGTTTAATTGGATTGTGCAGAGGTGATTGCCTCAGTGCACCAACACACAAGTCACACTGTCACCTGAATTCCCCCTGAGCATTGAGAACTCAATACAACGCCAACATAAACCACTCATCTTTTTTGTTCGCAGGAGCATCATTTGGGCCGTGGAACGAGGATGAATATCTACGCTGGTAGGTTTTGCGAGGGTGAAGTTGAGGAGGAAGAAGAGATGGACTCTCCCTGTGGAACAAGCCACAGTGAAGCAAGGGATATCCGTGTGGTGTTGAAAGTTCTTGATCCTAGTCACAGAGACATTGCATTGGTGAGAAAAACAGAAGGGAATCTGATCATCATAACATCACCAGTAATTTCTTCAACTTGGTCTTGTGACCTACATATAACTAGAGAAATGAAAATATTTCTTAGTGCCTTTTACAATTGCAGAGTATCCCAAAGTGCTTTCTGGCAAATCAAGTCATTATTGTAATAGAGTCATAGAGCTGTACAGCACGGAAACAGACCCTTCGGTCCAACTCATCCATGCCAACCAGCTATCCTAAGTAAATCTAGCCCCATTTGCCAGCATTTGGCCCATATCCCTCTGAACCCTTCCTATTCATTCCCATCCAGATGCCTTTTAAATGTTGTTATTGTCTCAGCCTTCACCACTTCCCCTGGCAGCTCATTCCATAGACTCACCACCCTCTGCGTAAAAAAGTTGCCACTTAGGTCCCTTTTAAATCTTTCCCCTCTCACCTTAAACCTATACCCTCTAGACTCCTCTCCCCTGGGGGAAAGACCTTGGCTATTCACCCTATCCATGCTCCTCATGATTTTGTAAATCTCTATAAGGTCACCCCTCAGCCTCCGATGTTCCAGGGAATATAGCCCCAGCCTATTCAGCCTCTTCCTATAGCTCAAACCCTGCAACCCCGGCAATATCCTTGTAAATCTTTTCTGAACCCTTTCACGTTTCACAACATCCTTCCTATAGCAGGGAGACCAGAATTGCGCACAGTATTCCAAAAGTGACTAACCAATGTCCTGTACAGTGCAACATAACCTCCCAACTCCTGTATTCAATGCAATGACCGATAAAGGCAAGCGTACCTTCACTGTCTTATCTACCTGTGACTCTACTTTCAAGGAACTATGAACCTGGACGCCAAGGTCTCTTTGTTCAGCAACACTCCCCAGGACCTGACCATTAAGTGTATAACTCCTGCCCTGATTTGACTTTCCAAAATGCAGCACCTCACATTTATCTAAATCAAACTCGGTCTGCCCTCCTCGACCCATTGGCCCATCTGATCAAGATCCCAGGCGCAACATATTAACAAATTTACAGACAGTAAGCTTCCATAAATAGCAAGGTGACATTAATTTCCAGTGACTCTGCCTTGGGACCTTTTCCTTTCTCTGGAATGGGCAGATGGACATATAGGGTTCACATTTTGCCTGAAAGGAGCCACCTCTGACAGTGCAGCATTGTCTCAGTACTGCACTAAACTTTCCTTTCATATAATGTGCTCTTATTCAGGGAGAGAGACTCAAACAAGACCTTCTGCCTCTCAGAGCAGGAGCTGACTAAACTGTGTGTTGTGGTAATCTGACAAGAACCAGCACTGAAGGTGTTAGTTCACTGGGGAGGAGAGTTGCAATTATGGGGCTAAAGAGAAGAAACTAATGGGGAGGGGGAGCTTGTGTTCTCCAGCAGAGTGAATAGGAGCTGTGGAGAGGATTGAACAGTTAGGACATTGTTTGTACAGGAACTTGAGTCCTGCAGCTCAAATACATAGAAACACAGGAATAATACAGCCCCTACCCCTGCTTATGTGAAGGAGTTGCCTTCATTTGTCAGCATCCTTACTTGACTACAACCACAAATCATACAGCTAAAATCATTAAATCAATCAGACGGTTTAAAAACTAACAATGTCAAAATATTAAGAGCTATATGGGTGATATGGTGGCTCAGTGGTTAGCACTGCTGCCACTCAGCACCAGGGGACCGCGGTTTGATTCCCTCTCGGGCGACTGTGTGGAGTTTGCACATTCTCCCCGTGTCTGTGTGGGTTTCCTCCGGGTGCTCCTGTTTACCCCCCACAGTCCAAAGATGTGCATGTTAGGTGGAGGAACGGTCTAGGCCCGAAACGTCAGCTTTCCTGCTCCTCTGATGCTGCTTGGCCTGCTGTGTTCATCCAGCTCTACACCTTGTTATCTCATGTTAGGTGGATTGGCCAAGGGAAATGTAGGGTTACAGGGATAGGATAGAGGAGTGGGTGGCATGCTGTTTGGAAGATTAGTGTGGACTCGATGGGCTGAATGGACTGCTTCCACACTGTAGGGATTCTATAATTCTGTAAAGAACTGTTGTAGTCTTAAAAGTCAAGGATCAGCATATGGGAAATGTCATCTCTTGATTTGTAATTTATTTAAAGAGCCACGTGTTTTTGGAGTAATTTTCCAGGTTGAAAGATTTCATGTTTCAAAACATCATTGGATATTGGAAGTGGGGTAGAAAAACTATGATCTGCTAAATTAATTTGTTTCCTATTTATCCAGTTTATCACTCCATCTATTCTGTTGATCCTGCCTTGTTTTATAATTGAGGTTTTGATTATCCTGTGTGCGTGTATATGATTTTCTTTGTTTGGCAGCAATTGTAATCCAGCAGGTTTTACCCTTGATCAGTTCAGGTTCTTGTACGTATCCTGTGCTAGTGTTGCAGCTTGTGGACATACTGCCAGGTCATCCTCCAGCAGCTGTAGTTCTTGTTCAAGCACATTGTTTCTTTGGCATTTTCTGACTTTGTTATTCACCTCAGCTATGCCCCTCATGATTTCATAAACCTTTATAAAGTCACGCCTCAACCTCACTTTTGCTTTTTATTTTTCAGGCATTCTTCGAGCTGGCCAGTCTGATGAGTCAAATCTCTCATGCTCACCTCGCCTTCGTGCATGGAGTCTGTGTGCGGGGCTCAGAAAGTAATTCATAGCTTTTTCATACCTCTTAAAACTAATGTTTTGTTTTTTATTTGCTTGTGTGGTGATGCTTAAAGGCTTAGAGTTCCTCTGTTATTGTTAATCCTGAGAAATGGATCACTGCAGGATTCCTATTCTCACTTCCAGCCCTCTCCCCTGTCATTACCAAATGCTCAGTTCCCAGTCTGTGGTGTGCTGTTGGAAGGAGCAGTGGCAGACAATGCAGGATCTTTACGGAAACAGCTCCAAGCCTTTGGAGGGTTGAGGGGGTGGGCAGCAGAGGAAATAACCATACTCTATATTTATTTCTCTTCGCTGGTCGTTGTAGTCAACTGTTTTCAGAAACAGATTGCTCAGCATGAGCTGCAGATCATTAATACTCTGGCCAGGCAAGAGTAACAGCCACTGACCATGATAATTTATGATTCTATTCCAGAGGTTTTCTTTGGCTTCACACCCAGCCTGAGCAGTAGGCTTTTACGTTCTGTGCCTGCAGTGGCTATTATTTCGAGCTGAATTAACCTCACTGGTCCATGCTGTCCCAGTGCCCTATTTACTTTCCATTGCTGTTGGTCTGCCTCACTGATGAGACAGAATGGGAATTTCCTGTTTCACTTACAGTGATACAAACATGTTAGTCCACTGCATTTATCCAGATAATCAAAATGGACTCAGGAGGCTATTTGCTTGTGGGAGAAAGGTACAAATATTTGATGTGTTAAAAGGGATTGGCATGCTGTTAAAAAGTACCCATAAGCAACCTATGTTATAAGCAACATATTTTGTGCTGTGCTATATGTTTAAATAAGTGAAGACAACACAGCATTTAAAATTTCCCCAGCCCCTCCTGACCTGTGATTTTGTGCTCACTGTGTAGATGCCTACAAAGTACACTTCATTCTGAGTCTATCACATTCTAGATCCAGTTCTATTGCTCTGTTTTGCTGGCTATTTTTGAAGCTTGTTTTACTGATTTATTTTTCTGTCTGATCATTCAGTGAGCAGACTGCACTGTCACCTGCGTGGCTGAATGTTCATGTTCATCAAACCTTTCAACTTCAGCAAAGACAATTTCACACATTGTGCATTCTTTCTCACTTCAAAGTGTCACACCTTTTTGCAATGACTGCAAAAGGTTTCTCCAAGAAAACCATAAGCTGGAGTTTGTGTTCCCAGCGCTAAAGAAAACCAGGAAGTGACTGCGTATCCCCAGACACTCCGTCAGCCTTCCTGCTCCTCTGATGCTGCTTGGCCTGCTGTGGTCATCCAGCTCTACACCTTGTTATCCGAGCAGCATCGATCAGCTTTAAATGACCTGGATTGCTCATTGATTTTTGTGTTCTGCACCATATTTCCATTCTTTCAAAAGGGAGCCATCAGTACTAAACAAGGCAGATATGGCTTACATAATGCAGGGGAATAGAGTCATCAAGATGTACAGCATGGAAACAGACTCTTCAGTACAACCCGTCCATGCTGACCAAATATCCTAAATTAATCTCATCCCATTTGCCAGCATTTGGCCCATATCCCTCTAAACCCTTCCTATTCATATACCCATCCAGAAGCCGTTTAAATATTGTAATTGTACCAGCCTCCACCACTTCCACTGGCAGCTCGTTCCATGCATGCACCGCCCTCTGCATGAAAATGTTGCCCCTTAGGTCCCTTTTAATTATTTCCCCTCTCCCCTTCAATCTATGGCCTCTAGTTTTGGACGCTGCTATCCTGGGGAAATGATCTTGGCTATAGCAGGACATTTTGGATTATGCATCAGCTTCCCAATTACATTGCCAGAGAGTTTGCTTTTACCCTGAGCATATCGGCAGCACCATTTGTCTGCTGCAGTTTGTTATAGAGTCCTGCAGCATGGAGATGGACCCTTCAGCCCAAACTGGTCCATGCCGACCAAAATGTCCATCCATGCTAACCCCATTTCCCTGCACTTGGCCCATATCCTTCTAAACCTTTTCTATCCATGTATTCGTCCAAATGCCTTTTAAATGTTGTTAACGTGCCCACCTCAACCACTTCCACCATTCGATATGCGTATCACCCTCTGTAAAAGAAGTTGCCCGTCAGGTTCCCATTTATTCTTTTCCCTCAACCTTAAACTGATGTCCTGTTGTCCTCGATTCCCAAATCCTGGGAAAAAGACTGAGTGCATTTACCCTATCCATGCCTCTCATGATCCTATACACTTCTGTATGATCCACCCACCCCCCCATCAGTCTCCTACGCTCTTTAAAAAAAAGTCCTAGCTTTCCCAATCTCTCCCTATAAGTCAGTCCCTTGAGTCCTGGTAACACCCTTGTAAATTTCTTCAGCACTCTTTCCAGTTTAATAACATCCTTCCTATAGCAAGGTGACCAACACTAAACACAGTACTCCTAAGTGCGGCTTCACCAATGTCCTGTACAACTGCCACATAACTTCCTGACGTCTATATTTAATACCCTGACTGATGAAGGCCAGTGTGCCAAAAGCCTTCTTCACTGCCCTGTCTGCCTGCGGCTCCAACTTTCAGAGAACCGTGCACCTGAACTCCAAGGTCCCTCTGTTCCACTACACTCCTTAAGGCCCTACCATTCACCATGAAACTCCTACCTTGATTTGACTTTCCAAAATGCAACACCTCACACTTATCTATATTAAACGCTATTTGCCATTTCTCGGCCCACTTCCCCAGCTGATCAAGATCCTGCTGCAATTTCTGATAACCTTTCTCACTATCCATGATACTGCCTATTTTAATGTCATCTGCAAGCTTTTTAATCATGCCTTGTACATTCTCATCTAAATCATTGATATAGATAATAAACAGCAAAGGGGCCAGCACTGACCCCGAAGGCACACCGCTAGTCACAGGCCTCCAGTCCTACAAACACCCTTCCACTATTACCCTTTGCTTCCTACCATCAACTTAATTGTTACTTGGCATTGACATAGCACTGCAGGGTTGCTTTCCTGCAGATGTGCTGCTGTTGTGCCATCTCGCAATGGCATGGACGTTAAACATGCCACAAAAATAAGTCATTCCAATTTGGATTCTTCCAACCCAAAGGCAGAGCTCTTCAAGTAGTTATGTAGAGCCCAGTTTTCATGTTTAACTCATTTTACCCACATGAACTGTGCTTTACTGGACAGAAGTGCTAAAACACAGTCCCAAATAGCCAATCACAATTGCGATGAAGATAACCTTTGATTAAGCACCAAAGATCTGTTTGTTCAGAGAAGCTATGACCTGGGAGTGACTGAGACAATAGTCTTAAAGTGTAATCCAAAAGGTTCTCAGATTGCTGACCTTTCTTTCACGTGGGGTTGGATTACAATAGCAAACAAGCAATCCATTCATTATCTCAAACCTTGGACAGACTTCATCTGGAGCATTCTGTCCAGATCTGTTCACTACACCTGAGGAAGGATATAGGGGTTTTGGAGAGAGTGCTGTGCAGATAGTCCATGACGATACTGGGGCTTAGCGTTATGAGGATAGCTTGCATAAACCAGATTTTCTCTTACTTATGAGAGGTGATCTGATCAATGTGTTCAAAGTGTTAAAACTGTTTGATAGTGTCGATGCAAAGAAATATTACCTCTGATCGGAATTCAGGAATAGGTTTTTTGAAATTTGACTTCAGCTTTTCAGTGGTGAAATTGAGAGACATTTTCTCATACAAAAGATGGGAATCTGATGTTCTCCCCTGTCAAGACTGTGTGTGCATGTCTGCTGAGGGTCAAATGGATTCTTTGAGACTGGGATTAATGGGTATTATGCGGTTAAGGGTATTGAAGAACATGAGATGTAGCCAGGTCAAGGCACAGGTCAGCTCCAATCTACTGAAACGACAGAGCAAAGATTAACCCAACTCTTGTTCTTCATGTTCCAAAGAGGCGGGAGATGCTTTTCCTTTTTGAATCAGATCATCTTCAAATTGAAAAATGATTGCCTCACTTGGCAGCTCAGTTTCCTGTTTGGTTCATTCTTCTATTGTATAAACTCAGCAGCTATTCCAGTCATTTCACAAAAACACTGCGCTGTTAGATGCTTCATCCTCCAATGAGACGTAAGCTGGGAACTTGTCCACTTATTCAGTGGGTGTTAGAGATCCAGAAGGAATTCTCTCAAACTTGTACCACATCATCTTACCCCAGGGAAAATCTGTGTTAGTCTTTGTAGTGTCCATGTAGCTCTGCCTGCTGTTTTTGGTGAGAGCTGTAATTACAATATACATTATAATGTTTATCATGCTGCATGTTCCACAGCACCCATTTCAATGTTTGTAATGCTGTATGTCCCACATTGCCCATTACAGTGCCCAGCTCTTTCTGCATTCTCCTCCTTTGTATTACAGAAAAATGATAACTGTCCTCAATTTACAGATATACTTGTGGAAGAATATGTCGAATTTGGACCTCTGGATGTCTTGTTGCGAAAGGAGAGAGGAAAGCTGAACCCAGAGTGGAGTCTGACTGTCATTCAGCAACTTGCTAGTGCACTGAGCTACTTGGTATGCATCAGTATGTCTTGGGGCATTTCACAGAATCACTATTGTGTGGAAAGAGACCATTCAGCCCATCGAGTCAGCACCAACTCTCCAAAGAGTATCCTACCCAGAACCAGGCCCCCTACTTTATTCCTGTAACCCCACATTTCCCATAACCCACCTAGCCTGCACATCTATGGCATGTGGGAGGAAACTGGAGCAGTCAGAGGAAACCCACACAGACTCGGGGAGAATGTGCAAACGCCACGCAGTCGTCCGAGGGTGGAATCGAACCCAGGTCCCTGGCACTTTGAGGCAGCAGTGCTAACCTCTGAGCCATCGTGCTACCCTATGCCACCATATTTCCTGACAAAATATAGTCAGTTGTACAAGATAGAAACAGACCCTTTGGTCCAACTTGTCCATGCTGACCAGATATCCTAAATAAATCCTTCCGATTTGCCAACATTTGGCCCATATCCCTCTGAACCCTTCCTATTCATACACCCATCCAGATACATGTTGTAATTGTACCAGCCTCATTCCATACATGCACCAGCCTGTGTGTGAAAAGTTAGATCCCTTTTAAATCTTTCCCCTCTCACCTTAAACCTTTCCCGCCCTCCAGCCCCCGGGGGGAAGAAAAGCCCCGGCCTATTCAGCCTCTCCCTATAGCTCAAACTGTCTAACCCTGGCAACATCCTTGTAAATCTTCCAAGTTTCACAATATTTTTCCTGTTGCAGGGAGATCAGAATTGAATGCAGTATTCTAAAGATAACACATCTGTTTTTGTCTGTGTGTAAACATAATTGAAATGTATTTGCAGGGTTGCATGTTTGTCGACATAAATATAATTGTTGTGTTTCAGCGTAACTACTGCATTGTAAAGCATTTAAGTGTTTGTGATGAGTTGCTATGTGAATGCTCCCCCCCGTGTCTCAGTGTGGAAGTACACTGGCTAGCCCTGGAATGGCCCAGTGATGAAGCTCTGACTGTGCTGGGTTAGCCCTGCTGTTCGGTGCTGGTTGGGGTGTGACAAGTTTGTCTCTGTGCTGAAGGCTGGGGTATGGGGTGAGGTGGGGGCAGGGGGAGGTGTGGCATGGTAGTTGTGGTGGTGTCCACAGAAAAGGTAATCCTGGATTCTTGCCAAATAGCCAGTTAACACTCACTTTTTGGGTTGATGCATGAAGAATGGTTGAATGAATAAAAGACAATTGACACATTCAAACCCCAGACAGACAGTCAGTGCCTTCAGATTTCAATCGAGAGATTGGTCAGTAGCCTTCGAGCAGGAATCTCACTGAACTAGCATTTAGTGCTGTTGTTTCTCTGTCTGATCAGAATGAACATTTGGCAATTTTCTTTCCTCTCAGGAGGATAAAAACATGGTGCATGGGAACATTTGCTGCAAGAATGTGCTCGTAGCGAGGAAGGGGCTGGAAGAGGGAAGCACCCCTTTCATCAAAGTCAGTGATCCCGGCATCAGTTTCACCGTGCTTACTCAAGAAGGTCAGTCTGTGCCTTTGCTGCTTGGGGGCTGAGGATGTGGGGAAATTCCACTTTCAAAAATGCTGCTCCATATTGAAAACCAAGCCTGCAGTTACACCCCAGTGAAATTTAGTTCTTGCACGCAAAGTCACTCTTACCATTCCTCTCAGATTGGCAATTGGTTAGTTGCTGTGACTTCCACATTCCTAGTGGCAGGTCTTTAATTGTCGTGGTTCCATTCTTTGTGGCGTAGGGAAAAGGAGTTTTGTACATTCAACTGGAAGTGGATAAGGGTACATTCTGCAGGAGATTACCATATGTCACCTATTCAAAGATGTGGCTGCTTGAGGTGTATTATAAATTAAATCCATATTTATACGTAAACGTGTTACACTAACAGCACCCATACACTAGTGGTGGTGGTATAATGGCATCCAGCAACTTGACCAGTGCTTTGAGAAGAGTGGAGGTTAGTACCAACTCAAGATTTCTGCTTCTCAAATTACTGTATTTTCCTATTTAACCAGAGCAAGAAGAATTAAGGGATTGATTGACTTTGAAATGTGGAATGAATTAAACTGGCTGTACCTGAATTAAAGCCTAATTCCTTTTACACGTGCTTCCCTGGTTCCACTCCCTGTCCACAACCCCAGTGGGAGTTTGGTGAGCAGAACCCATCATTTTTACACTTGGGTTTAGGACTTACAGCTGCCGTCGGATGGGGTTTGGAGGAAGGAGTGAATGGCCAGTGTGGAGACCTAGATACAGCGAGCATAGGAACAGGAGTAGGCCATCTGCCTATCGAGCCTGCTCTGCCATTCAGTAAGATCATGGCTGATCTGTGATCTGATTTCCTACCATGTGCCTACCTTGGGCCCATATCCCTTGATATCCTTGCTTAATAAACATGTTTGTTTCAAATTTAAAATTAACGATTGAATTAGCGTTAACTGCCATTTGTGGAAGAGAGTTCCAAACCTGCATTACTCTTTGCACATCGAAGTGATTTCAAACATCTCTCCTGAATTGCCTGGGCGGAATTCTGGTTCCAGGGTCTTTAAGCAGCTGATAAATGAAAGCATTCCAACTTGGATTGAAATGGTTCCAGCGATGAGAAGCTTGCCCAAGCAGTGAAGGGGAAGGCCCAGAGTCAGCCTGTGCTGGGTTAGCTGGGCACATGACCGCATAGAATTATAGCATCCCAACAGCTATTCGGCTCATCAAATCCACACCGACCCTCCAAAGAGCATCTCAACCAGACCCACTGCTTACCCTACCCCTGCATTTCCCACCCTAGACACTACAGGCAATTTAGCATGGCCAATCCGCCTACCCTGCACATCTTTGGACTGTGGGTGGAAACCTACGCAGACACGGGGAGAACATGCAAACTCCACACAGACAGTCATCTGAGGGTGAAATTGAACACGGTTCCCTTGCGCCGTGAGGCAGCAGTGCTAATCACTGAGCCGCTGTGCCATCCCTAATGGCACGCGGAGGAATCCACAGGCAGGATTTCTACTCCTGGCCATCTCTGCTGGGAAGGTTGAGCAAATGTGAGGCTGTGATTCATCTCAACGTGACCAGGTTCCGTCCCACCACGAGCACAGTCAAATTGTTTAATTGTCTTCAGTTTACAAAGAACAAATGATGGGTAAAGACACTCGGAGCCGATGGAAACAAGCTCTAGGAATGAATCTGCAAAGGAGATTAGTGATATGGAATAGAATAGAATAGTCATTTATTGTTACTTGTAGTTTTTACAAAACAAAATACAGTGAAAAGTGTTTAAGCCACCATACCATGTGCCTATATTAATAACAGAAGGCATAGATAAGAAAAAATTTTTAAAATTAAGACAAAGTCCATCTTAGTTCAGTTCATGACTCCTGGGTTTGGGAAAGGTGTCAGTGATGTTTGAGGGTAAATAGTTTTCTGATCCAATGATCCTGTTGCTTTAATTTAATATCTGTTGAAAAGAGTTGCATTATTTGCTGTTCTAAGTTCATTTTCTGCTTTCCCCACTAATCCTCCAGTTGCGAATGTGAGAGAGCTGGTTGACTTCCTTTGCTCAGTGGACTCTTCCAATCTTTCTAATTGTTATAACAGGACAGGAGCATGCCATCTCTGTACTCCCTTCATTCCCAATGACTTTCTCCTCCTCAAAACCGGAACCATGTGGGATCCAGTTTCACAAACATCGGCCTACAATGCCTTACCAAAATGTTCTTTCTCCTAACAAAGCCTGGGCTTACAGCAAAGCTCATTAGATGTGTGGGAGGGCATCCCAGCTGTTAATTTACTCCAATAGTCTGCTATGCCTGCACTCCTGATGTGGTGCATGTTTGAACTGGAATGAGCAGCTTGTCAAGTTAGAATCCATGCGAGCTGTAACTCATTTGGTATCACGTGGTTTCTGAGTCAGACTTTTGGATTCAGTTCCCATCCCAATATCTTGACAACAAAGCTCCAGGCTGACAGTCCAGTGTCGAACTGAGGGATTGCTGCACTGTCAGAGGAAGCGAAGCCAAGGGCCTGTCTGCCTTCTCTGGTGGATAGGAAAGATCCCATGACTATTTTAACAGAAAGCAGTAGAGGTCCTCTTGCTGCCTGGTCAATATTTACCCTTCAGTTAACATTTACTGGAACAAATGAACTGATTTGTTATCCTGCTGCTAGTGGGAGCTTGAGGTACCTTCATTAGCTGCTGCTTCCTACGTTCCAATTGGAACAACATTTCAGAAATGCTTCATTGGCTGCCAAAGAGGTAAATCATGAAAAGGGCTGCTTAAATACAAGTCAGTTTCAAAATCCCCTTCAAGTGAAAAAGCCCAAGCTCCTTTGTTGACCATTTATTTCACTGATTGCTGGAAAGACCCACATTACTCAATTCTGCTGTTCCCCAGCACTGTCTTATTTCTCTTGTTATTAGATGGCCAGAATTCCACGTTACAACAATGCCCCCACTTCATAAAGTCCTGTAGGATATTCTGAGAAAGAGCAAGGCACTATATAAATGCATAACCTCTTTGCTCCACTTGAGGTGGAGTGAAACTCATGCAGGGACAGTACAATGACTGTTCTGTTTGTTCAAAGGAAACTCAGTGCCTGATTGGCTGTGGCTGTGTGCTGGCAGATTGATTTCTTCAACCAGGAAAAACTCCTGGTCAAATGCTTCACATCTCTGCACAGAAGTTCACTGTAGCACGTGACCTGCTGGGTTCGGAGGTTCAGCAGCAGAAATGGCAATGTGCCAGGGTCGACCTTGGTGGGGAAGATGTTAAAAACTCCTCGCCCATCTGCTAAACAGATTGGCACAGAGACTGTTGATGTCATGGTAAAACCTGGAGTGTCCCTGCGTGTTTGAGCTGCCGAGATCCGTTGAGGTTGGGCAGGAGAAAGCTTCAGAGTATTTGGATAGTAAGTTGTTCTGGCACTCTGCCAGCTGGCGAGATTTACATAGCAATGGGTGAGGCAGATTCAATATTCATGCCAGCTTCCTTGTTAGCCTATCCTCTCCCTAAACCCAGGCCAACAAACATCCCTCAGAACTGGAGTAGGCCATTCAGCTCCTTGAGCTTGTTGTACCCCTTGGAGGTGTGAGAGAACAGCACCAGGTAATGCACCTTCTACCACCAAGAAATTTGTCTTTAATTCTCTCCAGTCATCACACGACCAAAAGCTGAAACTTCATGCCAGGCAGCTGGTCCTGCTGTTTTTGCTGTCTGATGGATTGGGATCTGCTCTCCTGGTCTTCTCTCTCACCATCCCACACCAACACTCCATTCCCACTCCTTCCCCAACCCCACGATTGTGACTCAATTCCACTGTCTGTCCTCCCAAAATGCCCTTTCCCTGCACCACACTATGGCCAGAGCCCCCTCCCACGTTACCTACTTACTGTCAGAATGTGCCTTCACATTCATAACTCCCTGCATTGCTCATCATTAATTACCTACTTGACCCCACTGTCTCCATGTCCTGATGTTTCTGTCCCCTGCTTCCAGCTCCTCCCCTGGCCCTGACTCACTGTCACGTCCTGTGCACCATGTACGATCTCTGGTAAGGTACTGTCAACTGACCGACTCAATTTTAAAATGATCTTTATGTTTAAATCCCTCTGTACTTCACCTTCTCTGCCTCCCCACATCTCCTCGACAGTTCCACTCCCTATTTCCCTCCCCATCTCCCCTCGACAGCTCTGTTCTCCCCTCCTCCCTCCCCACATTCCCTGGATGGCGCCATCTGTATCTGGCCTCTTGTGCAATCCCAGTTTGTAATCCCTTCCCTGTTGGTGGCTGTGCTGTTTGCCGCTGGGGCCTTAAATTGTGGAATTCCTTTCCTCACTGCTGCTTCCTTGAAGATATTCTTTTGAACTTGCCTGTTTGACCTCTTTGTAGTTTGGTCTGAAGCTGGTCACGATTCTGTGGATTGCTGGAGGCACGTTCTGATGGTCTAAGTGCTGAAAGTATGAGGTGTTGAGGGAGCCCTGGAATTCAGGGGAGAAAATCGAGCTGACAGAAACAGAAAGCACAGTATAAACATGATATATTGTAACTTTGAGAATTCAGGCATGATATAAACCTTCTGTCTCTACTGCTTAGTATTTACTGTTGTTTACTGAGAGTTGAAGGTGAGATTTTGATTTGGGCAGTTTGGTGAAACCCTGACTTGTGAAAATCCTTGTCTTCCCAGAACGTGTGGAGCGAATTCCCTGGATCGCTCCAGAGTGTGTCCAGAATGTGAACAAGTTAAGTCTGGGTGCTGACAAATGGAGCTTTGGGACGACCGTGCTGGAAATCTGCTGTAATGGAGAGGTCCCACTGAAGGAGCGAACACTGTCTGAGGTAACAGAGTCTGAACAGTGCTGGGCTGGGCAATGTGAACAAGAGGACCACAGTGCACTCCAGGTGATCATGTGGAGTGGTCATTGGGGCGCAGCGCAGTGGCAAACTGAGACACAGGGATTGGAGGGTCCAGGTTTAAAGCTAAAGTCTCTTCCCATACCTTGAGCCACTGGTCACAACTCAATGGTCTGTGCTAGATGGCGAAAAAGTAGCTGTTTCTTGAGAGCAAGAAATTCAAGAGGATTTAACCCATTTTTACTGGCAGTATACACAGGTCGGGGTATCCTGTTCTGTGGGACATTCAGAGTCTTCCCCAGTTACCGAGGTGTGCTGTTGGGGTGTAGCTGTGCCCATGTGGACAGATGCCTGGCAGGGGGTGGGGAAGAGAGGACAGCTCAGGCCAAGAAACTGGAGACTGCTAAAGTGGCTCAGAGGTCACAGTTACTGGTGGGAAGAGTTTGGATAAGGGAAGAAAGATGAGTGGAGCAAGGAGAGGCTGAGGCAGTGAGTTGACCGGGGAAGTTTTGGATCTTGGGAAGAAGGCACAAGCAGCTGAAACGCAAGTCTTAATTTCAGTTGTGAGGTGTTGATTTTTCCTGCCCCTCCACCGTGAGCAGCTCTCTGTGGCGGCAAGATTCCGAGTGCAAGTACTTGGCCTCAAACTTGGGAGTGGTTGACTGCATTGACTGTGGTTAGTGGGAACTGAGTTTGATTCTTTTGTGCAAGGAAACCTTGAAAAATGAGCTGGTGATCCAGCCTAAAGCAAACACATGTCAGTGTGTTCACACTCAAAACCTGATTTGCTTTCTTCTACATTTCTGTGCACCCTCTCAGTTCCTCTCCTTTCCACATATTGATGTCTGTCTAGTTCTGGGGGCTGACCATTCCTCCACCTCCCTCCATGTCTCACCCTCAACTTTCCACTCCAATCCTGGGAATGAGAGGGAGGGGGAGCGAGGCTGTGCTGATATATACCCACTGTCTCTCTCTCTGCAGCCTGGGCTGTAGCCAAGCCCATCCCAGCCCAGCTCAGACTGAAGCTCGCTAGGTTTGAAATTGTTTACCTGGTGACTGTGCCATCATCCCAACAGCCCTGTGACTTTCTGTTGGAATTCCCACCTGCAATGCCTTTTTCTGATTTTCATTCTAAACAGAAAGAGAGATTCTACGAGATGAAAGGGAAACTTCCAGAACCTTCCTGTAAGGAGCTTGCTGACCTGAATAGCCAATGTCACAGCTACGAAGCAAACCAACGGCCATCTTTCCGGACTATTCTGCGGGAACTCACGATGCTGCAACAGCAAAGTAAGGTCCCAGCTCCACCAGTGTGTCCTTTAATGTGGCTGGGTTTTGGAGGGTGGGTTAGGGACATGCGGCTTGAATAAATCTTTCTCTCTGTCACTGGCATGCACTGTATCACTCAGGACCATGCTGTCTCCTTGGCAGAGTGATACAGGGTCAGCTCTGAGCTGCTCTGCTTTGAAGACCTGTAGGTTTAATCATTCCAAATCTGCCAACTTCCTGCTCTGAATTCTGTTTGACCAAAGTTGGGAAAACTTATGGCTGAAATTGACACATTCATCAGGTCAGTGAAGAGTGATATGGTGCAGTGGGTTTCCAGATAGATTAGCAGATAAACTATTTTTTAAAAAGTGAGCCACTGCAGGGGGTTTTGCTCTCTTTGCTGGGTGAATTGAAAATCTATTTTAATGGAAGAAAACTATGCATGAGGAATTAATTTAAAAAAGATAGTTTGTAACTGTGCTGTAAAGCAGCTGGTGTCGGGTTGTACCCTGTGACCAGCACTTGTTAATCAAAACAGGAGTCATCAAAATGAGAATGAATTGGGAGAGGTTTGCCCATAATGGGAAAAGTAACATGTGAATGCTGGTCAAACAACACTTGGCTTTGTCATATCTGTGCATGGCCTTTTGTTGCAGTGATTTTCTTTTTACTAGACTGATTGTTCAGATGTGTTTTGTTCATTGGTGTGTGTCCTGTTCCAGTCCAAGAAGTCAGCTGTGCTCCTTATCCAGTTTCCCAGTTCTAATGTTTAATGACCTACTTCCCAGATCCGGACATTTCCTGTGAAAATTCAGTGCCTACCGTCTCTGACCCCACTGTCTTCCAGAAACGCTACCTGAAGAAGGTCCGAGATCTTGGAGAGGTGAGTTTCTTTGCACCTTACAGCCTCCTAGTGTTTAGTAAATGTTCTGCAACAGCTGTGAGAGGATCCTAGCCCTGGTGTAATGTTTGTTGCTATAACTGACTCTGCATTTTGTTCTGACCAAGTGGGTGTGTTGAACATTTGAATGTTAAATATATTCACGACTGGGTCCAGTTATGGAGCAGAATGGGTCTGAGATTAGGTGCAACTCTGTTTAAAGCAGAAACCAGCACCAAGTGAACTCTGGTGATCTTACGTTTTGAGAGTTTTGTGCTTTCTGAAGTACAGGTTGTTAATGAGGGAAGTGGATTACTGTCCAGTTTGGCTTCCCAGTATCGACTTCAAGCACTGAGTGATTTCAGTCACACTTTTTCCCCTTGTCTTTTGCCCCCTCAGTGTGCACCAGCTTTAGCAGCATCACCTGTGCTGTCCTGTTTCTGACAGAATCCATTCCAAGAGCTGTGTGCAGGACGTAACTGCTCTCGAGCTCTGTTCAGGAATGTTATTTGAAGCCTGAGATTGCAGGGAGCTCCTGGCTATAACAGGAACAGGTTTCCGCTCACTGTCATTCTCCAGTAAGAGCTGCTGCATCTTGTCTTTGTTAAATGTAGATAGGACAACCAGCCCAGCTAACTTGGTGGCCTGAGTTGTATTGTTTATTTGTAAGGAATGGAATTAGCAAATGTCTTGGGAGCAGAAAGGAAATTTGGATTGAGGAAGCAATATTTTAACCCTGGACAATTTGCTTTGCTCTAGGGTCACTTCGGCAAGGTGGGTCTGTACATTTATGACCCATTTAATGATGGCACAGGGGAAGTTGTGGCAGTGAAATCGCTGAAGTCAGAGTGTGGGGAGGAGCTCCACACAAGCTGGACACGGGAGATCGAGATTCTGAAAACACTGTACCACGACAACATCGTCAAATACAAAGGCAGCAGCAGTGAGCAAGGTAACCACAAGAGGCATTCCCACTTCAGATTATCCTCTGCATCACATTGAGGCATGGTCAGCAAGTAATCTCCCAGCTCATGGAACTGAGAAAAGCTGACAGTGTACAAAAGGGCTTGGGTTCTTGTGCTGGATTTGGGCTGTACCATCTCAACTCCTCCAAATAACTAAACTTGCTCTCAGATGATTTCTCAAAACATGCCAAGGTGTTTCACTGACATTTGAATTACAGTTACTTATGTCAGGAAGTACAGCTGGTTTTCACACAGCATGATCCCAGATACAGCGGGTGGCATAAATAGTTATTTTTTATTTTGGTAATGTTGAGTATGAAAAGAACATCATCCAGATCCTGGGAGAGAGGAGGTGGAAGAGATAGATAGAAAAGACAGAATATAGATGAACCAAAATCAAAAAGTGATATATTAATCAGCAACTAAAACAAAGTAAGGGAAAGTCCATTAAAAGCACTGAAGGTAAATCAGGCTCGTGGGGAGGGCCAGTGGCTGATGGCATTGTTACCAGTTTTGTTGTTTATGTAAGATTTACACTCAAACTGAGGAAGACAGTGAAGACCCCTGAAAACTGCCTGATGGCCGGAAAACTGAAGGAAAGGGTTATGACTTCATTAAAACTTGTGTGTGTGTCTGCATCTCCTGGATTCCCTGATGCACAGCCTATGAAATGTCACAGTGCGCTCAGTCCTGGTGTTTGCTGAAAGGGTTTGAAAAGGCTGTTAATGGGTCCTGGGAGACCAGCATTTAACAAAAAAGTGATGACATGGTGGGGCTTCCCAGGAGGTGGTCATACAAAGAGATGAAGGCCAGAGGAGTTGCCTGAAACAGGATGAATGCACAATAGTCAGTACGAAAAACTATGTACATGATTTTCCTGAGCAGTATCTGTTCCTTTAGCTGAACCAGTCGTGAAAGATCTTGTGTACTTTGCTCCATAAACATCTCCGTCTAGATGGAACCTGTTGTTATTCACTGACGGTGCATTAATTGAGACAACTCCCGTCTTTAAACTTGTTGTTTCTGTTTGCTTTAGGAGGTCAGATTGTACAGCTGATTATGGAGTATCTGCCGCTGGGCAGTCTGCGAGATTACCTTCCAAAACACGCTGTCGGACTTGGGCAGCTTCTGCTATTCGCAAAACAGATTTGTCAGGTAAAAACACACCAGGCTTTGTTTTCCTTTATCATTCAAGTAATTAAATATCATAAATGTCTTCATTCTTTGTGCTGTCTCAGTGCTCATGTGTTGTACTGGTTATTTCCCTGTAAACCCATTCATCCTGCACTCCCATTGATCCAGACACCAGGAGTCCACAGTAGGGCATTTCTTGCCAGAAGTGACTCAGTAAAAATGCCATGATATAGAACTAAAACCTGCATTACAAATGTTCAATCCTGGCCTGTTGGCGTTCACAGGTAACATTGCTGCCATAGCAGCAGCAGGAACTGTGAAGAGTTCTCACTCCAGACAAGTCTCACGGAGTACAGCCTCCTCCATCAGGCCTTCCCTTCTAACATGGAGTGCTCAGGGCCCTGACCCATGGTCTTTGTGTCTTTAATTCAGGGCATGTCGTACCTCCAGTCGCAGCGGTATGTGCATCGTGATCTGGCTGCCAGGAATGTCCTGGTGGAAAATGAGAATGTTGTCAAGATTGGGGACTTTGGGTTGGCCAAAGCGATCCCTGAACACCAGGACTATTACCGAGTGAAGGATGATGGAGACAGTCCTGTGTTCTGGTGAGTTCCTGCCTTGCCACATTGGCAGCTCTCAGGGCTGGAGGGAGAATAGGCATCACTGTCTCTCAGCCAAATACCCAGGTTCCCCATTCTCCATGGTCAGCGAGAGGGAGCTGGGAGCTGCAGCTGGCCTCAGCCCTGACTTTGACAATTTGACCTTTGTCGATGTGTGGGAATCCTGAATTCGGGACCAGAAATGCAAGATTGAGATAAAAAAGATTTATAAATTCCCAACAAATTCCTTTACTCAGTGAGTGGCGAGAATGTGGAACAGGCTACTACTAGAAGTAAACAGGTTCGAATAACGTGCTTAAATAAAGCTCAATAAACATGAGGGTCAAGTTTCAAACACCTTGTGGTTGTTTGGCTCGCTGAGCTGGTTTTTTGTTGTTCTGAAGATGTTTCATTACCCTGCTGGGTAACATCAGTGCAGCCTCCAATGAAGCGCCGGTGTGTTTTCCTGCATGGTTTTTAAACTCTGGAGTCCGTTGAGCTGGAATGCCTCACTTTTCCTTCGTAGTGGAGTGTATATGGGGTTGAGTTCTACGTGTTTGTTGATGGCTTTCTTCGTGGAGTACCAGGCTTCTAGGAATTCCCGTGCCTGTCTCTGCTTTGCTTGTCCCAGGATCTTGGTGTTGTCCCAGTAGACTGGGAATTCCTAGAAGCCTGGTACTCCACGAAGAAAGCCCTCAACAAACACATAGAACTCGACCCCATATACACTCCACTACGAAGGAAAACCGGAAATGAGGTAATCCAGCTCAACGGACTCCAGAGTTTAAATAACTGGCAGGAAAACACACTGGCGCTTCATCGGAGGCTGCACTGATGATGTTACCCAGTAGGGTAATGAAACGTCTGCGGAACAACAAACCAGCTCTGCGAGCCAACCAACCAACCACAACACCCACAACCCGAGCTACATATCTACTACAAAACCTTCAAACCTATTAAATCACTAATCATTTTGCTTCTCTCTCGTTTGTTTATCCAGGGGATGTGGGTGACACTGGCTAGGTCAATGTTTCTTGCCCGTCCTCTTATGCCATTGAGAAGGTGGTGGTGGGGAGCCAGATGGATGCTGCTGATCTGCTGAGTGTTTCTAGCACCTCTCTCTTTATTGCAGGTTTCCAGTGTCTGCAGCCTTTTGCTTTAGTTGTGATGTTGAAGCAGTGGCGAGTGAGTGTGATGTTTGGTGAAGTCAGTGATGTTTAGCCTCTCTGTCTGGGTGGCGAGCATTCAGTCTCTGTTCAGCTGTTTCTCACTCAAGACCAGGAGCTTGCTGTGAGCAGCCTTGGAGAGAATGAAGGGAAAAGTCAGCAGACTGTCACTGCTGTGAAATTCTGTCGCAAACCTTCTCATGATCCTTAGCTCTGCTTCTCGAAGCACTGACTGGTGTCAGTCCTGGCAGGGGGAATGTGCTGCTGGGTGTCAGCGAGGGGGAACAGTTGAATTGAATGGGGGAGTTTTGACCTGACAGAGGGAGTGCCTAGGATGAGAGTTTGTCTTTCGTCAGTGGGTGGAGATGACACACTGAATGTTACTGAGCTCTTTGACTGCTGAAGCCATCATGACCAGCTGCTGACCTCTGTTTCCACAGACGTCTTTCGGATCCTGCATCATGATGGGTTTCCCTCATTCCTGATCCAAGTGATGCTGAGGCCGGTCAGTATGACCTGTCACTGTGCTGGCTGAGAGCACTTTCACAACCTTGGTCCTTCCTGATGTTTGAGCCAATGTGAGGAAATGAAATATGGGCCGTGTACCGCAGTTATTCAAACATATTTATGCTTGTGTGTCCTGTTCCAGGTATGCTGTTGACTGTCTCAAGGAAGGAAAATTCAACTTTGCTTCTGATGTTTGGTCGTTTGGAGTCACATTATATGAACTTTTAACGTATTGTGAAACCCGCCAGAGTCCACCAGCTGTAAGTTGTCTTCTGCAATGTATATTGAGGTCAGGTCCCATTTGTGCTGTGTGATTGGGTCGAGCCCTGTCTGACCCCAATCCACTGACCATTGTTGTGCCTGGGACAACTCTGAAGGATGGTGGAACAGCCATCTCTCTACTGTGAGCCTTCACTGACCCCCCAGTTATACTTTTCCCGCATGCATCATGGCACAGAGCAGTCTCCAGCTCCCATTCTATCTCTACTCGCTGTCATACTATTTCACTGTTGCCTCCACTGAGGTTCTTTACTGTTCAGGATTCCCTTTAAAAGGACTCGTTTAATTTTGAGAGTGTAGGAGGTGACGTCTGTGACTTATTGAGGTACTTTCATACCTTGTTCCTAGAAATTCATTGAGATGATTGGAGTGACGCATGGACAGATGACGGTGGTACGACTGATTGATCTGCTGGAGAGGGGACAGCGCTTGCCTTGTCCAAAGTCTTGCCCTTTGGAGGTAAGAACAGAAATTGGGGCAAGAGATCTCTGTTCCTGCTGAGCCAACTCTCCCTGTGTCTGAACCATCAATGACCACGGCCTTTAACCTTCCCAGTTGGAGCCAGTGATGTGCTGCAAATACTGTGGAAGCTCTGGCAGCGCCTGTGGAGAATGTAACAGAATTGACGTTTTGAGTCCACATGCTGTTCTCTGGAGCTGATAGCTGCTTTTTTTGGCCCCAGGCAGGTGTAGAAGGTTTGTGTTTGTGACAGGACTGCAGTCTGTCAGCCCTGACAGATCTGTTCACTGAAACCCCTTCACTATCACAACAGGTTAAATGGCTTCTGTAAATGTTGCATGGCTCCTCAGTCCTTCCTGCTTTGTGGAACTGGGCCCAATGTTTCAGGAAGTTTCCAGATTAGTTGACCTTTGCTAATTGGGTCTGAATTTACCCAGATACATTCACCTGACAAACCGTTTGAAAGAAGCTTTTAGTTATTAAACAGAAGTGATGCAGCAGTTGCTGCTGTTTGTGTTTTGTGCTGCATATCGTGCAGATAATTCACTCTATAATGAACAACTTATACCTGGCTCCCCCAACCCGGAGTTACATTAGCTGCAGTGTGTCAATTTCAACATGCTCTACATGTATCTGACGCAGCAGGTAGCTGCTGTGCATGGGGGAGAATTCGGAGGGAGGCAACTCGATTGTTTCACATGAGCAATGTTCTCAATGTCTATTCCTCTCCCTCTTGTCAGTGGGTAATAGCTAGTGCTGAACTGGCAGATCCCATGAGGGGTGACCCTTACAGTTCCACAGCCAGCTGTAATGTCACTGTGGTTAGGCCCATATCGGAGAGTTCTCTGTGCCATACAGTTTGATTGAAAGGTCAGGGATGGATCAAGATGGTTTCCTGATACCAGTTGGTACCGTGTGATGCCACAAAAATAGATTACACCCGTGAGGACGGAGGAGAGATAAGAACAGGTAGTAAAAAGGGCTGCCTTTGGCCTTATCCAAACCATTAAATTGTCTTGTGAGAGGATGGTCCTCAACAGAAAAGAGTTGTATAACGCTGAATAAAGTTCACACCTCTTTCCCCTCTCTCTCTCTTTGTCTCCTTTGCCCAGGTTTACCAGCTGATGAACAAGTGTTGGGAATCTGATCCAGCTCGACGTCCCCCATTTCAGGAGCTGATCCCAGTCTTTCAGAAACTGTATGAAAGATACAAAAGGATAGAAACTTCAAACATTCTCCAGAAGTTATAAACAGCAACTGCCCTGACGAACCTCTTTCTATCCTTTTTCTCTTCTGACTTGGTAGCAGCTGATTATTGAGTATTCAATTTGAACCCCTCCCCATCTCTGTGCAGACCACCCTGCTCGCTCACTCTCTGTGTAGCCCACCCTGCTCGCGCTCTCTCTGTGCTGACCACCCCCCTCTCTGTGTCTCTGTGCTGTCCCCACCTCTTGTTGTACTCCAGTATATACCCCCCCATCCCCATCCACCACTCTATCTCTCTTCTGGAAGAACTTGTATTCTTATTGTGCAGTCATGACCTGAAGATGTCTTGGAGTTGTCCACAGCTAGTTGGCACTTTGTGAAGAGATGTCACTGTGCAGTATGTGGACAGAGATGTACATTTTGTACACAGCAAGGTCTGTCAAATCCCTGAGAACAATTAATGTTTCTTGGCAAGGGAATGAATAGTGGACAGGATGCTCGCAGAGCTTTGTAGCAACTCTTCAGCCTGGCCTAAACAAGCAATATGGCCTCGGATTAATATAAGATGAAAGCTTTGGTCTCTCGTCTGCATTATTGACATGCTGTTAGGACTTTGCTGAACATAAGAAGCTGAAGGATCTAGCTGTGAAAAAGACTGTTGGTGAACATTCATATTTTTAATTCCTTCCTCTCAGAACCTCTCCAGTTTGAATTAGTTCTGAGATCGGAATAATGAGTTATAGATACAGGCATTCATTCTATGCTTTGCATTTAATATCTGTCATAATATAGTCACGCATAACTGCAGCAGTGGTTCAGGCCACTGAGTCGGAATAAATTTCAACTCTTTCCCTGTCATGAATGCCTCTCAGTACCTAAGATTCTGATGCTGAAACTCAGTCAGATATTTTACACTGTGTTGACATTTAGTTGGGTACAATGATGGCTCTGATTACAGTCACATTATGTTCAGAATAACACTGGGAACCTAGTGAGTGCCCTATCCGCTAATGTCAGGCTGTTGAATTAATTTTACGTTGCAGCATTTTGGGTCTTATTACTAAGTGCCAGTAGACGTGTGCGTTTTGCACGTTTCTGATTTATTAAATTCATTTAGTGTGCTTCACTGCCAAGTCACGGTGTTTGCCTTGCTTCAGCTTAAATTAGAACAAGTCAGACATTAGCTCAGCAGCCTCAGTCCCTCGTGAGACATTTGGAGTTGGCCTGCCTACTGAAGCCAGGGAAATGGACAAATACATTCTCTCTGAACTGGTAGTGCACAGGAGGCATTTTGCAGAAGTGCCCACACCACAGCTGCCGGTATTATCAAGAGCACAGGACCGATTCTACGTGATCTTCGATATCTGTACAACCGCTGAGGTGAGGGGAGAAGTTCTTGAGCCTGAATTCACCAGACAGTGATAGACCAGCCCTCGCGTGCTAAAGTTCTCAGTCATTTGTACTATTTACAGGCGTGCTCATGTACATACTGTCGTACAGCGTCTTCTCTGTTGGTGTTCAGACATTTTATGCCAAGTGACAGTGAAAATGGAGATGCCAGTCCTAGGGTGATAGTTAGATATGCCGAATTGTGGAGTTAGCATGATGTAATGGATGTTTAATACTGTTTAACACTCCAAGATCCACTCAACAGGAAAACTGCTCAGGAATGGCCGCGAGCTGCTGCAATATTATGGAAATACAATTAAAATGATCTTCGGGAGAAGTAGGAGTGGGAGATGGGTGCAAAGTATTTCTGCTCATCATTCAAGTGTCTGTCAGACTCGCTGATTCTTGACAGTACAGTTTTCCCATTGGATGGTTCAGTTGTTTTGTAACTGGTTCTGATGATGGAGGTGGTGGTGGTCCTGATCGTATCACTCAGACTTTGTATGTGTTGCCCTGTTTTCGAACAGTGCCCAATTTCAATGAACACTGACTTTGCCAGCCTCAGGATAAGCATATCACTTTCCAGCATGGGAGTCTCCAGGAGTGATGACCCAAAGCCTCCTGCTTTCCTGGACGGACCGTCTCTCATTTGATTCAGTGCTCATGGTAAAGACCAATGAGGAGAGGGTGCAATTAACAGACTGGAGTGCGACTCTCACAGCTTATTGTTTTACAATGTAAACGGACACAGGAAGGCACTTCTAAACATTGAACTGTTGATTCAACTGCTTATATTTACCTGTTTTATCCAAAATGTGTCTTCTGTGCTGAGATACGAAGAAGCAAATGCTATGTCATTGCATTTCTGATTTGAGTTAATCGAGCAGCACTGAGTACATTGGTAACTTTCTGTCACTAAGGAGCAAAGTTTGGGGGAGTTCAACACATACCAATTACCACTGTCATCATGGTGAGTTTGCTGAGTTGAGTAGGAGTGAATAACTCTTTTTCAGAAGCTGCTGTTCAGATCAAGAGAGTTTTCAGGTCTGTGGGAAACTGTTTGCATTACTATGTTGTTGAACAGGAACTCAATTCAGGCATGGCGACCTGAAATAAAGAGAATGGCAATGTGTATAGATGGTTTGAACTGGACTAAAGATGTATATTAAACACCAGGACACATTACCACATATAGCTTATAGGACATTTTAAAATTACCTTTGATTTACCTGACCTGAGTATGATTGTGAATGATGGACATCATGTATACCATATTACATTATTTGCACTTGAATACATGGCCAATTTATCGTTGAAACAGTTTCATTCTTATTATGTTCAGTGATGGACAGAGCTTACTCTATTTTGGAATACTTATGTGTGTCTGTCTTTTTCTCTCTTTAGACTTTCTCATACATACTTGCACTTTTTAGAAAGGATTAGGCAAGATTCCCAGTGTCTTGCCTCACTTTTCTCTTGCTGTCTCAAAAGTATTTATCTTAAAGTATCAATGACCATTTGTTCTCCCAGGAATGTGATTGAAAATGTTGTGTGTTTATGCCAGTCAGCATGTTTAGCAATTGTCTAGAGTCCTCTATTAACCTAATGCTTAAACTGTTTTTCTCTGAGTTTCAGCTACCTTTTCCTGGACCATTTATTTATTAATAACTGAATTATGTTGAACTTCATTTAATGATGGATCACATTAAAGTAGTACCATTTATGCTTTTGAATCAGAATATTCATATCTTAACACATTTTAAAGCTTTGTACTCACTTACCGTGGTGTTACATCAACTTGATCAGCACCTATTGGTCTTGTGTAATGTTGGCACAAACCTAGTTCAACTTTGGAAATCTCACACATGTCCTTCTGTTGGAATGTCTATTAATAGGCATTACTTGTGTCAGCTTTGTCAGGTCAGAACATGATCGAAGAAGCTTTTTAGTGATTGTTCCGTTCCATCCTAAAATTAGCATGTTCCTATTCTCGCCCAAACTCCCCAAGTGCACACGTGTGAACTATGCCTTGTACTTTTGGAGAACAAATGGATTTCATTGGTGATTAGTTTAAACTATGTTCTTATCATTTGGGATTGTGAATGCTGAGGTAGAAATAAATTGTTTTCACGTTTAGTTCTGATTCGGGGACTTGGGTTTTTTTTAAGGAAGATAGAGTCATTTTTGAATAGGGAGTTCAAAACAGTCTTTCCAAGAAAGCACGTGACTTAGGTTAAATGGCCAGCAAGCTACAGGAGAAGGTAACTGAAATAGTGTTCACAAAGTTGAACCTTTATGTGGAGAAGAACAGCTGGCCACAGGCCACAGTCAGGTTTCAGTTGAGAAGATTCTCACATGAGCAAAGGGTCATTGGAGCCTGTGGCAGTCTCCTGGCTGTTAGAACTGGAAGGCAGTCTGAAACTGTTCTAACAGTTCAAATGGACAGGGCTTTTCTTCAGGTTCAGCTGGGAAAGGCTGTGAATTAGGTGATGTCTGTGTACCTTGAGGAGAAACTGTAACCTTTAGTGTGATGCAGGAGGGAACAGAAGTAAACCCATTAATGTACTTCAATGAGTTCAACTTCATCAGCTAAGTAAGAAAGAGTTAAGATATGAGTGGTACTTTAGGGCTGAGTGGCTGTAAGAATATTGTTGGGGGAAAAAAGGTTGAAATTTTTGACTTAAGATCTTTCCAATTAGTCTTCTATTATATACATGTATAAAACTTAGTTTTTTTTATTTCTTTGGTGTAATAAATTTATCTTTTGTTAAAAAGTACATTGACAGCCTTGTGTGAATATGTTCAATGACTGACCAGTGCAGTAACCAAATTGCAAAAATAAAATTTATGGTCTATCAAGCCAGGTCTCTCTGTTTCTGGAGTCTGACTTAGTCACAGAGTCATACAGCATGGAAACAGGCCCTTCGGTCCAACCAGTCCCTGCCGAACATAGTCCCAAACGAAACTAGTTCCCACCTGCCTGCGCTTGGCCCATATCCCTCCAAACATTTCTTATTCATGTACTTACCTAAATGTCTTTTAAACATTTTAGCTGTACACGCATCCACCACTTCCTCTGGGATTTCATTCCACACACAAACGACTCTGTTTAAAAAAAAAGAGTTGGCCCTCAAATCTATTAAAATCTTTCTCCTCTCACCTTAAAAATATGTCCCCTGGTCTTGAAATCCCCCAACCTAGGGAAAAGACACCTGCCATTCATCTTATCTATGCCCTTCATTATTTTATAAACCATTATTTTGTAGACCTATAAGGTCACCCCTCAACCTCCTATGTCCAGTGATTAAAAAAAATGTCCCAGCCTCTCCTTATAACTCAAACTCTCCATTCCCAGCAATTTCCTGGTAAATTTCTTCTGAACCCTCTCTGGTTTAATAATATCCTTCCTATAACAGGACAACCAGAATTGTACACAGTATTCCAGAAGAGGCCTCACCAACATCCTGTACAACCTCAACATAATGTCCCAACTCCTATACTCAAAGGTCTGAGTGATGAAGGCAAGCATGCCAAATGCCTTGTCTAGTATTACCATCAGCTGAAACCAAAACTGAGTGGGAGCTCTTTGTGGGACCGAAATCTGTTAATTTAAGAGTGAGCTGTGAATGTTTAATAAAACGAGTACATGGAGGCACTAGACATAAAAACAGAAATTGTGAAGTATACAGGTTGGAATTTTGAAATGACTTTAACTGTTGCTATGGCTTTTCTGGGAGTTTAAGGTGTAACAGTGGATTATTTTAAATCTTTGTTGAAGGCTATACTGAGTTAGCAGACAAGTTGGAGGAAAAAATAAAAGCAGGATCCTGTAAGGCTGAGATGCTGAGACTAGATTTGAAAGGAGGGAAACCTGACATTGGCATATCATTGCTAGAATTAGCTAAAATTCAACTAGAACTGACAAAAACTATTAGGAAAAGAAAATGAGACCACTTGGATTGGAAGGTAGAGAAATGAGAGTAACAGAAGGGGAAGTAGTTTTAAAAAGTTTGAACTCCAACGAGACGGGAATTTCGGTCAACATGACCCCGGATAAAGGAAGGAGGTGGTGGTACGAGCTCAGAGGATGATGCTGATCCCCATGAGGGATCTGATTCGACAAGAAATCTGTTTATTGTTGAAATTCAGAAGATGGAGTTGAAGGTTTGGCACGCATTTGAAAACATAGCTGAAAAGATGAAATGGCCAAAGAAGTTTGAATCTTTTTAATATTTTGATCGGTACAGCTACAAATTTGTATACCAATTTGTGTAAGAGCAATCTGTATATTATTAAACTGTTAACAACACTGCTAAACTTGTCCCTGAAGCTTATCAATTACAATTTAGGACGTTAGAAAAGAAACTTACTCGTTGGTTTGTAGAATTCGCAAGCGGCAAATAAATGCTGTGGGCTAAGTGGTTTTGATCACCATAGTCAGAAAAAAAAATTGAAAATGTGAAAGAAATCATGTATTTGGAAGAAGTCCAGCTACCCTTAAGATTTGTTTTGATTTCTCCCACAGTGTGAGGAAACAGTCATACAAGAATCAAAAGGAATTTACAGGAAGAGAAAATCCGGGCATGGAAAGGATATTGGTTTTAGGTAGCAAACAGAAGGATGCCAAAACAATAAGGTCAGAAGTCCCATGACACCAGGTTATAGTCCAACAGGTATATTTGAAGTCACAAGCTGTTGGTGCGCTGCTCCTTCACTGGGTGAAGTCAGCTGCTGAATTAATGATCCTCCATGTTGAACAGCAGATGAAAGAAGATGACAGAGGGTGGCAAGGGTGCAGAATGTACTTTGGGAGCTTCCATGTGCATCATTGAGTGACTCGGCATCACAACTGGTTGAGTTCTAAAGGATGTAGCTAGAGTGGGTTTGCAGCAGCTGGTGAAGGAACAACCACTGGCAAAAAATCTACCTCAGCCTCACTCATCCACCTGTCACGCGAGTCTGTCCACAATGGTGTTAGTTGGCAGGAAAATGGCGCAGTCCTTGTGGGGACAAAGCCCCAAATTCATATTGAGAATACCCTCCATCACAGTGTGTGGCATGAGCCCCTTGCAAAATGAGAGATTTTGAGCATTTGTGAGATCAGGGATGTGAGGAAGAACAAACCAGACATACCAGCACTGGATATTAAACTTAAAAATGTTAAACAACCCTCAAAACTGCCCAATCGTTCCTAAGCAGACGTTATTAATAACAGATCAGATACCACGTTTGTAGCTTAAAACAGAAAATAAAAACTTAGTATTAATAGTGTAACTTTAGCAGAGCAAAGTTAAACAAGGTAATCTACATAATGGCTGACTTAAACACAGTCTTTTTTTGTCTGTTTGAGAAAGTGAGAGTTACGATGTTAAGGGATAAAAATAAGATGTAATTGGCCAGTTTGATAACCATTTCAATGGTGACTACCAAGCCTTTATGATATTGCATGAATTATGCATAGTATGACAGGTATATGGGCTGTATCTTGCTTGAATTCTGAAGACACCAGTTCATTGAAATAGCTGCTGCAGACCACTAGAAACTTACTTTTGGCTTCCACATGGGTTCTTTTCTCAGAACTTTCAGTAATTTGATAACTGGCTTTAAGAGCAACCAAAACCCCAACCTCCAGCTTTCACAGTCTCCCTGCCTCTGTCTTCAAAAACTGTCAAAAAACAGTTCAATCTTTGGATTCTTTTTATTAACTTTTTTTTTGTTTGGTTGGTACTGGCCTTCCTTTCACTGACCTCTTAACATCCAAGCAGCCATCAGTGCTTCAGGATAATACATCTGAGGTGTCGAAACATCAGCGGCACAACAGTAATTAGCCTGCCAGTAACTTTCCAGTCACTTCTAATAAGCAATTCAATTTGTTTGTTTGTTGAGCAGCAGCTTGTTTTGTACGAAGTCCAAAGTTCAACTCTTGACTTGAGCTCTCAACTCCAAACCAAAATAAGAAAAACAGTGATGGTTATCTCACCCCTTAGATGCTGTGGGCCATCAGCAGTTGCAGAATTGTACTCTGACACAATTTGCAACCTCATGACCTGGCATATCCCTCAGTTTCCTATTACTAAGAAACCAGGGAATCAAACCTGGTTCAATGAAGAGTGCAGCAGGTTTGCCAGGAAAACACTGTGCTTATGGGAGCACAGCTCTCTCTTTCCATTGTGGGTAAAAACCTGGTCATCAGGTCTGAGATACTCTTGGTGTTGTATGTGGTGCAAGTCTGACCATTTCCTGAGCCTGCATTCACCTGGGCCCTTTTCCACTTCATCTGGAGGTCTAACATGGACCGTGTCTGCAGGAAAAAATTTGTGGAAAAGGGAGGGAAGAATGTACCAAATATTGCCCTCATCCTGATAGTCACCCTTGTATGTGGCTGCATCAAAATATGTGTAGACCCTCGGTTCACAAACCCCAAATGTCACTACTTACTGAGGTTCTACCTGTCCCCAGTGTTACAAAGGATGGGACTGGCCTTGGAGACTCGGAATGGTCCAAGTAGTTGTCCTACGGAGAGAAATTTGCGAAGAAAAACACCTTTGACCACAAGTCCATCAGGAAGTGGTCAGCATGTAGCATCCTCAAGACTCTGTGGGAAAAGGAGAGGGTGGATCCTGTCGGGTTGTTCCCATTGGGTTGTTCCCTACACACACTGTTAAAATCATTTGGCAGAATGTCATCGCCAGAACCTTCCAACAAGCACGAAGACATCACTTGGCTGGTGGTGAGAAGGGCAATACCAGTCAGATTGTTTAATGTACACCCAGACTCTCTACGCCACCACGTGCTGCCCTCGAAGCAGATGTGGGGGTGGGATTAGACTGTTACACATCTTCTTCTGGAACATGCCTTTGAAAAGAAAGTCTGTTGAAAGCTGCAGTGGATTTTGTCGAGGTTTGTCCCAAGCAGCTTTGTGACGCGGGACTCTGTGCTGCACGGTCTGTTCCCCAGGATGCACACTGAGACAAATATCAACTGCGCCTGGAAGACCATTCAATCAGTGAAAAATGCCCTTTGATCTGCCCAAAACTTGTCGGTCTTCCAGAACAGAGAGTATACTCGACTGAGTATTGCAGACTGGCACATTCCATCCAACTCCAGGACTATGTGCTGAGGGATGCACTGAAGCTTGGGGGAGCAGTGGGGAAAGACCACCATCTCAGGTCTTTCTGCTGAAGTATAGTAATGGTCAGTTGTCAGAAGCTCCTATTGCCTCAAAAGAAATGTAAATAGTGTTTGCATGACTAGTGTTTGCAACTGCAAAGAAGCTGAGGAATGTCACATTCCAATGCGTTTGTATGTTTTCCTCTATAAAGACTGTCCAGAATTGTGTTAGTACCTTTTGTATATATATGAAAAGTTTATTTTTGCAAAATTAAAAAAAAAACTGGAATAGCCACAGGATAAATATTGTTTCTAAAATAATCAGAAAGTACTGGGACTATGCGAGCAGGTCAGGGTAGAGCTCCACCAGTGAGTAACTCCCCTCCCGACTCCCCCAAAGCCTGTCTTCCATCTACATACATAATTTAGGAGTGTGATGGAATACTCCCCACTTGCCTGGATGGGTGTAACTCCAACAATACTGAACAAGCTTTACACCACCCAGGACAAAGCAGTTCCCTTGACTGGCATCATCTCCAGAAAACTGCAGTAACAGTAGTGTGTACCATTCATACCATTTACAATCTACAAGCTGCACTGCAGCAACACACCCAGGCTCCTTCAACAGCACCTTCCAAATCTGTGATCTCGACCAACTTAAAGGACAAGGGCAGCAGATGCAGAGGAATGCAACCAGCTGCAAGTTCCCCTCCAAGCCACTCACCATCCTGACTTGTAAATATATCTCTGTTCCTTCATTGTCGCTGGGTCAAAATCCTGGAACTCCCTCCCTAACAGCATTGTAGGTAATCCTACACCCTCAGGACTGCATTAGTTAAAGACACACCACCACCTTCTCAAGGGCAATGAGAGATGGACAACAGATGCTGGCCAAGTCAGTGATGCCCACATTCCCTAAACAACAAAAGAAAACACATTCAGGTTCAAATTTTATGTCACAAATATTCAAAGAAATAATGCGTAGTTTGGGAATAAAACAAACTGTCTTGTATCATCGGAACATTACGTATAGGCAAGGATGTTTTTCTTGCCAATTTACACAAATCAATTTATAAGTTATGGTTGGTTCGCTCGCTGAGCTGGTTCGTCAGTTTGCAGACATTTCATTACCCTGCTGGTAAAAAAAAACTAACAAACCAGTTCAGCGAGCGAACCGACCACAGCATCAACGAGCCGACTACAAATCTACTCAAGAACCTTAGTCAATTTATAAGTCTTAAAGCTTTTGTGAGTTATTTCATTAGTTTTCTGGGAGATAGCACTGATCAAATTCTATAACAAGAAGGGTAATTACAGAAAGGTGTATTTACAGCAATAAAAGAAATAGGAAGTGAAATTTGAAAATGAATCAGAAATTGAACATTCAAAAGCTCACCTCAAGTGATCAGGTAGAACAGAATATCCTTTATTGTCACGTGTACTCCATTATAGAAGTACAGTGAAAAGCTTCTACAATGTCTGCCTCTTATGGTGCCATCTTAGGTACAAGTAGCTAGGTATAAATCTTGGATACAGAAGAGGAATAAAAAGTAATTGCACTTCTTTACAGAGTTTTAGAAAATAAGTTAGAAATAAGACACTGTTAAAGGATTTGCTTTACAGCCAGGTTTAAAAAAAATTCAAACAAACATTACATTGTAGCAGCTCAGCACAAGGCCTCTGCATGTGGCCTGACCACCCGCACCCGACCCCAGTCCAACAGCCATCCCTGCTCCACTCCTAGCCTCCAGTCCACTCCATACCAGCACTCAGCTGCTCCAAGGTAAGTTCCAGGACTGCCTCCCCCACACCAGTCGCCAACTGGGACTTACTGCCTGCGTGCTGCTCTGGGGCTTGATTGTCGAGATGGTTAAAAAGTTGATTGGGATATTATGCTATTTCCAGAAAAACCGTTGAAAACTTACAAAAGCTTCTAGATTGCAGTTGATTTCTTTACAGTGATCTGGTAAAACAGTTTTGGATATGCATAATGTCAATATAGGGGTGTATAACCCATAAAACAACATCCTTATAGGTTCAACTTAGAGAATTTAACTCAAATGGAGGAAGAGATCAAGCTTACGATGGACAACGACCCTTTTGAACCAAGTCATAGTAGCTGCAGCTCACCTTTTGTGATGTTGTCAAAACCATATAGATCACATAGATTTTGTACAAACACAAAGCTGCTGGAAAAGCTCAGCAGGTCTGGCAGCAACTATAAAGGAAAAAAAAGAGTTAACGTCTCAGTCCTCAGAACTGATTCTGAGGGTCACTGGACCCAAAACATTAACTCTTTTTTTCCTTTATAGTTGCTGCCAGACCTGCTGAGCTTTTCCAGCAACTTTGTTTTTAGTCCTGATTTACAGCATCTGCAGTTCTTTCAGTTTTTACATAATTTTGTATTTGTGGTCACAAAGTTAATTTGGTAACAAAAGCAAATTCATATCTATTGGAGGATTGTATTGAGAGGATTAGACAAACACAATTTGTTATAACAACTGACCTGTTAAAAGCACGTTGGCAAGTTCCATTGAGTACACAGCCAAATAAACTTTAGTATTAATGATCCAAGTGGACTTTATCAATGTAAGATTGACTATTTGGTATGAAAAATGCACCAGTGATTTTTGAACAATTAACTAACATGGTAATTGAAGGATAATGCAGCTGTGTTGTATATATCCCCATGATGTTGTGTTCATCCAAACCTGGAAAGAATATTCACAATATTTTGTAACTGTGCAAAGAGCCCATTTGGTCACAGATCTGGCTAAATGTAAATTTGCCAAGGTAAAAATGACTTATTTGGGCACACTGTGAGAACAAGTCCAAGACCTAGAGAAGCCAAAGGTAAGGGCCATCTTGGCCTTTTCCCTGCCCAAGACGAAATGCGGAATTCAATTATATTGACATGACTAAATTTTAATGGAAGTCTGTTCTGAATTTGAGCACTGTTTTGCTTCCCTTGATTAATTTATTAAAGGCAAGAAATTTGAAAGGAAAGAGAAAGCTGTACTGATCATCACACAGGTTTTGGCAGCACCTAATTATGGGAAGGCATTTAAACTGGCTGTTTTAGTACAAGAGAGAACAATGGCGATTGCATGGCCAGTCAGCTACAGTCAAAACACTTTAGTAATTTTAAAGCTAGGTTTTAGTTTCAGAGGTAATGGAGGGGGTTCCACTATCTTGCCAGATATAGAAGCTCAAACACTGGAAGATCTGACTGCACTAATCCCATTTTCCAGCTGTTGGCCAACAGCCCTGGAGCCTAATGGCAACACAAGTGCATGTCTTACCACTACTTGAAATTTTCAGACTGTTTTCCAGATTCTCACTACTCCTGGGTGAAAAAATTTCTCCCTCCGACCTTAAACCTATGCCCCTTGTACTATTGGGGGAAAAAAGTGTCATCCTCTCTGTCTCATTTGTACTCTACATGATTTTTGTTTACACCTTTGTCGCATCCCCTATCCCTTCCCATGGGCATCCTCTGCTCAGATCTCGCGAGACATGGCAATTGCGGAAGTGACGGAGACCGGACCAATCAGCCGCCGGTTTGCTCCGTGGTGCGGGCCCCCCGGCCAAGGTCACGTGCCGCTTTAACCCGTCCAGCCAATGAGAAGCGTCGATCCTGTTGCTAATTCAAGATGGCGGCCACCGTGTCCGTTACTGCGCCGGAGAGCGAGTTGAGGGAAAACGGGGAAAACGAGGAAAGTAACCGGGAGGAGGCGGAGGATGAGCAGTGGGAGGCCGCGGAGCTGGAGACGGCCGACGGGGAGGTCGGTGAGTCGGAGGTGGCTCCGCGGCGGCGGACTCCCGAGGAGACGCTGCCCAGGCTGGAGGCCGCCGAGAAAGAGCAGCGCCTGCAGCGGACCCGCCGCGAGTTCCGGAACCGCCGCAAAATCATCATCCGGAACCTGCCGTCTGATATTATCACCCAGGTGAACCCTCCACCCCACCGTGAGGTGATCGGGGTGCGGGTCGGGAAAGGAGGGGAGAGCCGGCGGGAACCGGAGGGTGGGGAAGCCCGAGGCCCTGGGGCCGGCCGTCGGCACTACGCCTGCGTACTCCCTTCCTCCCCCGCGCGGTCTCTGCGCTGATTGAGGGACAGGGATGGTTGGAAGGGCTGAATGACCTCCTGTTTTCTGTCCCGTACCATTTCCTTTCACAAAGGGACATTCAGCATTCTCATATGTAGCGGAGGCGTGTGTTAGTGGTCAGTTTTAATAAGGTCTCAGTTGATTTAACCTCGAAACTATAACTGGCCAAACAGTGAGCATTCATTTGGACAAATGTGGGTTAGTTAACAAAACCCAGGACAGACAAGCCTGTAGACGATGAATGCGAGTTAGGGCGTTCAAACTGGAAGTTTCAACGAATGTTTAGTTTGTCCTTTTTTTAAAAAAAAAATGCACATAAATGCAAGGTTCTTGAGTGGATTTGTAGCTCGGGTTGTGGATGGTTGGCTCGCCGTTCCACAGATGTTTCATTACCCTGCTGGGTAACATCTTCAGTGCAGCCTCCGATGAAGCAATGTTGTGTTTTCCCGGCGGAAAACCAGGCGGGAGCCGGCGAAAAACCAGGCGGGAAAACACAACAGCGCTTCATCAGAGGCTGCACTGAAGATGTTACCCAGCAGGGTAATGAAACGTCGGTCAGCGAACCAATCACAGAATGCAAATATATATTTAGCATCATTCTGAGCTTGTGGTCCATCCTCTGCAAAGCAACGTTTAATTATGTTGAGGAGTTCCATGTACTTATGGTTTCATTCTGTATAAATTGAAGGAACATATCAATAGCAGTGCTGTTTACATGTTTTCACATCTATTTTGGGATCTTTGAGTAACACAAAGAAACTTTGTGAGTTGGCACTTGTAGCCATTTGTTATCTTTGTGAATCACAGCAGATACTAGTTGTTCCCAATGGTTTTTTATTGTATGTGTACTGAAAGTGATGGAACTTAGTGTCTTTCAGACTTTATTATCATTTAAGCATAACCAGGCACAAGTATTTCAAGCAAGTATTTTAATTCGAGCCCCATTCACATGAACGCAAGTGGAACTCCTGTCTCAGCTACAATACCAGAAATTCTCAACTGCCGTTAAATGATGCACACTGTTGAATTCCTGACTGCAATATCCTGAATCCATGGGCTAAACTTACTTTCTATTTGGAGCTGTTCAGCAGTTTAATGGTGGTTATGAACTAAGAGGGTAAATGCAGCAATATGCCTGACCTCGACAACTAGTCCTGTGTTCTGAGCAAAAGTGAAATGGTCCACTTTTGCAAAAATCTAATCTGGTGAATTCTGTTGAATGGGTTATCAAATGAACTGGAAATCACTGAACTTTAGTCAGTGGATGATGACGATTCAGGGAAGTGGCTTCTTAAGTTTAATAACCTGGGTGCAATTATAGTTTGTAAATTCCTATACAGAATAACAGAAAATATCTGGAAGTGTATAGTATGATGGGCTGAAATGTAATCTGTATGTGAGCAGATTAATTCAAAAAGAACAAGTTAGAATTACATAACATTCAAGGCAATGGGCCTAGTGCGAGAAGGTGCGATTAGTCTATATGGTAGTATACTTTTGACAGTACAGATTTGATAGGCTGAAGGGCCTGTTCTGTATGAATTTATGACTCCAGATTGCATTCTAGTGAGCATTCATGGAGCATGACAGACTTGATGCTAGAGAAGTGTGCATTTCACTGAACTTGCATAAGCTAAGACAAGCATATTCTCATTTAAGGTTTTATTGAACCAGGCTTGTTTAATGTCAGCATTGTGGTTATGTGTGTGGTGGCTGAATTTGATGATACAAATTTTGGTAGTAGAATAAGTTATGAAGAGGACATTAGTCTGCCAAGGAATATAGATATGTTAAAAGAGTGGGCAAAAATTCAGCAGATGGAATATGATGTGAACTGGCCTATTCTGGCAGGAAGAATAGAAAAGCAACATATTAATGAATGGAGAAAGATTGTAGAATTTGGATGTACAGAGGGATCTGGGTGTCCAAGCACATGAAACACATGATTAAGAGGACAAATAGGGATGTGGTCTTTTCCTGTAAGAAGAATGGAGTGTAAAACTAGAGAAGCCTTTTTATGACAGTAGCACAGAGTGTTGGTAAACCCACATATTGAGTGTTGTGTAAGCTTTGGTTTCCTTGTTTAAAAAAGATATAATTGCACTAGAAGCATTTCAAAGAAGGTTCACGCGGCTGATTCTTATCTTATATGGAAAGGTTGGACAGATTGCACTTCTAGCACTTGGAGTTCAGAAGAACGAAATGTGGACTTAGAGGATCTTACATGGGAGGATATTTCTCCTTGCGGGGAAAGACTACAAATAAAGGACACAGTTTTTGAAAAAAGGGTCACCCACTTACGGAGCTGAGGACAATCTCTTTTCTCTGAGATTGGTGTGTCTGTGGAACTCTGTTCCCCAGAGAGCAGCGGAGGTAAAGTCATTGAATATTTTAAGGCTGTGACAGATTATTGACTAACAAGAGTATCAAAGGATATCATATAGGGTATCATTCAGAGGGAAGACATGACAGTGGAGTTGAGGACATGGTCAGATCAGCCCTAATCTTATCAAATGGCAAAGCAGGCTCGAGAGACTGAATGCCCTCATCCTGCTAATTTGTATCCTTTTACATAATTCTTGCTGGAACACAATCTGTTTTCCCCCTTCCCTATAAAACTCTGCAATATTTTGTTCAACTTGATATATTTTAACCTCTTCATTTGATTTATTTTTCCCCTCCATGTGTTGAATGATCGTGTTAATATAAAGGCTGAGGTTTAACCACAGACATCAGAACAAAATTAAGTGCAGATTGATTTTGCCATCATGTTGGGGTTGAAAGTTTTGGTTATGTTCTCCTTAATTTACAACACACAGTTCCCTGAAATTACAAAAGGAGTTCTGCACATTAAGAAGTTTCAGGTCATAGTTCATTTTCATTTCAATATCTCCCCACCTGGACATTGTATAGCAGGCTCTGATTTTGCAGCTTTTCTGTGCTTTTTACAGCACAAGTTATCATTGGGATAGTTAGACCCTTTTTTATTCAAATTCCAAAATGCTGATAACACTAACACATTAATATCCAGCTGTTAACATGCTTGCAACACCTGAATATCAAGGTATAAAAGTTTCTAATCACTTTCAGAATTGTTTTATCTTGCTCCTCCTGCTTTCCTCTTCAAAGATCTGTGTTTGTTTGATTAACCGTGCCTCCGTCGTTGTCCCAAATTTCTGCTGTTCACCACCTCGTTGTTTGCTGTTACCCCGTTTAAAACACTAGGGTCTGCCTCACTGTGGAAAACAAAGGTTTGTGCAAGTTTAGTATTCTACATGTTGAAATGTGCCAATTTCGCAACTTGGTTAAAATTTTGCCTGAAAAATGTACTTATTCAATAGGTATCTCATTTCCCTTGTCCTGTTTGTCAGAGCAAGGTGATATCAGTGTGAGGTTCCTTTCTCTTGCCATCACCCCCACTTAAACAATACAGGGAAGTGGGCAGAAAGAGGGTGATGAATTATTTGAAATAATGTGAGTTAGACAAAGTAACAAGAGTCCCAAGATAAATTTGTTAAATTAACTGCTCCCAAGTTAGGCACGGAATGAGGGCAGCAGTTCATCAGAGTGAACAAAAACAAATTTGCTGGAAAAGCTCAGCATGTCTGGCAGCATCTGTGCAGGAGAAAACAGAGTTAACATTTAGGGTCCGGTGACCCTTCCTCAGAACTTTTTTTTTTAGTTCATCAGAGTGGCCCTGTGAAAATAAACAAAAGGTTTATGATTTTTAGCTGTTGACCAATGCCTGGAACTTCCACACTTGGAAGTTGTCTGAAGCAAGATGAAGTTTGGCTGTTATATTTAAATATTTTCCTCCCATCCATGCATTTGCTGTATCAGCTGTTGTAGTTCACTTTCTGTGCCCATGTGAAAAGTGAGGTCTTGAGCAGCCAATGCCCACAGAACTGTGTGTGAGAGTTAATGCCTAGAGAGGGCTAGCAAATAAGTGTGGTTACCAGTGACTGAAACCCTTGTTCCCTGCATGCATCAAGCCTTGAAATTGCATGTTACTTTAATACTTGTACTGTGACCCCTATGAATAAACTTGATCCTGTTTCCTCAATCTATCTTATGGAGAAACACCTTTTAAGCTACCATTCAAAATTCGAGGAAAATTATGGGAAAAGCAGACTGCTCTAAACCAAGAAGACTGCAGTTTTAACTAAGTTACTGGAACTCTGTGAATTGCATTGACACTTGATTTGTTTAAGCAGTGGGGAGGATTGTTGGACTCATCAGTTCTGTAGACTTGTGTTTTGCACAGAAACAGCCATTTGATTGGTCTTTCAATCTGAACTGTTGTGGGGTCAGATGTAATCAGCACGACAACTCTCTGGCTCCTGGGCAAGTGGCTAATACAGAGGCAAAAAAAGACAGCATCTCTCACTCACTCTCTTGCAGAAAGCAAGGTAACAAAGAACTGGAAGAGAGCTAGCTGTTCTCACTCTCCATTTTTCCTATAAGGCTGCTGCCTCGAACCATTGACTTAGAGAATGAACAATTAAAATACCAACTGCCCTGTGTCTGCAATAAAGAACCAAAACGATTTGGAAAGATGATGATGATTGATGAAATGGATTTAGAGGAAAGCAAAGAGACACCTCATTGAATCCTGTGGATTGGTGCTATTGAACAGTGTTGCACTAATATTCCTTTCTCCGTTCGTAAAATCTCTTTTTTTTGTCTTTGTCTGCATAGAGGTTTAAGAAGAAGTAGAGTTTAGGTTACAGAATTATAAGTTGATAATTCATATTTTGTTTGCCTGTGTTTAGACCTGATTTACTTGTAATAAATAGTAGTTTTTTGTTAAGTGCAAATATCTTGTCAGTGCTTTTTGTTAACCTGCATTCAACAGACAGGAGCATTTGGGGACTTGGAGTAATTTGATGAAATCAGTAACATTTGTGATGACCCCCTGGTGAAGAGAGGCTTGAGTATCAGTGTACTTTTCCAAGAGTGCATTCTGCCAGACAATGAAAACTATTTGTTTTTAAATTCTCAGATTTGGTTCATTGGAATAAATCCTCGCAGAGTTTGCAGAACTCTTAAATTATTTCAATTGGAGTGCTAATAAGGAATTTAAGGCTAACACAATTTTTTCAAGTGAAGTAAAATAAGTTGTGTTGAAGCGTTTGCATGATTTTTCTGCTCTGACTTGTTTCCTGTTCAGGTAAGAGGCAGCCAGGATGCTGCCGAGATGCATTTGTTCTTTCATCTTGTTGGAAGAGCTGTGTAACGTTATAGTGTATGCTTCCTGAGTGAATAATTATTGCAAGAGCAAGCATTTTCCCCTGTCTCCCACAATGCTGAGAGAGATCCGACTGAATGTCAGAATCCATCACCTTAACATCTTTTGAATTTGAGCAATCTTCGAGGTTCTTTTGTCTGTTTTCCTCCTTCCCTGAAACCCTAGAATTTGGATTGACAGACATTTCCATAGGAGTCAGGTGGTTTCCAGCACTGAATCTCACTAGCCATTGTTTATCCAGGTGATAACGGGGGCTACAAACCAGGCTGACTGTGTCTTGGTATGACGATTTTGTCTTTCCAACAGGTGTTCCAGGAGCCTGTCTAGCATCATTGTAGCTAAAATTAACTCTCTCACCACTGAACTAAATGTCTCGAACATTGTTACTCTGTGCGGGTCACTAATTTACTGGCTGAACTTATTAAGGTGTAGATGCATAAATATTTGAAGAAGGAAAGGCAGGAACATTATTCAGTGCACTCATGTTGAAACAAAAGCTGGTGGATGCTGTAGAATTTATAGAGGAGACTGATTTGCGCTGTTTCCAGTGCTAGCTGGTTCATTTTAGACATGATATTTGACTGATGGACCACCACAGTAAAAATTCTTATTGATACCAGAATTAGTTATACATGTTAAGGGGCTTTTGAACTTGATCCATTCACAGCATATGGAAGGGACAACAGTTATCGCCCAATTCCTAACTACCCTTGAGAAGGTGATCAGCTGTCTAATGGCTTGCTTGTCCAGTTAAGAGTTGGTCACATTGTTTTGGGTCAGGAGTCACCTATTGATCAGACTTGCAGGTGGGGATGGCAGATTTCCTTCCCTTCAAGCTGTTTGTGACTGGATTGATGTTGCTCCAAACCAGTTGTTTCAAGGTCACGATTATGGCTTTTACATTGCCACGTTGTGATTTGACCGTGTGTTTGCAGATTAGAAACTCGCGTTAAAAGATTGTTAAACTGGACCTGTTGATTGCTAGTCCAGTAACGAAACCACTTTACCATGCCCACATCCTATTTTTTTAAAAAAAACAAGTTCGTAGTAGCTGATTATATCATTCAGAGCAGGTTAACGAGACAGTGTCAGATTTTTTTAAAGTTTGAATGTGAGATGAGTGAAAGAATGTTTTTCACTGCTTGGTGAATAGTTAAAAGAAACTTCAAGTGACGACTGAGTGAACAAAGGAGGAAGTTAAAATAAATCTTTTCATAAGGTTACTGGAAGGTGAACTGTTTTGCCGTAAGTGGATATTGGGCTCCAGGCTATTGTTTTAGAATAGAATTCAATTGTTAACTCAAATTGGAGCATTTGATCATTATCACTGGGTCAATATGCCAACCAGTTGCTGACCAAGTTGTAATTTTTGTGGCTGAGTTGCAGTGACATGTTTTTTGAAGTGAATTGGTGTGAACTAGTTTGGTACATTTGCTCTTTTTTGGTCTAAGGAACAAATGGAATCCATCATTAAATCTCTACATGTACCAGTAATCATTCAACCCAGAAAATGCAATCTTCACTTTAACCACATTAAAAGTTTCTCACCAAAATTAATTTGTCTTGTCTTATAGGAGGTCTATGAACTGCTGAGCGAGTATGATCTAAAATACTGTTTTGTGGACAAATACAAAGGAACAGGTAAGTGTCCTCTGCCTTCACCGACCTCCCCAAATCCAGAAATTCAGGACAGACTGAAGTAAAACTGCTTGATTTGTCCAAAAGCAATAAATACATGCTGGGATTTCCAGCGTTGTGATGAGGTGCACTCTCTATTATGAAAATCCGAGGATTCCTAAAGTCTGTCTGTCTGGTACAGCAGACCACTTCCCCACTGCACACGTGGTTATTTATAAACATTAGTTATTTTTCTGGATGAATCATTCTAAACATTTAGTTTTCTTGATATTTGTTGTGACTTTCCTTTTCATTCATTTCCTTTATTTTCATATTCTTAAATATAATTTGGAGTTAATCTGTTTCAGTAAGGTTTCACATAAACTGCCCTCTTGCAGGCAGCAGAAGTGAATCCTGTGCACCCTGCCCCATCCTTTATCCCTCTTTGCACTTGGAGTACCTTGTTGCCTTTCTCACCTTTTGAGAGCTGATTAATAAGTTATGGCTTCGTGCTTGCTTCCAGTTGAGGGGAAATTTGCCGAGTCACTTGTTCCAGGTTATTTGTGACCACACACCTAGATGCTGACATTTTCATTCAGTTGCACATTTTGTCCAGGTTTCTGGATGAAATGGTAATATCTTAAAATCTCTTGAGGAATGCTGACTTGACTTTGGATTTAGTCCAAAAATTTCTTTTATGCAGTTATCATTTGCAACTGAATATATGTTTAGGCAGTTTGGGGTACCAGTAGCTGTGACGATGCAGAACCATTTACTTGTGTATATGTCAGTAGATTTGGAAGTGGCACTATTACCTTTGCTTTGTTTTGGTGTCTGCATAATGCTGTTCTTGTCAATCACACACTGATTCTGTGATTCAGTCTCAACTGTTACGAATCCTGATTGTTAGAAAAGCTTTGAATGAAGGGAACTGAACAGAAAGGAGAAGCTGAATAACTAAATGAGGGAATGTTTGCTAATCTTTTCGAAAGGCGATGTCCCAAGGTGATGCTGATTTTGCTCATTCAAATAACCCTGCTCCTGAGTGCAGTAACTTCCTACAGCTCTTTTCAGATTCTGCATTTTTAGTTCTGGTTTATTGTGCTGTCATGTTTCAGACTAATCTTTAGCTTACAAGGGAGTCATATTGTACGGAGGGTCCAGACAGAAAAGTGGGTTGGAGGTCACAGTCCGATCGGCTGTGATCTTGCTCAATAATTGAGCAAACCCATGGGGCTGAATGGATTATTCCCGTGCCTGTTTCTTATCATTTTCCTTCACCCACCAATGGGATGTTTGTTTTCAACTGCCTGGTTCTGATCTCTGGAATTCCTTACAAAAGCCCTTCCTCATTTTAAGGCCATCCTTAAAGCCTGCCTCTTTGAGAAAACTTTGTTAGCACGTCCTACTATCTTCTATTTGGCCCAAGTGTCAATTTTGAGCTGTTTGGACTCACAGCAAACACCTTGGAACATTTCAGTATATTCAAGCTGCTATGTAAATACCAGTTGAAGTTTATCCTTTTTGCTGTAATTGAGCTGTTCATCACTGGGGAGAAAAGCAGCACAGTTACTGAACACTGTCCAGTGATTCTGCATTCTCTTTGCTAGCAAGTGGAGACAGATCTCATTTTGACAATCCCCTCCTCACTCACATGTTTGGGCAATACAGCAAGGTTGCCCACAGAGCTGGTTCCAGCAGAATTGGGGGAGAAGAGGTTTCAGAGGTCAGTTAAATTAACTTTTTCTTTTTCTTTTTCTTGTTCATTTCCAGCTTTTGTCACTTTATTGAACAGGGATCAAGCAAATGATGCCATTGAGAAATTTCATCAATCCACTTTGCGGGATCGAGAGATTTCAGTGCAGCTGCAGCCCACTGATGCTCTCCTCTGCATTGCAAACCTGCCTCTCTCCTTTACTCAACAGCAGTTTGAGGAACTGGTGCGGCCTTTTGGGAACCTGGAACGATGTTTTCTCGTATACAGTGAGATTTCTGGACACTCAAAAGGATATGGTTTTGTGGAATACATGAAAAAAGACTCTGCTGCCCGTGCTAAATCGGAGCTCCTTGGAAAACAGCTGGGCACACGAACCCTGTATGTTCACTGGACTGATGTAAATCAACTGACTCTTGACCTCATTCATTCCAAGTGCCTGTGTGTGGATAAACTGCCACATGATTATAAAGACCTGCCAGCGCTCAGCCAAGCCTTCAGCAACATCTATGAGCCAACATATTGTCAGGTATGAACAATGGTCACAGGCGACTGTGAAGACTGGAAAAGTCTAGAAACTTACTAAAAACTGTGAGCAGCAGTCACACATCATTCTATGCTCTGTGCATCTATTTAGGGCTCAGAGCTAGGCTTCTTGTTTCCATCTCCACGCCTCGATCCGTTGTCACTATGTGATCTGAGAATGAGACCAAAACTCTCTGTGAACACAGTGGGGGGGGAAAATGAATTGGCCAGTAGTTGAGGTTGTGCAACCTGTCTTCAGTTCTTGTTTGATAACACAATGTGGAGCTGGAGGGACACAACAGGTCAGGCAGCATCGGAGAAGCCAGAAAATTGACGTTTCTGAAGAAGGGTCCCGACCCGAAACATCAACTTTCCTGCTCCTCTGATGCTGCCTGGCCTGCTGTGTTCCTCTAGCTCCAGTATCTGCAGTTCTTGCTGTCTTCAATTCTCATTTCTCCCCTTCCTCACTTTCGGAAGACTCCATCCCTTTCACTTGAGCTTTGGCTGATCACTGATGTTCATCGCTTGTATGTTAATTGTGTGTTTCACTTGGCCTCGAACTAGAAAATGCCATTGCAATAATTGACATCATCCCGTAGCTACTGAGCATGTGCTGATGATAGGCCTATTACACTCTTGCTCCTGCCTCATTCGTTTATCCCTCTCTGCTTGCTGTGTTTTGTTTGGATCAGAAGCTTTTCCCACGTGTACCTCTGTGCTTACTGTTCCCTCTTTCTCCTCCATTCCACTGAACGTAATCTCAATCATTTGAGCTGGTGCTTGAGCATTTTGATTACAGCTGGGTTTATACTTCACTGTCATTCATTTTGATGTTGTTGAGTATGGCTGCCGATGAAGGAATGCTTGACATATACCGCTTTCAATGCTATTATTTTTATGCATCTTTTAATTGTGTCTGATTCTCGAGCCTTGTACTGATATTCCTGTTTTCTTAAATACGCTGTAGTCTATTTTCTTTCTTTTGTAATTGTGTCTTGGGAGATTAAAAGGTCTGGTATGTGGGAGCCAACTCGCTAAATGCTGTCCCCTCCACACTTCACTTCAGCTCTGATGAAAAGTTGTCTAGACTCAAAATGTTAGGTTGCTCTCTCTCCATGGATGCTGACCCGCTGTGATCTCCAGCATTTGTTGTTTTCAATACAGATTCCAGCATCTGCGGTAATTCGCTCCTACATTTTGTTTAATCGACACTAAACCCAGATTTATAAATCACTGAAGATCTATTTGTGTAGGTCGGAGGGGTTCCTCTGCAAGTACAATGGAAAAAAATGTAAACAACTGGAATCTGTCACCTCCTTTAACAGTCCCACTGACTCTACAGATCATTTAGCACTGCGCCATGCATTCTATCCAGATGCTGATCTCGAACACAGTGAGATTTTGCAAGCTTCTGATCAGCTGCTTCCTGCGTGTTACTGTGCATCGAATGCTGATTCGTTTGTCCTTGTGAAACAGTCCTTTATTATAGACCAGTGCTTTGTCAGTGCTGTTTACAGCACTTCTTGCAAGCCTTGTCTCTTTATGATTGGTTTGAATTCAAATGTTTAGTCTTGATTTACTGTGTGTTGGTTGTGTTCTGTGGTAGGTTGAATTTGAGCTAATTTGTTCTGAATTGCCAGTGATGGCAATTTCCCCAAGAAACTTTGAGCTATTCTATCGGTGTTTTCTGTTTGCTATTGTTTGCAGACTGCTCTGAACAAACGTTTGGTATTGAACTCCTCCCTTTGTGGAAGTGTTGGCCACAGCTGATTGTTCACATTCTTAACGATGGTTTGGAACATCTGTGAGCTGTTCCATAATAATGTTGGAATTTATACAGCATCATTATCTGAAATGCCCCCCTCCCACCTTGAGAACCTCTTCAATTCAATATTAGGATTGGCTGAAAGCTTGGTAGCCACTGTAATGCCTTATTTTCATGTTCATGAATAAGTAGCAATTTGCCTCATTCCACTTCTGAATTGGCAGCTGCATACAACCTGAAAGCTGGATGCTTGCTTCAAGCTGTCCAAGCATTCTAATCGTTTTAAACCTATTGAAAACTCTGACTTACCCCCATTTTCTCAGCAGCAGGATTAGACTCCCTGCAGTGCCCAACACAGTCCATAGACTGGGGCAGCACCAGTGAACCTGTGGCACAACAAGACTATGTGTTCTCAGGGATGAGGTGGGGGAACTCTTCACAATCACCTTGTCTGTTATTTATTTAGTTATTTGCTCTTTTTTTGTCTCTTTCATCCATTTCCCATCTGTTACTTCTGCCACCACCTATATCTTGTGTCTGTCCTTTGTGCAGCTGGCTCAGGGACCTGATGGGCAATTCCGAGGTTTTGCAGTTGTGGAATATGAAGCTGCGGAACAAGCTGAGCAAGTGCAGAAGGAGACTGACGGCCTCTGGGTTGATGGGAACCACATTCGGGTTTCATTCTGTGCACCTGGACCCCCTGGGCGGAGTATGCTTCCTGCACTGATAGCAGCTCAGGCTATGGTGAGTACCCCCTTTAGTTTGTGTATTTAAGCATCGGATAACCGTGACCTATTTTAGACCAAGGTAGGTTTGCAGAACCGAACTGGCTTTAAGCAATGGCCTTTTGGAATTTGGTGTACAATCTGGTAGAGCAGTAAGATGATGCTTAACCACAATGCCCCACCTTGCCTGTTGAAATATTACATTTGTATAGCCATTGAGATGAGTTATCAGAGAACAGCCAGTGGCTGTGGAACTGGATTTCCTTACGGCTGCAATTCTCATCTGTGGCAGTAAGGGGCTGAGATCCTGTTGTTGCAATGGGATGGCTCCAGTAAAATCTTTATTCTATGTTGGGGAAATGTGAAGTTAATACAAACACAAAAATGTATAGTAAAATTGCATTGTTTTGCCTCTTTTTCCCAGGCTATGAACCGTGGAAAGGGTCTTCTCCCAGAACCGAACCCTGTGCAGATTCTGAACAGCCTCAGTAATCCAGCGACATTGCAGCTTCTCCTAAACCCGTTAATTCATGGAGGCACTGGCGCGCAGCAGGGTGAGAGCTGGCTACCCGAGTCACCATAACAGACATGTCTTAATTCATACCCAGTTGGTGTCCTCTGTTTACTCACTGTGTCAGGATATGTTGATACAGGTTAAACTGGAGCTGCACAGGCTGGTAACTGGCTGTCACCAGAACCTGTTTATAAAGAGCATTCCGACTACAGATGATCATTTAGGCACTTGCCATGCCATATTTTGATTTAAGTATACTTCATAACTTGATGTTATGACCACAACGATTTGCATAAGGGAGTCTTTCAATATATATCATTATCAGACTTATAATTTCTGCAATACTCAAAATCTTCTCTTGCTGTCCTGTGAGAGCGTACAATCGAGAGTAGGCCATTTGGCCAATCAAGCTGACTTCACCTTTTTAGACATGGTAATTGTACAATTTTAATCTCAATTCCTTGCTTCTCTCTCTCAATATTTTTCAAGTGTATTCCTATTGTAAGTGCAGTGCAGCAATTTGTCCTTACATGGCATTACTCATGGCTGCTTTAGTGCACGGTTTTGATTGTTAGCTCCGACCCTAGCCTTTTCCCTTTCGGCTACAAGTCTAGCCTGTTGCAGTTTGTCAAGTAGTAATTGAAACGGGCCTTGAGGGAAATTTGTACTGATTAGGGAAGCAGGAACAGATGTCACTGCATATGATGAGTTACCCTGGAAGAGTTGTCAGTGCATCTCCTCCTCGAGTTACTGGATTCCATGTGATGAAGGGAGGGAGTTTTATCCAGGAATGATGATGCTTATCCAAGTCAAGATAGTGCCGTGCCTGAGATGGTAGAGTTTAATTTCTGGTTCACGTGGGAAGTTTGCACGTATCAAGTGCTCCACATCAGAAAATGGAGCCTTTTGGCATCTTGGAGAGTATCTAGTTCTCAGAAAGCTTTCTTTCTGAATTTGTGTAAATAGATTTTAATTATTTCTGATCCAGTCATTTAATTTCTGATTATCTGAAAACATTTGAATACACTAAAGAAAAATGTAAACTTTAACTGTGTAAACTGAACCAGGGATGCTAACCATAAGACTTTACTTTCTTCAGGAATTCTGGGAGCTGCCCCTTCAATGCCTCTGCTGGGGAATCCTGGATTAAGTGCAGCCCTCTTACAGTTGGTTTTACAGGGACAAAACCCAGCACAAACTCAGGTAAATTACCAACTGTGCAGCAAGTCATTGTAAGCCAGCTCGAGGAGTTGCAAGTTCACTTGGTTTATTTCAGCTTTAGGGTGTCTTGTAGTGGTGATCTGAAGAAATACACTTAGCTTTGGAGGCTTTGTGTTTTCGGTGGTGACATTTTGCTCCATTTTTCCTTTCTTCTTGCTCTCCCTTTTTGTTCAGTCTCCAAGAAGGTTAGCATGGAGTTCTCCTCTCGCAGGGATACTGCACCTTTTAAAATATCAGTGCTGGCAGAGATCAGCATGACAGGAAGTCACCGAAAACAACACTGTCAGCCATAGGTTCTTCAGATTTTTCCTATAGTTCTAACTGCTCTTGGGAATTTTATACAATTACTAACAGTTGTTGGTCCAGTAGCTGTTCCTGTGTTTTTAAGAGGGTAACAATGATGCTTCTAGTAAATGAATGCACAGCTGCACAATCCTGTATGTAGCAGATTTCCACAGGCTTCATTTGTTTTGAATTCCAATTTTAAAAATAATAAAATAGAACTTGATTGGTTCAGGAACTTCTCTTTAGCTTTTGGTATTTTTTCTTTACAGGGCTTGAACTGGCTGCTGAGTAATTACAAGTCAAGTTCAAACTGTTAAGTTCAACTTAAAAACTGATCATCTGGACCAATGCACTGGTCACAGCTATGCGTCCACCCTTATGGAGGCTGAGAGCAGTTAGGCTCGAGACGGCTTGTTGCTGCATGATTATCAGATAGATGTGTAACTGGATAATTCAAGGGTGTTATTGGTTTATATGATAATTTGCTCAGTTTTAGGAAGTTAGCCCTGCAGATTCGTGGCTTGACTGTTTGTCAAGCCCCTCCAAATGTGGTACAAATGGGCCATATTATCCCACAACCAGCTGAGCTTGGTCTCCTGTTTGCTTTGTGGAGATCTGCCAGAAGCTTTTGGAAGTACATCAACCTCTGAGGCAATCCCTCATGACCCAAGGTGATTTTGATCCACTCTAGAGTCATGAGTCCTGTGGTGACAGAACAGTCCGATGCTGGATCTGCACATACTGCTGTGGTTGTTTGGGTGATTTCTCTTTTCATAGTCAGAGTTTTATGGTACAAAAGAGACTTTCATCCCATTGTGCCCATACTGGTCATCTACCAATTCCAGTTTCCCAGCACTTGGCCTCTAACCGTATGTGCCATGACATTTCCAGTCATCATCTGAATACCTCCTAAATGTTGTGATAGTTCCTGCCTCTGCCACCCTTTTCAGGCAGTGAGTACCAGATACCCACAACCCTCTGGGTGAAAAATTACTTCCTTAGATCCCTTCTAAACCACCTTTCTCTTAGTTTAAATTTATGCCCTCTGGTTATTGACTAAGTGGAAAACTTTCTCCCTATCTGCCCAGTCCCAAACCCCTCAAATTTGTAGACCTCAATCAAGTCGCTCCTTGGCCTTCTCTGCTCTGAGGAAAACAATCCCAATCTATCTAATTCTTCTTCAAAGCTGAAACCCTCCAGCAGAAGTAACATCCAGCTAAATCTCCTCTGCACCCTCGAGTAATCTGTCTCGCGTAATCTGAAGTTTATTACAAACTCCTGCTTGTGCTTGACCTCCACCTGGGCTGGTCGATGATTCTCAAAGTGACAGCTTCATGATTCTTGCTTCTGCAGTTTGGGCAGGCTTGAATTAAGGTACATTTTTTTTCCCAGTGAAGCTTTGAGAACGTCCTTGAAGCCCTTCCTCTGCCAATCTGGTAACTGCTTCCCATGTTGAAGCTTGGAGCAGAGAGCTTATTTGGTGAGTCTTGTCAGCTGTATGAATAATGTGACCTCCCAAGCCCAGTTGATTGACCATAACCAGTGCCTTGATAGGGAATGTTCGCCTGAGAGAGGAATCTGAGATTGGAGTACCCATCCTGTCTATGGATTTGTAAGATTTTCCAGAGGCATTGCTAGTAATATTCCTCTTGGGATTTAAGCTGTTTGCTGTACACTGTGTGCCTTCATGTACAGAAATGCAGGCAACACTGCTGTCCTGTAGACCATAGGCTTGGTGCCAGATTTGAGCTGTTTATTGTCAAACAGTCTGCCTCCCTTGGCTGACTGAAGAACAATGTTGAATTTCATTGTTGATGTCGGCCCTTGCTGATAGGAGGCTTTCAGGGCCGGGAATTGGTTCATGTTCTCCAGCAATAATTAGGGTGGCAGTGTTTTATAGCAAGAGTAGGCTGGTAGACCATGTTTAACCTAAGGCCTATTCACACTCCTGCTTCTGAATGCATTGACAGTGGTTTGGAGCATGTGCACACTCCCATCTGTGTACTGCAGCTCAATCTCGGAGGCCAGGGTGGCCTTGGTTCAGGACTGGAGGTGATGCAGGTTGTACGGTTTCCTGCTTGTACTATATAGAAGCTCCACTCTAGTAGGAAGCTTCATGGCCTTAGAGTGGTTTGTTACACTGGGGAAGGTGGAAGACAGTACTAGTGTGATGACACGGCCTTGCTTGACCCCAACGTATTTGTGATGGCTCCATTGAGGATCATTGCTTGCATCTTGTTGTGCTGTATTTGGAGAATGGTGAAGAATTTCTGCTGGCAGCCAAAGATTTGAAGAAAACACTTTGCAGTCCCTCATGGTTGATGAAGTTGAAGCCCTTGTGAGGTCAAAGAGGGCCATGCTGCTATTTGCTGCTGCTGTCTGCACTATTCTTTGTCTTGTCCTGTTGTGAGGGTCGTGTCCACTGTGCCTTTTAGATAGAATCTGTATTGTGACTCTGGGAGGAGCTGTCCCACAGATGGGAGAAGGACGATGTTCATAATCACATTCCAGACCAGACAGTGAGTGTTGATAGAGTGCAGGGCACGGTCACTGCATACATTCTTTGGTGACTGAAATCCCAGGCTGCTGTGTTCCAGTCCAGAGACACCTCTGTACCAATCAATGAATGAGAATTATGTCAGAAAAATAATTGACGAAAAGAGGAGATTTCTACAACAGAATATATCATAGAAAGATGTGGAAGCGTTGGAAAAGGTGCAGAGGAGATTTACCAGGATGTTGTCTGGAATGGAGGGAAGGTCTTACGAGGAAAGGTTGAGAGAGCTAGGGCTTTTCTCTTTAGAACGACGAAGGATGAGAGATGACTTGATAGAGGTGTACAAAATGATTAGAGGTATAGATAGAGTGGACAGCCAGAGACTTTCCTAGGGTGGAGGTAGCTATTACACGGGGGCATAGTTTTAAAGTGAGTGGAGGTAGATATAGGGGAGACGTCAGAAGTAGGTTCTTTACTCAGAGAGTGGTAGGGGCGTGGAATGTATTGCCGGAGAGGGTAGTGGAGTCGGCCTCAAGGGCATTTAAGTGGTTATTAGATAGGCATATGGATGATAGTATAAGGAAGGGGTGGAGGTTAGATAGACCTTACTTTTAGGGTAAAAGTTCGGCACAACATCCTGGGCCGAAGGGCCTGTACTGTTCTGTACTGTTCTATGTTCTATGGTATCGTAATCTCTACTATTATACTGAAAGTCTTAATTGAGTAAAACTAACATTTCTGTCTCATAATGAAGGTGAAGATTTGGAAGTTTCAGAGCTCACTGCAAGGCAGTGTTGAAAGCATTGCTATTTAAGTACATCAGCAGTCACCCATATATTTTCCTATTATTAGCTAATTACAAAAAGCATGTACTGGTGAGAGTTGGAATCTGTTGGAATAATGGCACATTATACACGTTAGTATAATATTTAAAGCTGTTAGTAAAATTTGCTATGACAATAACCTAAGTATATCAGCAATTATATTGTATGCACCTTAACGCCTCCAGAGGGAAATGTTTTTAACTTTCAGTGATGGAAGTATTTCATCTTTCACCAAAATCAGAAAACCAACTGTCTGATTTTAACTGGAAAAGTTAGCAGGCTGTGTTCTCGCTTTCACTTTCTCCCCTTACCCTGAGGGGACATTAGAATTTTTTTTTTCTCCTCCTCTGCATTCAGGTTAGATGTGGTGATGAGCACCACTTAATGTAGGAATTAGGAGCAGGAGTAGGAAAGAAATTCAGCCCTTCAAGCTATTTAACATGATTGTGGCTGGTCTAATCCTGGTCTCAATTCCACTTTCTTACCTGCTCCTAGGAGTCATTGATCTCAAAGCAGAAGCTCTGTATAACTTGTTGCCTGTGCTTGGAGTGCAGTTGGTGAGATTGTACAGGCTTGCACAGTAAAGTCACAGCAACCTTGAGGCTTTACGCAAAGGCTGTCTTGTGCATTAAGTGTTTACAAGGACTTTCCAAATGATGTATGTCTGACTGTGTTTCTCTGAAATCAGTTGCCTTATATTATCGCACTGTTTACTGAAGCCATCTCAGCTTATGCTCTTGTCCTGCAAGCTAGCCATTAAATTTATCCATGAAGCATATTCTCATTTCCTCACTTCTTTTGTTATGACACTGGCAGAGGAGTGAGCTGGAAGTCAAGACCAACTGCTCCATGAGCTGTCAAAAGTATAATTATCTTAATCCTTCATCAAAAATGGCCAATTTCTTTCTCTTTCTTTTGTTTGATTTAACAGTAAAAGACTTCCACCAGGCTTTTCGATTAAACTCAAAAGCAGCACTTTGATTATAAACAAACTTAGTCCTCACGCAGGTAGTAAACTGGTTATCAACTGAACAGCTGAGAATTTGAGTATGTGTTTTCCTTAGATCCCAAATGCAGGAGTAGGACTAAGACATAGATTACACAGATGTGTAGAGCAATTATGAGTGCAATAATCAGGAAAACCCTATAGATCAAGAGTCCAAATAGAAAGAGTAGAATGCGATGATGTTCTCATGGTTCTTTAGCTACTTCTCGATGAGCATACATCGTTGTCAATCACAGAACAATGGGAAAGAGTGAAGGACTCTTGATACCTAAAATTTTATTAGGTTTCTTTGGAACTTCTTCACTGATAGAGAGAGATGCTTTCGGCTCCAGGATCGGTCTCTCTCAGACTGAGAGAGATGGCATTCCATCCTTGTGAACTTTCCAGCAACTGCTCCCATCTTCTAGCTTTGTATTGAGACAAACGCCCAGCATCTGAGGTTGTTGCTAGGTGGCAACAGTAGAGACCAATAACAGTTTTCTGGACTGTTTATTCAACAATTAAAGGAACAGAACACCTCTCGTTCTCTCTAAAACAGTGCTGGACACTGCTTTCCAGAGTCTCTTTCTTTTTGTAAACAGCAAATAGACTCGTGTTTTCTTTAACCATTTGACTTTCCAGTTCCAAGCAATCACATCAGTGCTTTGCAACCCGGTAATGCTCAAGACGTCTGCTTTCCACTTCTCGTAATCTGAAAATGAGTGTATGTTCCCAAAGTCTGAAAACACCATGGCACATGTCTTCCAAACTCCACCATTCAGTAAAGTACTGCAGTGATTTGGGTAACATCAGTTACAGTTAACCCATAATGCTGCCGTTGTAATGCGATAACTACAACCACTGAGTGAATCTGGGCTCACTGCATGCTGCTTACCTCAGAATGGTGAGGATTTCAGTTCCTCGAGGAATCCAATCCTAAATCCACAAACTCTACTCACTGTGGACCCTAACAGGGGTTAGAGGAAAGTGGAGTAGTATGTTTTGCTGCTAGTTTCAGTGAGAACTGACAAGACAACAAGTATTTTAGACCAAAAATAAAAGGCAGATAGGAGGAACTTCTGCGGTATTTTGCAGTTGACCTAATTAATGCAGGAATTCTGAAATGCAGGAACATTTTTTGACTCCAGAGAGTTCCTCTGCATGCCTGGGTTCAGATTTCTAAGCACAGAGCAGTCCCTTAATATGTGTTTCTGTTATTCCTAGCATCCAGCTGCAGACTGTTATTAATATGGTGGGTATTGATAGTTTATTAAGGTTGTCTGTAAAATTCATTGACATCAACAGTCTTTATATTTGTGTCCTTTCTACTTCAACCCTACCCCTCCCTACTTGTGGCAGAGAATTGAAATAAGTGCTTTGCTCACTTTTTTTTTCAAAGACAGATGAGGTGTTCCTGAAATAATTAAGATCCAAGGGTCTAGTGAGTGTGTGGAGCTGAAATAATGGGTAAAGTAAATAGTTTGAAGAAATGAATGGGACTGAAAGTTGATAAATCTTCAGAAACTGATGACCTTAACCACAGAGTGTAGAAAGCAATGGATACAAATGGTCATCACCTCTCAAAATTCTATTAATTTTGAAATTGTGACTGCAAATAGTACATGTAACCTCACTGTTGTAAGAAAGGAGGGAGACAGAAAATGAAGAACTACAGACCTGGTCATCTGACATCAGTAGCAGAGAAAACCCAAATCCAATATAAAAGGATGTAGCCACTGGATGTTGAGAAAATAATTACCTTGTTGGATAGAGTCAACATTGATTAGTGAAGGGCAACTCATGTATGACAAACCTTAGAGTTTTTTTAAGCATGAGGTTATTAAATAAAACTTAAATCCATGGGATTGTGGGCAATGTACCAAAATGGACTAAGGATTGGTGAACAGACAGAAAGGAGAGTGTCAGAATAAGTGGGTCATTATCAGGTTGGCAGACTGTGGCACTGGGGTACCACAAGGATCAGTGCATAGGCTTCAGTTGTCAATTACACGTAGGGACCATTTGGAATATTTTAGAGTTTGCAGATGATGCAAAACTTGTCGGGGATGAGAGTTGTGAGGGGGATGCAAAGAGCCTTCAAGAGGATTTGAGCAAGCTGAACGTGTGGGCAAGAGCCTCCAAGATGGAAAAAAGTGTGGACAAGTCTGAGGTTATTTACTTTCACAGGTGCCAAGTATTTCTTAGACGGTGAGCAATTGGAAAGTGTTGACATCTAACAGGACCTGGATGTCAGTGTTCACAAGTCACTGAAAGTTGCCATGCAGGTACAGCAAGCAGTTTGGAAGGTAGACAGTATGTTAGTTTTATCATGAGAGGAAAACAAAAATGTTTCAATTGTATAATTCTAAGGAAGAATTGTTTGCCGTTAAGGGGGTGCAGCAGAGATTCACAAAACTGCTTTCTGGATGACCAGACTGTCCTATGATGAGACTTAGTGAGTTTTCTCAGGGGTTTAAAAGAATCAGAGGCGGTCTCACAGAAAATACTTAAAGGCTTAGACAGAGTGGATATTTCCCCTGGCTTAGGGGTCTAGAAGTAAGGGACATTCCCAGAATGAAAGATAAGCCATTTCAGACTCGAGTGAGGAGAAATCTCTCTCTTTGGAATTCTCAACTGGAGGGTTGACGGGAAGCTGAAACATGTAGTTCCAAACAGTGATTGATAGATTTCTTGTCACTAATAACATTCGGGGATATGACGATAGTGCAGGAATATAGCATTGAGGGAGATGATTGACCATGGTCTAGAGTGCTAGAGCAGGCCCAGTGGACTGAATGGCTTCCTCCTGCTCAGATGTTCCTACATCAGCTCAGAGCAGGAATAGAATCTGGATTCTTCCTGACTTTTGAGCTCCATATAATCCTGCACTGGATGTGTTGCCATACATTGGGAAGTATGAGAACAGTGTCCATGGCTCTGCACAAGCAGCTAGTTAGCAACTAACTCAGACACACCAATTAAATGGTTGCCTCCTTGCATGAAATGCTGGATTGAAGAGGAAGTATAAAAAATCTTCCATTTCATCTGAGAATATGCCTTTTCGTTTATTGGATGGGACTTTATGGTTGAAAGTGTCCTCTGGTTTCATTAAATCCTATCTATAAAAAAGAGTTAGTCAATGGACAGGATTCTTGCTTTCAGATTTCATTTCATTTCGGATGTTAACTCGTCCTATTGGGCCTATTTAATAAGGTGGCTTTTTTCTGGCACTATGGAATTGACTAGCTTTTACTATTCTTATTCTGTTTATCTATTCAAATAATGACTGACCTCTCATTATCTGCTGCATTTCCCTCTCCCTTCTATACCTGTTGTGTCCTAGAATGCTTTGCTTGGGAATCCAGTTTTTCTGCAGAACCTGGTTCGGACCCAGCTGATGCAAAATAAGGAGAACCAGGCATTCCTCAATGTAAGTCTACAACAAGTAGATTATCGTGTGAGGGTTTGTCTCCATAGTATTTAGAGCACATACTAATCACACCAAATGCTACTGCATTCATTTTGTTTGGATTGAATGATGACTGAGCAATTGGTTCATTTGTTGGAATATTTAGAAGAGTTGTAGATTCTAAGTGTGAATATTCCAATGGTTGAGAATGGGCCTACTGGACCTGTGGTCTGCAGTGGGGATTAGTTACTATATTCCATTGTGCTGTTAAATATACTCCACCTTTAACGGGGAAATGAATTCTTTCTTATTTTGATTCACTGTGATATGATTTACATATTATCATTCATAATTTTTAAGAAGACACAAATTGTTAGTGTCTTTCCAAGGGTTCCATTGCATTAGAACCAAGTGCCTGGCATACAAAATAATTTGATTTCTGCTGTATTTCTGCCCCTCGTTTTGAATCTTGCTCTGCGTCTTGTATCTGTTTCTCTCTCCACTGGGATAGGTTGAGAATCTGTTTCATGTTGCAGGGGCAGTTTATTCACACTCAACAAAAGTGTCCAGGCTCTGATCCAAAGGTTACCTCTGTGGAGTCTGCCTTCAACGATGTGAAACTGAATTTTTGTGAAAAATGGTCTTGCTTGAAAGGGACTAATAATGACATTGTACTCACTCCTGACAATTATCAGGCCATGTTTTACACACAAAACCTCAGGTTCTCTACCTGCTCGAAAGTTCTGGCTCTTCTGGACTTTGCCCTGCTTTGCCATATCTCGCTTCAGCTTCCCAGCACCAAAAGAAGTGTATTGGAACCAGTGCTTGTTATCAGAATGGTGTTGTTATACATATTAAAATCCTCACTAATTTTCCCTTTGCTTATCTATGCGCTGTTGATCCTTGTTAACATCCACCACCACCACCAGCTTTGTAGAAGCAGAATCCAGTTTTAAAAAGTGGGTAAAAACCAAAAGAACTGTGGATGTGGTAAATCAAAAACAAAACCAGAATTTGCTGGAAAAGGTCAGCGTCTGTGGAGAGAAATCGAAGTTAACATTTTGTGGTCGGGTCACTGGACCCAAAACGTTAACTCTGATTTCTCTCCACAGATGCTGCCAGACCTGCAGAGCTTTTCCAGCAACTTCTGTTTATGTTTCTGTTGTTAAGAAGTGGGCTGTTAACAATGAGGATTCCATAACAGTAAAATGAGCTGTAAATCAGTAGCTGCTTATATATTACTCCGATTTGAATTCATATGCTCAGGATATGACCATCCATGAACTAGCTATCTATGTACAGAACTAAATCCTTCTCTCTGTGAACAGACATTGTGAAGGAGTTCCCACAATAATGACCATCTGAACGGGTTGTTCAGGGGACTTCACTATGAACGCAATTTAAACAGGTGATGATGTTGGGAGGAGAAATTAATGCCCTCACATGAAGCAAAGTAAAAGTTTGGAACAACAATTACAAAATGGTCAAAAAAATGCTGTGGGTGGGAGGGAAGAGAAATTTGAGGGTAGAAAAAGGGATCTGATATGTTAGATATGTGAAATGAGAGCTTGCAGGGTTATATATTTGCCTGGTAACCAACATTCCATTGAGCAATTCATGTCAAAATATAAGCACATCATTGTCTGTATGTATTTTCAGAAACCTGGGATTCTGGGTGAATCTCCTCTTGCAGCTTTGCAGCAAAACCCAGTCGGACTCGGAGCCCCCCCACAGCGGGGAAAGGGACTTCTTGGGGAATCGCCCACAGGTATGTATGTATAAATCATATACGGGGGCCCCTGACCTTATCTGAAAACAAAAGATGCTGGAGATCACAGTGCGTCAGGCAGCATCCGTGGAGAGAGAGCAAGCTAACAATTCTAGATATCTCTTCATCAGAGCTGCCCCGACCTTATTCTGATTTTGCACTTGCAGACCTCAGTATGTTCCTTTCTCAGCTATTGTTATCTAAACCATGATCCAGACAGTTCCAAAGTTGATGCTTCAATAGACCATTACACTCTATCTTTCTCCCTGCCTTTCACTGAGCATCTGAGCCGACCTATTACTTTCTCATTGGCTGCTACTGATGCAATTTGAAGTTGGAGTCCTCATTTGGTGGGTTAAGTTCAACGAGTTTGGCTAGTCCAAACCGCACAGTGTCTGATTGTGTCAGTGCAATCTGTCGTCGGGTATGTACCCATGGCACTCTTTGCCTTGTTGAGCAGTAACATTCCCTCATTATCACCTGCTTCAGAGCAGGAAGGGGCCCTGTGCTATATCCCTGCCACGCCAGGCCATCAAGGTGCAGCTCTCCAAAAAGAATAGAGGTGATGTCAGGTTCTCAGGCCACAGGCCATTCTGATCGTGAAAAAAGAATTAGAGCGCTTAGTAATCTTCTGAGGATTGGATGGAAATATGGAGCTTGTGAGCTCATCATTTGGAAGAGGATAAATGGGCACAATGGTGACCTTTGCTTTTACAGAAGTTTCCATTTAAGCTTAATCATAATTAAAGGATCTTCTCAACATGAGCATTTGTGCCACTTACAGGACTGAATTCCGAGAGAGCACAGGCACAGATGAAGCTGCCTATGGTGCCAATGGGGACGATGCAATCACAACAGTATCTTGGACAAATGCCAACAGACATGCCGGGAATGATGGAGAATCCATCCCATTCCCGACAGGTTTCCTCACCACCAGTCACTCCGGCTCCTTTGCAAGGAATCCCCACATCCATTCTGGGCTCTGTACTCAGTGACCTGAAGAAACAGAGGAAACAAAACATGTTGCAAGTCGAGACCGGCTTGGCCACAGCAGGGGTAAGAAGCCAAGCTTGAAATGTCTTTAAGGGGTTGCAATGGGTTGTCTGTATCCAGATAATCATTGGCAGTCCTTTGCAATGAATTGTTTAGTTTGTGTGTGCATTTTTTGCAAAATCATGAGTGAGTGAATTATAGAATCCCTACAGTGTGGATGCAGGCCATTCGGCTCATCGAGTCCACACCAACCCTCTGTAAAGCATCCCACCCAGACCCATTCCCCTGCTCTATCCCTGTAACCCTGCATTTCCCATGGCTAATGCACCTAGCTTGCACATTCTTGGACACTATGGGCAATGTAGCATGGCCAATCCACCTAACAATCTTCAGACTGTGGGAGGAAACCCATGCAGACGTGGGGAGAAAGTCATCTGAGGGCGGAATCGAACCCGAGTCCCTGTCGCTATCAGGCAGCAGTGCTAACCACTGAGCCACCGTGCCACCCTAAAGTGAAATATGAAAGAGTATTTTGAAAGTACTTTTCTTTCAGCAGAATTAAAGCAGTTAAGAAGTTGTTATAGAATATAGCATTTGTTGAAGGATAAATGCTACAAAAAATAGTGAAATGAAGTACAAGTGGAGAGTTTAGATTGAGAGTATTGACTGAGATCTGAGAGCAATTTAAATGTATGCTCTTTCTGTCATCTCAGTTTGTTTATTTTTGATCGCTTGAAGCAACTATGGTCAAGGTGAGGTTAGGCTTGTCTTCCAGTGTACTATTCAAGGTATATCTTTGGATTTTCTGCTTGATTGTAGCATCAATATTCAATATTGTGCACTGAAAAGTAACAGGTGGCAAAGGGAGTACCTGTGGTTCTAGTGCAATGATCCCCAGATTGAACATTGCTTACTTTGCAACTTCCACTCTTAATAAAGTTCAAGAAAACAGCCTCGCTCTGTAAAAACATGGGCAACATAAGAATTTACCAAAAGCTGCTTGGACTAACAAATAGAAGCATCACCGCGATCATGTCCCAGCACCGGCATCTCCACGTCATCACTGCTATCATGGCACTGAGCCTGAGTGAACATGAGCAGCCAAGCCACTTAGAGTATCAATTACATAATTGTGTTTGCACTTTAATTTGTTTCTGGCCGGACCTGTCAGCAGTGAGCTGCTGTCATTTCATTCACTGAAGGCCATGGTTATGTAGTAGGCCGAGATCACCAACCTCCCTATGTCCCATAATCGTGGGATTCAGCTGCATGAGATCAATAGAGAAATGTTTCGTTATCTAGTAGGAGGATCTGACTGTAACATTATTGACCTGGTGCAGTGTGTTCTCTCTTGCAGGTGAATATGTGATTTCTCCTTAACATTTTCAACAGCAAGCAATAAGGATGGTGTGTGGTGGGCAGTTATCAAGACTATGTCCATTTAACAGCTCAGATTAATGTCAAGTAAACTGTGATGACCAGTTTCGTCATAACTTGAGGATCTACTACATTTTGGAAGCCTCTAAAATAAACAGTGTCACTCCTCCTAATCTATTCTGTTGGACAGTGCATCACCCTCACGTCAATTGATCTCATGGACTCGGATATAATGCCAGCGGTGTTGATTGAGAACAAGTTTGGGTGTTTCAGGCAGTGTATTTAAAGATGGTTTCAGATTAAACACGGAACTGGGACAGTGCAGAAAGTTAATGTGGAGTCTGCCCTGTAAGTAACACAGTGCCACATTTTATGTTGCAGCCATCTCTCTTGGGGGAGCCACCAAAAGATTTCAGGTTGCCTCAGAATCCATATCTCAATATGCGAAGTGTGTTCCCATCTAATGTATCAGGTAAGGAATGGTCTGGAGCTTGGGGTTGAAGACTGAAGAGAAGTGGGTGACATAATCATTGGTGTTGTCTATATTTGCTCTCCTATAGAGTGCCACAATCATTACAACATGGAGTGAATTTATTTTAGCTTTAAACGGCCATCTCCCTCCCAACCACCACCCCAAACCCCAGCACGCGCGCGCACACACCCACCCTCCAATTCAGAGGATGATTTCTGACCCCAGCCTTGCTGGATGTTTATACTCATAGCTGCTGTGAGCAGGGAGATTTAAATTAGTGTCTGATCTCCCTCTTGAGTCTCTCCTGAGCTGTGTCTCTGAAGGAGGAATGAGGGGAAGAAGTTGGTGAATTGTCCAGGCTCCATTCTCATGCCCTGGCCAATATCCAGCCTGTTCTTTTCACATCAGAACCAGGCCTCCCACAACACTGTGCGGAGAACCTTCACTTGTTCCACAGAGTTGGTAATGGAGCTGCCTGGTGTGCATAACTGTGGGTTGGAGGAATTCAATCCAAAACAAAACACACATTAGGTAATATTGCTGGCTGTTAAACAGTGTGGCAAGTGACGATAATCTCTCTGGGAATTGGATACCTGGTCAGTATTTACAGACTGCACACGGAGACAGTGGGGGTGACAGTACTGTGCTTTGTGATGCAGTGTGTATTTACTTACCAAAGAGCTGTGCACGGCCCATGACTTTCCTTTCATCATTATTTTTGAGGTGATGTTTTAACTCTACTTTTTCTGTTTTAATCCTGTTAATAAGAAATAATACGAAGTTTAGCATGATGGACTGACTGAAAGGCAAGCAGTATTAAAAATTAATTTCTAAATATTTGGGAAATCAATATGTGACCTATGTATGTTGAGTGCACCGTTCTAGTGTTCAGCTAATAAACTGGGAAAAGCCAACACAGACTGTTCAGTCTAATGGGGTGGTATCATGCTGCTTGTGTGTGCCCTCTCTGGCTGTCTCTCCCTCTATCCTTCCCTCTCTCCATCCCTCCTGCTGCCTTGACCGCTCCCTCCTCTCCCCTCCCTTCCTTCTCCTGTGCTTCTCCTTCGCCTGTCCAACCTCATCCCCTGCCCCACCCCCCTAAAACAGCTTATGCAGTCATACTGCACAGATGATGAGGTGGGAAACTGATGAAACAAGATCCTTTGAACCTGATAGTTGTGTGTCTGAAGGGAAATGAGCAGTTCTTGTTCTTGTTACACATGAACATCAAACAGCACAGCACAGGAACAGGTCAAACAGCCCACCATGATGCCATTCTGAACTCATCCCACCTGCCTGCTCTGTATCCCTCTATTCCCTGCCTGCTCATGCGTCTGTCTAAATGCCTCTTTAACATTACTATCGTATCTGCTTTGACCACCTCTTCAAGCAGCATGTTCCAGGTAACCACCACCATCTGTGTACAAAACCTGCCTCACATATCCCTTTTAAACTTTCCCCCTTTCACCTTAAACTTATGCCCCCTAGTATTTGGCTTTTCCAGCCTGGAATCTATTCAGGTTCTTGTAATTTTATATACGTCTGTCAGGTCAATCCTCAGCCTCTCGTGAAAACAATCCAAGTTTGTACACGGTGCCTTAAGTATCCATGTCGAAACTTATAACACAATGACTAAGCATAATGTTATCAGGCTGTATAATGCAACTAACGCTTTTCTGACTGACAGGCAATGCTAGCAACTCAATGTCCTATGGCCACGGTACTGGTCTCCTGGGAAACTACCCCAGTTCTGGCTCCAGAGGTCACCTGGGATCCAGCATCAGTGACTATCCAGAGTCTGGAAGCAGCCAGCTGGGTTATGGGAATTTTGAAAGCTATGATGATTACAGTCACTCTTACAGAGACTATGAGCAGGTATGTTTGGAATGTACTGTCCGTGAGCAGATTGGAACACTGAATGGGTTCACTTCTGTAGGTGGCCCTCTTGCTAAATGCCTTTTGCCATCATGCTGGAAATTTAATGGCATGCTTTTCACCAGATAAATAGTAGTTGCAGTGTCTGTCCACTAATGTTGTAGCAATCATTCCTATTCCATGGTGTCTCCCGCAAGACTCCACAGAGGAGCCTGCTTATTTCAAGCCATTTCCTCTCAACTGTCTAGAACAACAGGAGAGGCAGGAAGCCTCCAACCTCTCATATAAAATATCTGAATGAGGACTTGTCCTAACATTAAAAGTGATGGCCCAAGTGCTGGAAAGTGAGTTCGATTTAGATAGTTTGGTGCAGACTTGATGGAGCAAAGGGGCCTTTCTGTGCCATATGACTCTATCACTATGAATGCTGATCAGATCATATTAGGTCACAAGGCCCTGAGAGTAATGGGATTGGGGAGTTAGTCACCTCAGTTTTACTAATATTGTAGAAAAGGCCATGTCTTTGCGTGAGTATAATTTATTGCCACAATGTATATCTTCAGAGGCTTTTCTGATGTGTTGGGCTACCTCTGATGGTAAACCATTGTCAGTGTCTGCAGCGTAGGTGACTGTAAATGATTCTATTGCACTGTTTGAATTAAAGCAGAGAAGCTCCCTTGTAGCTAATAATTATCCCTTCTATTGTATGAAGCAGGTGAACTGCTTATTTTGTCTGTACTGTTCGTGGGATCTAACTGTGCATATTTCCTGCTGCTTGCTGTACAGAGCTGGAACTTCCAGGGTTTGACCAGTACTCTGGACATCTTCCTCATTACAGTTTGTTAGGTTGTGCTAGGCGTCCTGCGTGTAGGTGTTGAGTGAGTGGGATAGGGTTGGCTTGGGCCGAATCTCTGATCCGTGTCCATTGCTTGTCGACCTTTATCACAAACTCTGAAAGAAGCAGACTGACCCAGATCTCCACTAAAGATCAGCTGCCTCTGAAAGGACAAGAGAAAACTGGCGTTATATTTTTAAGTTAATGTTCTAATTTTATTTCATCAGGAAAGTGAAATGGAGCGCTACCCAATATCACGTAATCCTGGGCTTAGAGGGTACAGTCGTGACAGAAATGAGGTAAATCTTATGAAGGAAATGGAGGATGAGATGTTTTTGTTGGAGGTAGCTGCGTGGTTGTGGACTGTAGGTTCTCTGCATAGGATGCAGCCCAGAGACCTTTCTTATTCCTTCTCTAGACTAGAGTTCACTCTCTTCCACCAAGGCTGCAGGCAGCTATCTATTATTGATTTTAATACATTGGGCTTGGGAGGGGTAATATCAGCTGGGGCTCATGCTGATCATCCTCCTGCATGAGGAGGGACTGGGGTTCACTTGGATGCTGTGAAGGTTAAGCAGCTGTCAGATTCCTTTTGGGGCTTACTTACACAAGGGCGACCAGCAGGTAACTCTGGGAGGTAACAGCAAGACTGGAGCAAAGAGAATTGTTTCGATGATGAAATGAAGGGGCTAATTGAGGTTTGTTCCTGCCTAGGAAAGAGAGATGGAGCGATACTCGATGTCCCGTGATCATGGCTATGGAGGAATGGGGGGCTATGGCCATGATCGAAGCGAGGTACGTTTTACAAAACGGAAGTGCGTGATTGGAATAAAGTAGACTGACCGGTCCGTACCTGGTTGTTGGCTGGGAACTGGCCCTGACCCTGAACAGGTCGTTCCAGCTCTGAAGTGTATACAATCAGAATGGGACCATTCAGTGGCACTGCCTGTGAGTCTGTCAAACTGCTGGCGTTCCCAGCCCTGCCCAGCCTGCATTCTGTTTGCTGATCTCTGCAAAACCACAGTCAGCCTCCATACACTGGGCCAGGAAGAATGTACAGTCACACAGGGCATGGACTTTGTGATTGCCATTCACTGCCAACTGCTGTGAAGCAATTGGCAAAGCTGCAGCCTTCAGTCCAATAGTCTGTCTACACTTGATTTCTGACATGACCAGTATGACAGTTATGGGCCCAGAGTGAAATCTCTCATGTCGTCTCCCAGACTAGAGCTGATGCCTTTAGAAAGGGGCATCATAGGAAGTTGACAGCACAAAAAGAGGTCACGTAGTCCATAGTGTTCAAACCAGCAGAACACTGCCAGAAAAATGCAAACTCATTGAGGCATCTCTTTTGTCAGGAAAGGGAGCCGGACCAGTACCCACTACTACATGATCCTGGACTTGGAGGGTACGGAGCTGACCGAGATGAGGTAACAATTAGAATAAGGAATCTTTTTGAGTCATCCACTGAGTATGGAATTGCTAATTACTAAAACCTCAAGCTTCTGCATTTAGCACAGGGCATGGAGAGATATCCAGTTTCATAAAGTGATAGAATTCAGACCAGCAGCTTCATTTCATAGAGGCATACAACCATGTTCCAGATTGGGTCTGCATGCTAAGTAAACACCAGTGTTTGAGTTCCTCAAATGGCCTTCATTCTCAAGCAAGGGATGGGTTTAGGTGAATCAAACCGTTTTGACTCTGGTTAGTTATTCAGAGCCTGCATGTTGACTGACATTGTGATCAAAAATAATTCACCAGTAATGACCATGCAGGTTTATGTACAAATAACCAATTGGGTGAGGTATCAATGGATGACATGAGCTGGTAAAAGTTAATCTGCCCTCATTCTCTGAAGGTTCAGACCAATGTGAAGTAAAACTGCACCGGCTGAGTTTATCCCCCTGGTTTGGAGTACTCTTCTCTTTTTTTTTTTTTTTTTTAATTTTATTTAGTTTATTTGGACATGGTTGCGAATTGTTGAACGTTATTTTCAGTTTAGGATTAATGTTCCCTTTTCCTGTTTAAGCGATCAAATCCATGTGGATATAATGATTTGGAACCTGCTGCACCTTCGATGTACTCCAGTTCTCCCACGTCCTATTTCACAAGTGGTGTCCGAGCAGGAATGCGACAGGGCTACTCCACCAAGGTATCGTACTCATTATAGCAGAATACATTGTGATGTGCATTCATTAACAGGTGGCTGAGGCTGATTTTCACCCAGGGCTACATGGATGCACGTTTTAAACAAAGACTGATCGGATCTTTTTAATACCCCATCTTCCAGATTTGGTATTTTTTCCTCCTCAGTCTGTGCTTCAATGGCTGATTGCAGGCAGGGCTCTACATTTGGGCTGGAGGAGCAAATTGTGGTTGATTTGTGCTCCTGAATGCCCTGTTACTGCCCCCTTGAGAGGGCGTATGTGTAAACACTGACAGAGGTGTCAGAGATGGATACCAACTTGACCTCAGCTAATGCGTCATGAGTCGTGTCTGTGGTGCATGAAGCCATACCTCAGCCTGTCTGCTCTTGTTGGGGAGATCTGGCCACGGTTCCCTTCCTCTTCCATTTCTCTAGCACCACATGTTGGTGCTAAAATAAATCCTAACACCAGACCAAGTGTTTCTGAGCTGTTGTAACCATTTTCACACATCTGTGCTTTGTGCACAATGAGTTACTTGGTAGAGAAGTGACTCTCCGACAAGTATGACAGGCAGTTTTAGTGGCAGTGGTATGAATGAGCAGCTATCTGGGAATCTTAGTCAGATCACAATGAAATCCTCTTCCTCTCAGACTTGGCCACACTTCAGCAGGGGAATGAGGCCTGTGTTTAACTTCCCTGAAGGAGGCCTCAATGTGCTTGCTATTGTGTTGCAATCAGGTTTGAAGATTCAAATTTCCACCTCGAAATTAGTTTGTGTTAGTTGTTGCTAACAACTGAACTGACTCACTGATTAACAAGAGAAATTGCACCTCAGGAAGTTTCAAATTGACTCCCCTGATCGAGGCTGTCGATTAACCAACAGCTCCAGACTACAGTTCACCGTTAGCTGCCTTGTGTATTGAACGGGTACAATCTGAGAGTTGTTAATTGATATGTCAGTCCCATGTTCCCAGCTGACTAGAACCTGACAGCTGACTGGTTCAGCGACAGTAACCTGATCCTTGAGTTGTGTCAAGGCTGTGTGGTAGAACGGCAAATGTCTATTTGTAGAGGTTTGAGGAGTTGGTGCAGATACCCTTCTCAGCACAGACCTGAAAAACAGCTGATCTGGCAAATATTTTCCTTTTTTTTTCACCAATCTATCAGTTAGCTCTCTCCAAGAGGGAAGTTTAAACTCCATGTGTCTCTGTGTGTATCTTTTGCTGCCTGACTAGCACTGAATGCAAGGCCAATACACAGTGTATGGGTTTCAGGGGTGGGGGCGTGGGGCAGAAGAAGGATTTTGTTTTTCATTTTTTAATAGAAAGTGTGAGAGAATCCAATGCTAAGAAAGCTTGGAGATGTGACTGTTGTCTGCTGTGTTACAGTTAAATCCAGTGCTGAGTTCTGGGGCAGGACTCCTGGGGGCTCGGCCTGCTAACTCCCCACCAGGCTGTATGCTGAAGGTAACTGTCTGATAATTCTCGCCGTCGCAGCCTCGCGTGCTCTCGCTCGCTCTCTTTCACAGGCTTGTGTTCTGCCTGTGAACGTACTAACAGTTCCCCTGGCATTGAGATTAACAGATCATTGTCCAACAGACCGTGACTTTGAAAAGACAGGACCCTGACTGAATGTCGTTTTGCAGTAATTTGACATATGGTCTTCCCTGTTGTTGCCTTGGTTTGAATTAGGGTTTCAATTCATCTGTTATGTTGATACAGAATGAAGGGTTATTTTGCAAGATTTGAATCCGAAGGTAGAATTAAAGATTTCAGCCACGTTCTTATGAGATGGCAGATTAAAATCAGCCAGAAAGTGGGAAGCCACCAGGAATGTCTATCTTCAGGCACTATTGCACAGGAGATGTCTTATCATGATTTGACCAGGGGTGACGGGAGTTTTATGAAAAAGTAGAATTTTTTTCTGTTTTCAAAGAATGCAAAGACTCTTTATGATAAATAAACCACTTAACTTCAATCATACAGTAGCAGTCTCTACCATGTTAGCTGGCCTCATCTGTGAGAGCTGAGAAAGGAACAACTGAGAAGATCCCGTGTGCATGTTTATGAACCAGGAAACTAATGGTGTTGTAGCTTTGATGAGTGAAATACTACTTTCTGTCTGAGTCAAATTTTGCAAAACAGCCTTTAATTGAATTCTAAGGAAGAGAGGATACAGGTTCACTCATTGAGAGACTGAAACCAAGTGAGATAAGTCTCAAGTCATATTGTACAAAATAAACACAGTTTGTTAAATCTACCAGAATTTAGAAAGCCTCTGGATATAAACCATTACTGCACTACTTATAATTTCAGTTTCTGTTCTTTGGATCCAGTATTGTGTCTTAACATCAGACACCCATTGGATCTCCTAATAATGGTGTCCCTTCCTTTTGTGCTATTCCATTGAAACCTGTGTCAGGGTGGCTGAAGGTTTATGTGGGCTTGATGTTATGGGCTCATTGAAAACCAGACTTTAGTTGACTGTGATTCTCTCTCTGTTCCAGACACCACTTGCTGGTCACAAGCGAGGTGCGTCTCACCTGATCCCATCACCTGAGCCCAGCCCAGAGGGCGGCTACGTTGGCCAGCACTCTCAAGGCCTGGGTGGCCACTATGCTGACTCTTACCTCAAGAGGAAGAGGATATTTTAACTGGGGACCTGGTGTTGCCATCTAGAATGACTTGGTTACTTTTTGCTGAAGGGTGTAAATCTTGTACAGATGTTTTTAATCTCTGTGTCAAAACACTTCAGTCTTTGTTTTTAGGAGGAGGGTGAAACTTCTATCTGGGAATTTGGAGGATGCAGAAGGCTGGAACCTGACAAACTGACTGACCCTGTGGCACCTTTGCATTGTCAGCCACAAAATTTACTGAATATAGGCTTCAACGTACAAACTCCGGTCATTATAGAAGATGAGAACACGATAAGGTGGAATTCACCATATCTTCTTTCTCCTTCACTGTTAGTCACTGTTAGTAACTGCAGTCTGGGACCAGCAAGTGTCAATAGTGGACGCTCTATTGAAGCACACTTGCCTTCAAAACTCAAAATGAATATTGGCCTTCAGTCCACTGCAAATTTTAAAATGTGTGAAGTTGGCTGCAAATATTCTCCCTGTAATAAACGGCATTTATAAACCGGACTCAGTGGCACTTCCTCAGAGCCACACTCTGAAGATGAGCCCTTGTTTCTGTTGTTGCAGCAAAGTGTGCACTCAATCCATCAACATTCAAAGCAGGTATTCTACCTCAAAGGCTGACACCATGAAGTATTGTTTCTGTCTAGCCATTCACTTTGCTTCTGTGTCATGTGTTCAAAACATTTCCCTAAGTGTTGGAGCGGATGCAGTGAGATATTTTCGTTTAGTTTAATTGCACTGCGTCCTATCCCATATCCTCAACGTTTGAGCTTCATTGTGCAGCCAACTGGTTTGGTTTTCAGTCGTTCTGCATACCTCTCAAATCTGTAGGTTTGTTTTTCAATGTATTTCCTTAATCTTTCATTTCATTCTGTGAACAATTTTGATTTAGAAAAACCCTCTTTTTTTTTTTTTTTAAGATCTGCAATTTTTAGTGAATTATTTGCAGGAAATGGGTTATGTGCTTGTCCCTTTTTTCCTTTTATTTTAAAACAAAATTCAAAGTAGTTGGGGTAACTAATTTTGTTCTTCCTGTTTCATTTGGCATGTGTGCGCATCAGTGTTTGTTTCTACTAAATGACAACTTTGTTCTGCAAAATCTTTACACATTGAATTCCTGATGTCTGTTAACCTGTGGAATCTTTATGCCAGCCAAGTTTCCACTAAGCTTAGACAGCAAGCCTGAACTAGCAAGTGTGGGACCCAAATCGTAAAATGAATCAACTATAAATATAGGGAACAATAGCAGACATTGCAGACACTAGCCTCTGTCGCAATGCTGTTTGCATTTAAAGCTACAGGAAGTTTTGCAAGTCTTTTCTGGTTGCCTTGCAGTCCATCAACACCTGCACTGCTTGTGTTTCCCCAGTAAATGTACTTGTTTTGCCTCAATATTTGAAGTGGGTGGAAGAATTTCTCAGCTCCTCAGTTCCTGTAGTTGCGACTTGAGCTGAAGGGAAACTGTTTCTCCTGGAGCGTTTATCCAATTTGTACAATTTTAAAGTAAACCCCCATTTTAGCGCTCAAGATTAAGTGTGGAGAGAACAGGGAGAAGCTGCGAGAAAATGATGATGAGCAGCATCTCTGTGGGCTGTCTATTCTTATTTCTCTGTTCCCTTCCCAGCCCCCAGAGGCAGGTAAAGATGAAAATGCTGGGAAAGTGGGTCGTACTTGGAAGATGTTGGAGTGTTATATTGAAGAGCAAAAAAAAAAGACCCTTCAAAGAAAAACTCAATAATCTTCACATTCTTAAACTACTTCAGTGAAAACCCAACTTTCAGTGTGAGGAATTCGAGGTCCTGTACTCCGATAGCCTTGTTCCAGCTGTGCCCAGTCCCACCACAATCCTCCATGCTTTATCTGTACTCTGATCCTGTAACAGACTGGATTTTGTGTGATCATGTTGGGCAAAAGGTCTCCCATCTGACCAAACGGATAGCAACCAAAACACAGCCATCATTCCAAGTCATTGTTTTCTCCCGCTCTGTAGCTTGGGGAATCCATGTCAAATATAGTCGTGTTGACATTAGTGACTCTGTGGGATTGCCTGTTTGTGAGTGGCCATACGTGGGGGAAATCCCAACCCAATCTGAACTGGACCCTATCCTATCCCTTGGCCACATTTCAGACTGAGAAACCAAATAGTAATGAACAATTTAAGCCTTAATCTCTTCTCTCTTGACAATGGATGAACTTAGCCAGGATGTGCTAATTCGGAAGACTGGAGATTGACTGACTCTCCCAGCCTGTGATTAACCATCTCGGTTCCTCTTAAATAAAGATTGTGGAAGTGACTGGTGTGTGAGCCAGCGTGGGGTTCAATCGGTTAGCCTCAGTTAGGAAGTGAAGGAGTAAGTTGGAGGTTCCTGCTTTAAATTACTCTGCAGTGACCCCTGCTGAAGTGTGTGTGTAAGGACAGGGTTCAGCTGCACTTTTTATAACAGGAACACTGCTAACACTAACCGCCTTAGTTCAATGATCATGGGGTACTTGGGGAAAGGCATAAAATTGGAGACAGTTTCTGTAAATCTAATGGTTATTTCCACAGCTCCTGTCCTGTGTCACTGCAAGGAGGAAATAACACCACATGTGCAGATTGCCTGAAATAGTTGCTGCCTGTCCATGTGCCATCACCCACAGTGAGTCCTGTCTTTAGCTGCACCATCTGAGGAACAGACACAGGCTGTTCCATCTGTCCACCATGTGCTGGTGGAGGAGGGCCTTCATGTTTTTGTGTTACCCACTTGCACCACAGCAACGTTGTTTCGTGTGTTCTAGAGGCCAGTCACACGGACTCATCTGTTCTCTTGGTGCCTCAAGTGTCCCAGAGATCTGCTGCTTGTGTGAACTGAAAGGTGGCAGAAAGAGTTCAGTAAAACAGCATGGTCTTCATCATTTGGATACAGTTCAGCTGCATTATTGAGTAGGAACTGATCGCAGTTTCATGTTTGGAGAGTCCTGTCTACATCTCTATTAAAATTGGAAATCGCTCTTAATTCTGTGTGTTTTAAACTTTTTGAAAACATTCTGCATATTCACTACCATTATCCACTTAGCTGCACTGTTATACGAGGGGTGACTTGATAGAGACATACAAGATGATCAGAGGATTAGATAGGGTGGACAGTGGGAGCCTTTTTCCTCGTATGGTGATGGCTAGCACGAGGGGCCATAGCTTTAAATTGAGGGGTGATAGATATAGGACAGATGTCAGAGGTAGGTTCTTTACTCAGAGAGTAGTAAGGGCGTGGAATGCCCTGCCTGCAAAAATAGTAGACTCGCCCACTTTAAGGGCATTTAAATGGTCATTGGATAAACATATGGATGATAATGGAATAGTTTAGGTTAGATGGGCTTCAGATTGGTTTCACAGGTCGGCGCAACATCGAGGGCCGAAGGGCCTGTACTGCGCTGTTATGTTCTATGTTCTATATGGATTTCCAAGCATTCAAGTGATTAATGGTTCCCTTTAATCCGAGGACATATTCTGTGGGACTAGACCAAAGACAGTTTGCCCCTCTGATCTAGGTTGTAACAGGTCAAAGAAAAAGTGAGTTTCCTCCAGGTGCTCTGGTTTCTTCCCACAGTCCAAAGATATGCAGGCTGGGTGGATTAGCAATGAGGAATGCATCGTTACGGAGATAGGGTAGAGTGGGGTGGGTCTGGGTGGGATGCTCTTTGGCGGGTTGGTGTGGACTGGATGGGCTGAATGGCCTCTTTCCACACTATAGGGTCTGTATATTCCTCATATTAAGTCAAATGCAAGTGCAGTTCAGTGTTATTCTGACCTCTGGTAACTATCCTACACAGACCTCCAATTGGATTGGGAAGCAGGCCTGTTTTATGTGTTCACTTATCTTGCCTGAATCACCACCTTTTCTTTGAGGGTTGAATGTGTGGGCTTTTTGCTAGCTGGGCCGGCACTTAAAGCCCAACCCTCATTCCGCCTTGTGGAAGTACTGCAGTCAGTGTACTGTTGATACACCCATTGTGCAGTTAGAGAGAGAGAGTTGCAAACTTTTCCGGTGACAGAAGGATCAACAACATATTTCTGAGTCAGGATGGTGTGTGACTTTGAGGGGAACTTGTTGGTGGTGGTGTTTCCTGGTCCTTCTGGAATACTGGGTTTGGTGTTGGAGGAAATTGGATGTGGCTCCTGCTGAAATTTATCTAGTCACTGTTAAATGTAGTCATATGGTGTGCTAGGCCCAACTGTGAAGCCCTGCAGTAATGTTGCCTGTTAATATTAAAATGCTGCTTTACGTGAACCCGTTCATAGACAAGAGTAATCACATTCAAACATCTGACCTTAAGACAGACTGTTTGGAGCCTTGTATAATAACCTCTCACTCCTCAAATGTGAAATTGATTTGATGAAATACTGACATTTGCCTGTAGTTTTGATAAACTCTGGCAATTGGCTGCAGCAGTACATGCATAACATACATGTTCTCTAGCTCACTTTCCAGGGTTCCTGTGCAAATATTCTTCTGTTGGAAGGGAATTTGCAACTATTAACACATTAATTTTAAATAGTTAAAAGACTGGGAAAACTGTCAACAAACTAATTTAAAATCAAAAGAGTTAGGCTGTTTGAGAATCAAATGGGTAACAAAGCACAATTGAAGTTTTCAAAACTGGGTAAGGAATCCATGATGTTCAAATGTGCCATGGTCAAATTAAATGGTGAAGTTAACATGGTCGCTAACAACTGAGGAAACTGTGTGGTGGAATAGGTTTCCGGAGCTGGAGTTCGTCCACTGTGACCACTTTTCTTTGTTTTTTTGCTTTTTCGCTTTTTTTCTTTTTCTTGGATTCTTTTTTTCCCTCTATTTGCCTTCTGGAGGGAGGGCAGTGATGCGCATGGCTGGAGGCCTAAAGCAGTTGGCCACGAGATGGTTGGTGGGGCCGAGGCAGTACATTTAGCAATCGGCAGCGGCGTGGAAACGGCTGGCGGCCTGGAGCAGCACCAGATCAGGACCCTGGCGGTCTGTGGCAAGGCTGCTATGAGCCCAGATGGGAGCACAGAGGCATGGAGATCGAGGCCAGTGCGGGGATTGAGAGATTGAGCCCTCGTGGGGAAAATCCAGTGTAGAGTGACTCTGGGCTGAAGGCTAAAGAAGGACTGTCATTTGAAGCTTTAAACTTACTTATTTTTCTACTTTTTACCTAAGGTTTTGTACCTAGGTACTTTGTACCTAAGATGGAGCTGGGAATGGGAACATTGTAAACTTTACACTGTACCCCTGTATTCCTATAACTGAGTGTATGGGACAATAAAACCTCATTCTAATTCTAAATCGGGGGGAAAATGAAACAAATGAGGGAAATCTCTGATATTTTGAAAACTTTGTCAACACGAGCACGTTGCAGAAGTTGCCCTTTTTTATTTGGTTTTGGTGTTGCAGTGCTGTTAATGACACACCTTGGAAGGAGCTGGGAGATGTCCTTCCCCTTTAAGCTGAGGGGCTGTCCCTTTAAGGGGCGGCGCTGACGTCACGGCGCGGTCAGCTGACCCTGGTGTCATGGCGGCGGCCAGCGCTCGATGCGGCCTCGGGCTGGGCCTGGGGCTCGGCCTGGGCCTGGGGATCAGGTTCCGGGCCACTCACTGCAGGCACCGCCATTCCAGGGGAATACTCCACCTCCAGGAAAAACAGGCCCGATCTCTCCGCACAGGCCCCAGTGAGTGAGAGGGGATAGGGAGGGAGAGAGAGAGAGAGAG